CAATTTAGTGACAGGAGAAAAAGGTGGAGGGCAAGAAATAGAGGAGTGCTTCTTGATGGTGATGAGATTAGCTATGGAATGCACATATGATTTTCCAGAGGAGAGGATCACCATGGAAGATGCTATAGTAAGACTAAAGTATACACAACAAAAGTTCAACCAAAATGTCTCTATAAGTTTAGTAATAAACTAGTTTAATTTGCAAGCTTTGAAATAATGTTGCTCATTACTTGGATATTGTACAATAAAATAACATGTGGCATGTATTTCTAAAGTTTAAACACTGAAATATTTTACCCTATAGCCTGCCTTTTTTTTCCAACCAAAATGTATGTATATGTTTAGCAATATACTTTCTGCCTTTAAAAAAGAAAAAAAAAATCTTTAATTTGATGCAATTATTAAAATTTATTGTGTTTGTACTGTTTTTTTTTTTTTTAAATGATTTTAGGAAATTACATTTTGTTTCTTAATTGTTTGTCATTAGTCTATACACATGGTTTTCATCTATTACAATATATACGATATGATAATGTTATTATAAGGTTTTTAGTAGTCTATATTGGCACCTCATTTTTTGTTGTTTATAGATTTTGATGATGCTAATTCACTAGGCATATTAGAGATACTTGACCTCTAAAATTTTTTCATCCTTGTAAACCGCAAAATGTGTCTCATTCTCTATCGGAAGAAGTATAGCTGGAAGAAGGTGCGCCCACATTTGGAAATTGTAATGAAAGGAAGTGTGTTTAGAAGAAGTAAGTCAGAAGGAGTGTGGTTAATTGGCACAAAATACCATAGATCTTTTGGACTTGTCCCAATGCACCACCTATCAAAAGATCAACCGTTAGTCTCTCAATGCATGCAAAACCAATATATAAACCTCAGAAGCAAAAATTTGGGAATGTGGCAGCTTTTGAAGAGCGACCACTAAATTGTATGAGTCACAATAAGCAAATTTGAAATTCGAATTGGTGCTCAACCTCTTTTGTCTATTAAAGGAGGACCCATGCTTAGAAAAAGATATTGATGAATTTATGAATTCCTGAGTCCAAGAGAAAAGCTTGCAAGCTAAGCAATACTTAGCGTTCTAAATGATAATGCACAAAATGAACACACTTTTGCTCATATTTGTTTATTGAGTTTTGACTCGTCTTCATGAACCTAGCTTTGTGCTTAAATGATTAAATTTAATTTATTATATTTTAATGATGGATGTTGCGAATGCCCTTGAGTACTTGCATCATGGTCATTCTTTTTCAGTAATTCATTGTGATTTGAAGTCTGGTAACATTCTTTTAGACCAAAACATGGTTGCACATGTTGGTGACTTTGGTATAGCTAAGCTACTGGACAAAGATAAGGCCACTAAGCAGACAAAAACCATGGGCACAGTTGGATACATGGCTCCAGGTGAGCTCACTCAACTCTCTAATTTAATTTGTAGCTTCAAGTATATATATATATATATATATATATATATATATATATATATATATATACACACACACACTAAATTAGTATCTACACCATGCAAGTGAGATTAATTCAATTGAATTTCGGTCTGCCCCAATCAAACCATCTTTTCCAAGAGTATTGTTGCATGCATATCTTGATCCCTTTCATTTGAGCCAACATCTTTTATTAGTTACATGTGAGGATTATTAATGAAGTATATATCATTACCATATCTATGTCAACTCATCCCATAAGTCCTATCTAGTGGTAGGGGTGGGATTAGAGAGGGATTGCAGTGATATATGGATAAAATCTTGAACTATAAACCGTTAATGCAAATATGATTATTATTAGTATGACTATAGCCACTGATATGTAAAGAAATAGTTAGCTGTAGTGGGAATGCAAGTCAATTTTTTCCATGGCATGTAGCCAATTTGTCTACTATGATTGCCGCCATTCATGCCAACTACAATGCCCAACACAACGCCTGTCTACTAATATTTACCGACTAATTTGATATATTTTCTATAGAGTTGGGAGAAATTTATATCGATCACTTTATCAATAAATTAGGGTCATTAGTTCTACTATACGTCTATACATAAAAGACCATAGCATCCATGTGTTTTTTTTAGTACTATTAACTTCGTTATCTGTCTATAACTACTTTCTCAATCTACTGAAGAATAAAAGACCATAGCATACATATTTAATATATTAGATAGAAAATGAGCCGGGGTTACGCAAAAATTAGCTAGTGTATGTCTAACATAAAGTGAATTTGTTTGTTTGTTACTTTGGTTGATGTGTACAATTATTATATATTAAATAAAGATGAATTTGGTATTTTAACTATATACATAGTTACATACCAAAGAGTTTGAGATATGCAGAAATAACATGATCTGATTAGTTCAAATTTTAAATTCATATTCATAATGCATAGAATTCATGTTCATAATAATGTAATACACATACACATAAATACGATATAATAAATATGAATTATGTGTATTATGAACATGAATTCTGTGTATTATATAGCTGAGGACACATAACATAATACACAGAATTCATGTTCATAATGCACTGCTGGAAATTATGAAATTTCCGACCACCTGAAAGTGATCTTAAATCAAGTCGAAAGCCTTGTTCCGACCACTTTTGGTATCCGGAAAAATCTTTGTTGCTATTTCTGACCACTTTTTGCTTTTGACTTGATTTAAGATCACTTTCAGGTGGTCGGAAATATCATAATTTCCAGCAGTGATGCACAGAATTCATGTTCATTATATTGTGTTTATGTGTGTGTATTATGAACATGAATTTTGTGCATTATGAACATGAAATCTATGCATTATGAAGTCAAATTCTGTGTATTGGATCAAGGTCTACAGTGCACTTTGGATCCTGGTCCATTATATAATTTGGCCTCTGTCCCACATTAAACACATTCCCGTAGGGCAATTTTTATCGTGGACCAGGCTCCACAGTGCACTATGGACCCTGGTCCAATACACATAACGAAGACACATAATGTACATAATACACATACACAATGAACAGAATTTATGTTCATAATACACATACACATAAACACCATATAATGAAGATACATAAACAGTTAACATAATACACATAATTCATATTCATAATGTACAAAATTCATATTTATAATGCACAAAATTCGTGTTCATTATATCATGTTTATGTATATGTATATTATGAACGTAAATTATGTACATTATAAACATGAATTCTGTACATTATAAAGTCAAATTATTGTGGACCCTGGTCCACGATATACCGATTAGCCCCACTTATCTGTTGGACCCAAAAATTAATTCAGACCAATAAGCAAACTCCTTCAAACCTTGTGGGTGTGTTCTCATGGGACACACAAATATAAAAGAGAACCCATGTGATGCACGAGCTGACTCTAAGATACGCGAGAAATTTCTTTCAATGGGAAACACGCACGATAATGACTTGGGGCATGCAGTCTATCATGGTTACCTAGCTCACTTAATTCAATTTTTCCGCCAAACTACTAACTCCTTCAATTTTCCCACTTCCTAGTATATACGGATTAATTTGATATATTTTCTAAGAAAATATGTTAAATAAGTCATTAAATTTATCTAGCACTATTTAATCTGGGGATCACCCTTCCAAACACGACAGCCAGTCACGAAAGCAACCGTTTAAGCAAGGGCATCAACAACCTGATTCGTTGGTCTTGATGTTAATAAAATAATAAAAAAAAACAACATACTAAAGTAATGATTTGTTTTAACATCAATTTAACAAGGATCATCATCATCATAATTATTACTACTACACATTGGAAAACTCACAATTACCAATCATCACTAAGTAGCCAAAATTCTAACCACCGTAGTTGAAAATTTATTTTGAAGAAAGAGACATGGTTGCAACCATTTTTGGGTTTCTCACAGACTTTCAGGTGAGAAACGTGGGAAACCAATTTATTGGTTTCTCACAAACAAGAAACCAGCCAGACCAGCACAGGCAGAAAGCATGGGATTTTTTTTTTAAATTAAAAAACAAGGTTAGAAAGGGTAAAAATTAAATCTTATTTCTCTGGCCTCTCACTTATATAAAGAAAAAACTTGAGCATTTAGTTGAGTAGAAGTAATTGGGTAGGTTGCTTGCATGCAAATATGAGTTTCTTAGTATCAATGCAATGGTGTTTGGTTTTGGTTGTTTTAGTGCAATCCCTTTCAATTGGAACTCATGCCGTGGCCTCCACGGTATCATCATCTGATGAGGCTGCTCTATTGGCATTGAAAGGAGCAATCACATCCGACCCTTTTCAAATCTTGTCCAACAACTGGTCTCTCCAAACTCCACACTGTGATTGGATTGGCATTACTTGCAATAATGCTAAGCACCAAAGAGTGACCCAATTGAATCTCTTCAATATGGGTCTCAAAGGCACCATTCCTGAGGAGATTGGTGGCCTCTCATTCCTTGCAACTTTCAACATCAGCAGCAATAGTTTCCATGGCCAAATCCCAGAAAGCATTGGATTCTTGACCAAACTCCAGAGTTTGGATATGTCCTACAACCATCTCTCTGGAAACATTCCTGCAACTTTGTACAACGTTTCTTCCTTGCGTTTTGTAGACTTGGGAAACAATCATCTCTCAGGGACACTCCCAGTGGGCATTTGTGATAACTTCAGGCTGCTACAAACCTTGTTTCTTTCAGCAAATAGGTTCAGTGGTCAGATTCCGTCAAGTCTACCAAAATGCAAGGAACTTAGAATTTTGAATTTAGGAGATAATGAATTTCATGGAAGCATACCACCAGAAATTGGCAACTTTTCCAAGCTCGAGTGGTTAAAGCTACAGGGTAACAATTTGACAGGTGAGGTCTTTAATTTGTTAGTTTTTAGTCTAATTTTAGTGACATATATGCATGGCTACCAATTTACATAATACTAATATATAGAAGAATGTAATATGTCCATGTGTACGTACTTATACTGCCTGCCTTTTAATACATGCATGCAGGAGATTTGCCTTGGACAATCTTCAATATTTCATCTTTAATAGTACTCAACCTTCAGTTGAATGAACTCTCTGGAATTCTTCCAAATGACCCCTGTTATCTCCTTCCACAATTGGAGATGCTGGCTATTGCCGTAAACCATATTCATGGAGAAATCCCTCAAGCTCTATCCAGTTGCAGGAAACTTCAAGCACTTTCCATGTCTAGAAATGAACTTTCTGGAAGATTACCTAGGGACATCTGGAACATGTCATCTCTTCAGCAACTTTATCTTGCAGAACTGAACTTGACAGGTGAATTCAAAAACTTCATGAAATTTTGATTTAGGGAACTTTGTAAAATAGTGAATTGAAGTCAGGGGCAGTGTGAACTGTGAAGCACCCAACTGGCAATTTATATCATGGACCAGGGTCCACGTAGTATTATGGATCCCGAGTCGAAAAGACGAGGTACATAATTCATATTCGTAAGGTACATAATTTCATAACACAAGACTTTAAAAATCAAACACAAGACACATACACACGTTATATATTTACTTATTTTTCAAATCTGATTTAGATACATAAATTGTGTTCATTGGCACATAATTATTTCACAACACAAGACACAAAAATTCTTAATATAAGACACAATTACTAATTTGTGTAAGATACATAATTTAATAACACAAGACACAAAAACTCCACACATATACAACAATTTTTATTGTGGACCATGGTCTATGTAGCAACATGGACCATGAAATATGTAATTTTTTTTTTAGTTGCACTTCAGTTTCATTTGAAAATATTGCTATGTTTTTTAGTTTCATTTTTTCTCCACACTAGTTTCATTATAGCAATACTAAAGTATCATTTCAATTCTACTATAGTTTCATTTGATAGTATACATTATTACCTGAGGTCTATTTTTTTGTTTAGTTCTCCACACATACTAGTTTAATTATAGTAATGTTGAAATATTATTTTAATTACACTGCGGTAATTTGACAATATATGTTATTGTATGACTTTGGATTTTAGTTTCATTTTCCAAGCACACTAGTTCCATTATAACAATACTAAAATTTCATTTTAATTATACTACAGTTTTATTTGACAATAATGTACTTTGTTTTTGGTTTTATTTTTCACATATACTAGTTTTATTACAGTAACACAAAAGTATCATTTTAATTTTACTACAGTTCATTCAACAATTATGGTTCACACAGTGATGTGTGGACCGTGGTCTACTGTATAACAATTGTATATACACTAAGATCTACAATGCTATTTGAACCCTGATCAATGGATTGCGCCCCAACTAGGTAGGCCCTTTGGCCTAGTAGAGATTTTGGAAGGAATTGTTGGTTATAGACTTATAGTGGTGCAATTGGACCGTTGAAACATCCTATCCGGCCTAACTCAAATGTTGTCAAATGACTGTGTTGGCAATTTATATCGTGCACCAGGGCGCGCATTGCATTGTGTAACCTAATTCAAAACGACGTCGTTTTATATATAATTGTATAAATAAATATACATAATTGTATAAACAAACACACATAACTGTATAAAAAATACACATAATTATATGAACAATTACACATAATGATATAAACAAATACACATAATCACGTCAACTCCCTTCCACGCCTCCCAAAACGACGGCGTTTTGAGAGGCGCGGAGCACACAGTGCTGCGCGCGCCGTGGTGCAGGGTATAACGATTGAATGAGAGTGGTTGGAGCACTATGGTTGGATCGGGTAAATTATAATGCAGACTATTGATAAATATTCATTTTTAATATAAAAAAACTTTCATTTTTATGTAGTATAGATATACCTAAAAATATACTTTTAGTACACAACAAATGAATTGTCAAAAAATAAAATTAAAAAAAGAACATTTAGTATATTAAAAATGAATTTTATATATTTTCAAAAAAAAAATGAATTTTATACCAATAATTTACTTTGTAAGTTAGACGACCATGTTCTATGGTATAATGCTTGTTGGGTGGGTGGAACTCTCCAGCCACTCTCAGCTCGCAAATGCACCTAAAGTAACAACTAACAACATATCCTATTATGAATAAAAGATTAAAGACTTAAAAATATAAGACTTATAAAATAAGATAAATTAATTTTGTGCAACTCATTTATAATTTGCTTGATGTGTGATTTGAAACCAACTGAGCTATTCTAAAGTGACTCAAAGTTTAGATTGACTTCTAAACTTTTACATAATTTACAGGATACTTGTCAAAAGAGATTGAGAAATTGTCAAACCTTCGAGAGCTTATAGTATTTGAAAATTGCTTGACTGGTATAATACCTCCTTCAATTGGCAATATATCGACTTTGGAGATTTTTTTTGCTAAGTATAACAATTTGGATGGTAATATTCCTCCAGAGCTAGGAAAGCTATCAAGTCTCAAAGGATTGTCACTTAAATCAAATAATTTTAGTGGCAAACTACCATCCTCCATTTTCAACATCTCTACATTACAAAAGTTTGACCTGGGATCTAATAACCTTTTTGGCAATCTTCAACCAGGCCTAAGACATAGGATATCCCCAAGTCTTGAAGAACTTATTCTCAGCCAAAACCAATTCACTGGAACCATTCCTAGTTTTATATCAAATGCCTCCCAACTCAGACTGCTTGACCTTGGGACAAACATGTTTAGCGGCCATGTACCTTTGGAGATTGAAAAGTTACAACAACTTGAATACTTTATCATAGAATACAACCAAATCACAAATGAGCCATCGGTTAATGAGCTAAGCCTACTCACTACATTGTCGAAATGCAAGAATTTGAAAATGGTTAGTTTAAGTGGCAATCCATTCAACACAGTTTTACCGAACTTGTTAGGTGTAGGCAATAAATCTTTGTGTTTGGAATTCTTAGTTGCTGCGGATTGTCATTTGAAAGGCAGCATTCCAAGTGGAATTAGTAACTTTATCAACTTGATTTTTTTGGATTTGAGCGATAACAAGCTCTCAAGTTCATTTCCTGTAACATTAGGACGAGGTTTGTTGAGGTTACAGGGTTTACACATAGAGAATAATGAAATTGAGGGATCAATACCAAACACCATGTGTTTTTTGAAGGAGTTATCTGAATTGGATCTTGGAGATAATAAGCTCTCAGGAAAAATTCCAAGTTGTTTTGGGAACATATCTTCTTTGAGAAATATCTATCTAGGTTCCAATTTATTTACATCTGCAATACCGCTTGGGTTCTGGAACAACAAGGATCTCTTGGAGCTGGACTTGTCCAATAATTTTCTTTGTGATCACTTGTCTCCTGAAATTGGAAGTATGCACAACATGGTACAGTTATATCTGTCAGGTAATCAATTTTCTGGAGAAATTCCCGACACCATTGGGCAACTTCAGAATTTGCTTAATCTCTCTCTATCATCAAATAGGCTTCATGGTCCTATTCCAAAATCATTTGATAGTTTGATAAGCCTGCAAGCATTAGATTTATCTAATAACAGCCTCTCTGGTGGTATTCCAAAGTCGATGGAGAAGCTCAAATATCTAGTGTATCTGAATCTGTCTTTCAATGATCTCAGCGGTAGAATCCCAAATGGTGGACCTTTTGCAAAATTTAGCATGGAATCATTCATGGGTAACAAGGAACTATGTGGAGCTTCTCAATTCCATGTCATGGAATGCAATGAAGGTAAAGGGAAACAGAGAAACATTGTCATATTTCTCAAATATGTTTTGCCATCTCTTGTATCTGTGGCTGTTGTTGCTGTACTACTGGTTTGGTTGCTTACGTTCTGGAAGAGAAACAAACAAAGGGAATCTCAGGCTGAAGATTCACTTGATGTTGCACTCAAGAGGATTTCATACTATGAAATTCTTCGTGCTACAGAAGGTTTTGATGAGAGCAACTTGATAGGCAGGGGGAGTTTTAGCTCAGTGTTCAAGGGAACTTTTGTTGATGGGGTGATTGCTGCTATAAAAGTCTTCAATTTGGATGTGCAAGATTCAATCAGAAGCTTTGAAGTAGAGTGTCAAGTGCTAAGGAATATTCGACACAGAAATCTTGTCAAAGTAATAACCAGTTGCTCCAACCTCGACTTCAAAGCTCTGATTTTAGAGTATATGCCCAATGGGAGCCTAGACAAATGGCTCTATTCACATAATTATTTCCTAGATATCTATCAGAGGCTAGGAATAATGATGGATGTTGGGAATGCCCTCGAGTACTTGCATCATGGTCATTCTTTTCCTGTGGTTCATTGTGATTTGAAGCCTGGCAACATTCTTTTAGATGAAAGCATGGTTGCACATGTTGGTGACTTTGGTATAGCTAAGCTACTGGACAAAGATAAGACCACTAAGCAGACAAAAACCATGGGCACAATTGGATACATGGCTCCAGGTGAAGTCACTCAGCTCTCTAATTTAATTTGTAGCTTGAAGTTTAGGATATATGGAAGTAATTGTATGTTCATATTTTTTGCACAATTGCAGAGTATGGTTGTGCAGGAATAGTGTCCAGCATGGGAGATGTATACAGTTTTGGGATTCTACTAATGGAAGTATTCACGAGAAAGAAGCCCACAGATGAGATGTTCCATGGAGACTTCAGCATGAGGAAATGGGTGTCTGATTCATTGCCTGATGCAATAATGGAGATTGTTGACTCCAATTTAGTGACAGGAGAAAAAGGTGGAGGGCAAGAAATAGAGGAGTGCTTCTTGATGGTGATGAGATTAGCTATGGAATGCACATATGATTTTCCAGAGGAGAGGATCACCATGGAAGATGCTATAGTAAGACTAAAGTATACACAACAAAAGTTCAACCAAAATGTCTCTATAAGTTTAGTTTAATTTGCATGCTTTGAAATGTTGCTCATTACTTGGATATTGTATTATGATTTCAGGGAATTCTGTTAATGTCCCCTCAAAAAGTAATAAGAACCAATTGCGCACTTGTCCTTATATGTGGTGCTATTTTTATTTATTTATTTATTTTTTTGCAATCTCATGATTAAGTGACTACTTCATAATACCACTAAAATGGAATGTATTAAAGATGAGGTCTAGTTTAGTTGAGATGGCTATAGAGAGGCATTGCTATTGATGCAGACGGTAGCTTTCCTTATTCCTTCTTGCATTGTTTGTGGTGTTTCAAATTCTTTCATGTTCTATGTGATTTTAAGCAGTACTCGACGAATTCCAATGCGTTTAACCAGCCAGGTTTTTTATCAAGTGAAAAGGGTCAACCAAAGACCAAATTGTTATTGTTGGTGCATCATATTGATTCTTCTGTGGCTAAGAATGACCATACATGCATTGTGAATCTTGACAAACTCCAAAGGTGAGCTCAGATCATTCCAACAGCTCAATTGTTGGACCATCAAACGACTAGAAGCTCATTTTATTAGATCATCAAACCAGTCATGATATCTACAATACAGTTTTACTTTCAGATCACTCCTGGACTTATTGGTTGGACTACTAAATCAGGCATGATATCTGTATCACTCCAGGGGCTCATTTGTTGGATCACCAAACCAGTCATGATATCTTTAATACATTTTGCTTCATAAAGATAAAGTAGTCCTAATAATGGCGTAATTTTGAAATAAATATGAAACGTAATTTTATTTCTTCACCGCCAGCCAAACGTAAAACTTTATTGGTAATGCTCGTGCGTGGTGGCAACAAGGTGAAAGCTTTCATTTTTTAAGCATATAATTAAGATTAGTGGAACATTCATGAGGTCATGTTTTTACATTTCAAACTCTCATTTTCTTAACCATTTAAGGTGGCAACAGAATCTCAACGCATAAGTCAACCGTATTTGCACTTTTTTATTTATACTTTAGGTTTCTAATTTATGCTAGACTAATCTTAAATCTCATCAACTCCATTTTGTGACTGGATTGGAGTTACCTGCAATGTCAAGCACCAGAGAGTGACCCAATTGAATCTCTTCAATATGGGTTTGGATGGCACCATCCCTAAGCGTATATAAGAGGGGAAATCATTGTTTTGATTCATCAATTATTTTACAACCGTCAATTTATTTCTTAATTTTCAATTTGAACGAATTGACCTCGAATTATTTAAATTCCATCAATTAAATCCCCTAACTACTATTCCTCTAGTCAATCGTTAGTTACCCTAATTTTAGTTGACAAAAACAATTGGAGAGTTATTTAGTTCAAATTAAAAATTAAGAACTAAATTGACAATTGCAAAATAATTTGAGAAACCAAAGCAATGATTTTTCCTATATAAGATGACCAAAGAGAAATCAACGTTACTACGTATCATAAACGGTTGAAATTATTACAATTGGCCGATGCGGTGGAAGCCTAATTTGAATTGTTTTGTCCAAGCTCTCAGCCGCCCTCCTATTTTCCAAACCATTAAGACCGCAAAAGGGAAAAAAAAAAAAAAAAAAAAAAAAAAAAAAAAAATCAACACCAAAATCAACGCATAGCTCTCCATGCAACTTCCAGTAATTCACTAAAAAAAAATTTAAACAAAAAAAATCCGTAGTTTGCCTATAGATTTAATTTCATTTTTTGGTTCTAGATTTATAAGTGACAGTCTACTTTTAAGTTTTTATTAGAACTTTTAGTCCTAGTATTATTGTGGCATAATCATTTTTGGTCATTTATCAACAAAACAATTTAAATATCGTTAAATATAATGACATTTTGGTCTTCAATAATGAATGTTTTCAAAAAAATAAATATACAAAATATAGCGGTTCAACTTACTTTTTATAAAAAAGATTGAAATGTCTTTATATTTAACGATATTTCAACGATTTTGTTGATGGAGGACTAAAAATGGTTATCCCACCATAATACTAGGACCAAATGACGGTGTTCTAATAAAAAAAAAAAGGACTATAAGTGGATTGTCACCTATAAATCTAAGACCAGAAATGGAATTAACTCTTTGCATATACTATGAGCCTCTTCAAAGAGCAAAATTGGTATCAATGATTGGGTGTTTGGCTCCATACTTTCATTATCTTAATGCATATATAAGTGAAAAATCACTATTTTGATCCCTCAATTGTTTTGTAACTATCAATTTAGTTTCTAATGTTCAGTTTGAACGAATTGACATCTAATTGTTTTAAATTTTATCAATTAAATCTCTTAGCTACTATTCCTCCTGTCGGCCGTTAGTTACACCAATCCGCCAGTTCTGGTGTTTTCGTGCTCGATTTATCGTATATTTCTCTTTGGAAGTTTGATATCTCCACCTTGAAACAACACCATCAAACCATCTGTCATAGCTTACTTGATTAGATATTTTATAGTACTCCGCAAGTGGGGCCCCACAGGACGATCATTGCCGGTGGAGAGTATAGTATGAAGAAGATGAATTATAGCTTCTCGTTGTTTTACAATCTTTTTAGATCTAAATCTCTAAAGTTGAATTTGTGTTCGGATCCTAGGATTTTGAATTCAGAAACCCCATATGCCGATACGATGTCGTTGTCAAATAAGTTGTGGTTTTCAACATAATCGTTATATGAAGGTAATAAAAGGGGGATAATGAGAAAATTATAAAATGTCCACTAAAAATAGGGTAACTAATAGCTGACGGAATAGTGACTAGAGAATTTAATTGATGAAATTCAAAACAATTTGACGGTAATTTCTTTCAAATTAAAAGTTAAAAACTAAATTAACAATTATAAAATAATTAAAGGACCAAAGCAGTGATTTCTCCCAAATAAAATGATCAAAGAGAAATCAATGTTATGTATCTTAAACGGTTGAAATTATTACAATTTGCCAATGTGGTTTAAGCTTTCAATTGCATGTTTCGTCCAAGTTCTCAGCGGCCTCTTATTTCTAAACCATTAAGAGCGCAAAAAAAAAAAAAAATTAAATAAATAAATAAAAAATCAACACCAAAATAAACGCATAGCTCTCAACAAGTCAATGCATGTTATTTCCACTTCATTAATTTAGGCATATCATAACTTTGGGTCTTCAGACATGAGTGAATCTTTCACCTTATTCACTAAAAAAAATCCTTACTTTTCATATACTATGAGCTTCTTCAAAGAGCACTTGGCATCAATGACTCGGTGTTTAGTTTTGGTCATTGCCCTTTGCATGGCTGTGGACTTTGGGGCATCAAACAGCTCAGATGATGAGGTTGCTCTATTGGCATTGAAAGCGGCAATTACGTCCGATCCCTTTCGCATCTTCTCCAACAACTGGTCTCATCATACTTCATACTGTGATTGGATTGGCGTCACTTGTAGCGGTAGGCACCAAAGAGTGACCCAATTGAATCTCTTCAATATGGGTCTCAACGCCACCATTCCTGAGGTGATTGGTGGCCTCTCATTCCTTACAACTTTCAACATCAGTAGCAATAGTTTCCATGGCCATATCCCAGAAAGCATTGGATTCTTGACCAAACTCCAGAGTTTGGATCTGTCCTACAACAATTTCACTGGAAACATCCCCGCAACTATATACAACATTTCTTCCTTGCGATTTGTAGTCATGGAATACAATAGTCTCTCAGGGATGCTCCCAGGGGGCATTTGTGATAACTGCAGGCAGTTACAGGGCTTGTCTCTTAGATCAAATCAATTGAGTGGTCAGATTCCATCAAGTATATACAAATGTGCGGAACTAAGAGTTTTGAGTTTAGGAGAGAATGAATTCCATGGAATCATACCACCTGAAATTGGCAACTTTTCCAAGCTTGAGCGGTTACTGCTACGTGGTAACAATTTGACAGGTTAGATTTTCAATAATTCTGTTGTTGTTGGTCTAAATTTCGTGGCATACATGGATACCAATTTTAATTTTACTATATAGTAATATATTGTAACATAAGAATAATGTCTTAGCTTTCATGATTTGACTATCTATTCTTCGATCAATAAATTAAATTAAAATGCTACTATATGGTGTCATTATATTATATTGCCTTTCAATACGTACAGGAGATTTGCCTTGGACAATTTTCAATATTTCATCTTTAGTAGAACTCGACATTTCGATGAATGAAATCTCTGGAATTCTTCCAAATGATCCTTGTTATCTCCTTCCGGAGTTGGTGGTTCTGGATATTGCCTTAAACCATATTCATGGAGAGATCCCTCAAGCTCTATCTACTTGCAGGAGACTTGAAATACTTGCCATGTCTGGCAGTCAACTCTCCGGAAGATTCCCTACTCAAATCTGCAACATATCATCTCTTCAGAGGCTTTATCTTGCAGGGATGAACTTGACAGGTAACTTCATAAAATTTATTGAAATTATACGTGCTTTTAAGTAATCTCATAAAATAACTAGGACATAAACCCGGGTAGACCCTTACTTTATTTGGCATCTAGTTGAAATTTCTGACGGAATGGTTGGAGTAGTGAAACACTCTAATTGAAATGGTAAGGAATAATGAGTGTAAAAACTAAAATATCTTTACATAATGATAATGATACTAAAAATAATAATGCTAAAATTATTTATGTGATACTTTTTTTCTCAACTTCCATGGAAAACAAAGTACCATCCTTCCTTAAAGAAATTTTTTTTTTTCTCAAAATTAGGGAAAAATATTTTTCAGTGCAAAAAATTTTCAATAAACCATCATCCTCAAATTTAAGAAAAGCTTTTTTAATCATCTAACGAAACATGCTATTAATTTCCTAACAATGGCTAGGAGAGCGATTGGAATGATGGATTATTACTTGAAGAGTTAATTCCCAAAATATCCTTCGACTATGACATTTTCTCAAATTGGTTTATTGACTTTTAATTGTACCTAAAGTGGTCCTCCGTTAGTTTTGGTGTTAAGTGGGTGTTAAAATGAGGGGTAAAATCGGTAATTAGGATTTTCACTATAGTCAAAGGACTATTTTGGGTGCAATTAAAAGTTAAATGACCAATTTGAACTATCTAGTTAATATTTTAAAGGAAAATTTCATTTTTATGAACTATCTAGTTAATATTATTTAAAAGTTACAATTGTGTATTATCGTATTTAAATACATATTACACAATTGAAACTTTTAGATTATATTATCTAGTTAACAGACATATAATATGAGGGGCAATATATGTCACATTTTAAAAATTGAGGGGTAACATTTACACCACTAATAATTCAGGGGTAACATTGATAATTGGCCTATTTGTGAGGGGCATAAATTACAATTTTTCCTTTAAAATATTAACTAGATAGTTCAAATTGATCCTTTGACTTTTAATTGAACTCAAAGGAGTCATCTGACTATAATAAAACACTGAATTACCAGTTTTACCCCTCATTTAAACACCCACTTAACACCAAAACTAACATATGATCATTTTGGCTTAAAATTCAATAGTCAGAGAACCACTTTAAGTGCAATTAAAAGTCAAGGAACCAATTTGAGAAATGGTCATAATTGAAGGACCATTTTGAAAATTAACTCTTATTTGAACTACGTACTCTTTTTTTTTTTTTTTGGTAGGGACTACGTACTCTAATCGCTCTCTCAAATTAAACACACTAAGTTTAGGGGGTTTAAAATTAAAATGAATAAGTAGATTATTATAGAAATTATAGACTTATATTTAAAATGATACGAGTATTATAATAATTTAGGGAGAAGTTATAGTTTGTAAATGGAACATAGGAGTTTTGAGTATACAATATATTGATTTCTTTGTTTATAAAAAATTTGAATTCATTTTAATTCAAGTCAAATAGAAAGTAGACTCTACATATATTTGTACCATAAAGTAGTCACTTACAATGCCTTTTTAAGCTAAAAATTTCAACAATGCATATAAATAATTAGTACTATCAAAGCAGGCCAGCCCGGCCCACCGTGGGCTTAATTCTTGGCAGGCTTATGCGGATCGACCCACAAGGCCCACAGGCTAGGATTCATGCAACCCTAGCCTGCCCCGTGCGGGTTGGCGGGCCCTGGGGCTTGGCCTGCAATTTTTTTTTTTTGATAGCTTTTGTTTTTGTTGAATTCAAAGTTAAAAATAAAAATAAAAATAAGTCTACAAATACTAACATTGTGAATTCGCAATCCAACTTTATAGTCTAACAAAAATTAATATTAATTCAAAGTTCAAAAAAATGAGTAAAGTCTAAAAATAATATTAATTTTTTCGTGTTTAAAAATTTTAAAAAAATTATATATATATATATATATATATATATATATATATATATATATATATATATATATATATATATATATATATATCTACTATACTAATAAGAGCCCAAGAAAGTTAGGCCTATAATGGGTAGAAAAAATGGCGGTCACAGATTTTAATCAAATTAATGACTCAGATTGATTATAAGATTGATCAGATTTAAATTTTACACTAAAATTTCCTAAAATACCCACACACCGTTACTAATTCCGTTAAAATTTTAAGAATTGCCGTTAGTTCACCGTTAACTTACTCATTGATTTCAATAAAAAAAAAAAAAAGGTCTTAGGTTCGAACCTCATCCCAATCAAAGTTGGCATAATTAGTACTCTATTTTGCTCTTATTAAATTATATAAATAATAATTTAGTAGTTACAACGAAAAATAATACATATGCATTTCTTTAATTTAGAATTATGTGTCCACAATGTCTTTATTCAAAAAAAAAAAATTATTCATTATCAATAAATTAAATAAGAGAAATAATTTTATTAGTTATATTGTTTTTATTTTTCTTCAATATAAAAATTCTTTATATTCAAATTTATTAATTGATTATATTCGCTACATTATCCTTACAATGTCTTTATTCAGTGAAAAAAATTATTAATTATCAATAAATTAATTAAAAGAAATATTTTCATTAGTTATATTGTCTTTATTTTTCTCAAATGTAAAAATTTTTACATTCAAATTCATCAATTGATTATATTCACTACATTATCTATTATCTTTTTTGTGCACTATTTTTCTAATTAAATATCAAAGTTATAATACAAAATAATGCTATATATTTATTTACCAAGTATTTTATTAATACCATGAAAAAATTAAAAAAAATATAATTAATAAAGCCAACCATATTAACTACTTGAGAGATTTTGTGACAAAGAGAGTATTCAAATCACACAACAAATTGAAGTGAGAACTACCTCGCAATGTCCTTGTTTGACAATCAGCAGTTAGCGGTTAGCGTTAGCGGATTATACTAGCGGATTTGACCAGCGAATTTATTTAATTATTAACATTGGGTAGAAAAAATGACCGCCAAATTATTAAATCAAATGAATGGTTCATATTGTTCAGGTTTTAATTTTTTTCTTTTAAGATTTTATAATTTATCATTAATTATATGATTATCCATTTAACTTTTTCGTTAATTCACCGTTAGTCTAATTCTAATATTAAAGTCTAATATAGAATTATAACTACACCATTAATCCAATTCTAATATTAAAGTCTTAATAGAACTTAGCCACAAATCCTAATGTCAGAATCTCCTCAAACAATATTAGTATATATTTAATATTTTATGCCCTAATTTTTATTTGTTTTCCCTTATGTCCCGTATTTGGTTTCAACCATACCTATACAATTATTTTATTGACAATTATAATCAATCTTGACTATATTATCTTGCATTTGTAAACTTATAATTACCTATTTAACCCGCACGGGCTTAGCTCAATGGTTTAGTGGGTAGTATTTGGGAGAAGAGACCAAGGTTTGAACCTCGGCAGTGGCAATGCGGGAATTATGTCCAAAGTGGGCAGATTCCTTGTGCGTATCAGCATTTAGCCCTGTCTGCTGAACCATTGAGTCACCGTGATTTACAACTTCCCATAATGCTCTGTCGGAGTGTGGGGGGCCCTTGGGGTTGGGGACTCAACCTTTGGGAGAAGAATTACCTATTTAAATACGCAAATTCAACCTTCAATTATCTATGCATGAACAATTTCAATATAATCATATCCTGCCTTAATATACTTTAAAGTACTTATTTAAAAAAAAAAAAACATTGGGCATTATCCCAATCGCGCAATGCGTGTACAAAACTAGTATATATATATATATATATATATATATATATATATATATATATATACACACACACACACACACACACACACACACACACACACACACACACACAAATCTAATAAGAGCCAATAATGTAAGGCCCTTAACTGGAACAAAAAAAATGTCGGTAGTAGTTGTTTCTTAAAATGAATGATTCATATTATTTTGATTTTAGTATGTTTTAATGATTTTCCTTATTTATCCTCTATTATATTATTTCCTTCCTTTAAATAATCCTAAATTCCGTTAATATAAACTTTAGTAACGGAATATTCCGTTAACTATTTATTATTCTTAACATACTCATTAATTTATATAAGAAAGGTCTTAGGTTTGAACCCTATCTCAATTATAGTTGGCATAATTGTTAAACATATATTATGAATATGTTAAAATGTATTAAAAAATATATAATATAATATTTAACATAAACTTTGGTCAAATAATTAGCCCGACTAAATACATAGCATTCAAAGTTGAGCATCAAAGATTAAAAATCAGGAACCACTTTAAAATTATTTGATTTTCTTGAATTTTTTATTTTTTATTAAAAAAAAAAACAAATTTAGGTTAGTTTTTTTTGTTTTAAATATTTAATTACTATTCTTTTGATTATTTAGAACAAAACTTAATATTTCAATTATGCTTTTGCATTATTGGAATGATTTAGGTCATTATGGTATTAATATTTTTTGTATTTTTTTATAATGGTACAATTGTACATTACTTTACAAATATTAGACTAGCGTTATTACAAAGTTGCAAACATTTATTTTAGTGACAATTATAATCAATCTCTCATATATTATCTTGCATTTATAATTTAAATAAACAAATTCAACATTTATTTACCTATGCATGAACATCTCCTATATAATATTGCATTCATATACTTTGAAATACTTATTTAAAAATAATTATTAGACATTATCCCATTCGCGCAAAGCGCGTAAAAAACTAGTATATATATATATATATATATAATGTTACACGGCAAGGCAACATACTGCCTTGCTCTGTAACTCTTACATATGTTACACTGTAACATATGTATATTTAATTTTTTTTTATTTGCGCGGATCATGGGCTGCGGGTCAATTCCGGCCCGCCCTATTAGGCCCGCATTTTTGCGGGTCTATTTTTTCATGACCCTAACTCATCCCACCGTGGGGTGGGGCGGGTCAACCCACGATACTCAGGCCATTTTGGCAGTACTATAAATAATAAATCTTCAAGTTGTTTTCATACTATTTTTTACACATTCAAATAATGAACATTACGTATAAAAATAATGTGTCATATGCATAAAAATAATGTACTATATACATTAAAAAAATATTTTACCTTATGCGTAAAAGTAATGTATCATTCAATTGACAATATATAGAAACAGGTTGAACAATCGTTATGTTGTGGAACCGTGTCCCTGCCACCTTGCAAGGTGGACACAGTTCTATGTTCATAATTATCGAACTATATGTTCGTAATTATAAAGCTATATATTTATAATTTTTTAACTTCATATTCATAATTATTGAACTCTATATTCACAATTACAGAACTCTATGTTCATAATTATTGAACTATATGTTCATAATTATAAAACTATATATTCATAATTTTTGAACTTCATATTCACAATTATTGAATCTCTATATTCATAATTACAGAACTATGTATTTATAATTATGTTCACAACTCTATGTTCATAATTATAGAACTATATATTCATCATTTTTGAACTATATATTTATAATTATGAACAATTTAAGAACCGTGTCCACAGCATAATTTGCCCGGGTTGAAACCAAGCCACTTTAAAATACTAGCCCTAAGAAGTTTAAAGATGTTAATTTAGATTGGAGTTAATTTCCGAAATGGTCATCGACTATAGTGATTTTTCTCAATTTTGTCCTAAACAACTTTGGTGACTTAATGTAGTCCCAGAGTTTTGTATTTTTACTCAATTTAATCCCAGACTTTTGTGTTTTTGCTCAATTTAGTCCCCCATTTGTTATTCCGTCCATTTGTTGTTAAATAAATAGACAATTCAGTAATTTTAATATTGACATCTCTTTACTCATAGACATGTGAAGTGCGAAATCTTTTTTATTTTTTTTTTTAATTTTTATGAATTACTCACAGAATCACTCCTAAACATGCGAATTTAAAATTTGATTCGTAGGTCTGGGAGTAATTCGTACAAGAAAGAGAGATTTCTCACTTCGCAGGTTGAAAGTAAAGAGATGTCAATATTGATATTATTGAATTGTCCCTTTATTTAACACCAATTTGACGGAATAACAAACGGAGGACTAAATTGAGTGAAACACAAAAGTTTGGGACTATATCAGGTCACCAAAGTAGTTTAGGATGAAATTGAGAAAAATCACTATTGTCGAAGACCATTTTGGGTATTAACTCATTTAGATTGGCTCATAAACTTTTACGGCAAATTATACCATGCACCAGGGCACACAATGCATTGTGCACCTTGGCCCAAAACGACGTCGTTTTGTACCTTTTCGCATGTCTGCTGTTAACTCCTTAAAAAAACTTTCATGTTTCGAATGTACAGAATTATATAATAGAATACACAGAATTTTATACTTGAAAACACATAATTTTATAACTGAAAATTCCCATGTTTCGAATGTACAGACTTATATAATATAATGCACGGAATTTTATACCTGAAAACACAAAATTTTATACCTGAAAACACATAATTTTATAACTGAAAATTCCCATGTTTCGAATGTACATAATTATATAATAGAATGCACAGAATTTTATACCTGAAAACACATAATTTTATAGCTGTAAACACAGAATTTTATAACTGAAAATTCCCATATTTCGAATGTACATAATTATATAATAGAATGCACCGAATTTTATACCTAAAAATACAGAACTTATCAAAACGATATTGTTTTGGAAGGCGCGAAGCGCACATTGCTATGTGCAATGTGCGTTCTGCTGTACGCTACAATGATTGAAACATTTACATTTACATAATTGTACAGGAATTTTACCAAATGAAATTGGGGAGTTGTCCATCCTTGGAAAGTTAATAGTTGTAGAAACTCGCTTGACTGGTATGATACCCCCATCGATTGGCAATTTATCGACTTTGGAATATTTTGTTCTTGGGGGCAACAATTTGCAAGGTAATGTTCCTCCAGAGCTAGGAAAGCTTTCAAGACTTGAAGGATTGTCACTTGGCAGCAATAATTTGAGTGGCAAAATACCATCCACCATTTTCAACATCTCTACATTACAAAAGATTGAGCTATCATTTAATAACCTTTCTGGCAATCTTGTACCAGGTCTAAGACATTGGATGTCCCCAAGTCTTGAAGTACTTTTGATGGATACAAACCAATTCACTGGAACCATTCCCAGCTCTATATCAAATGCCTCCCAACTCACAGAACTTGAACTTGGGAAAAACATGCTTAGCGGTCATGTACCTTTGGAGATTGAAAATTTACAAAAACTTGAACACTTACACATACAATACAACCAAATCACAAATGAGCCATCGTCTAATGAGCTAAGCCTACTCACTTCATTGTTGAAATGCAAGAATTTGAGAAGTGTTAGTTTGAGCGGCAATCCATTCAACACAGTTCTACCTAACTTGTTAGATATAGACAATAAATCTTTGTCTTTGGAATTCTTAGATGCTGCTGATTGTCACTTGAAAGGCAGCATTCCAAGTGGAATTCGTAACTTTATCAACTTGATTGTTTTGGAATTGAGTGACAACAAGCTCTCAGGTCCTTTTCCTGAAACATTAGGACGAGGCTTGTTGAGGTTACAGGGTTTATACCTATCTAATATTGAAATTGAGGGATCAATACCAAACACCGTGTGTTATTTGAAGGACTTATTTGAATTGGATCTCAGTGACAATAGGCTCATGGGGAAAATACCAAGTTGTTTTGGAAATCTATCTTCATTGAGAAAAATATATCTAGGTTCCAACTTTTTTACATCTAGTATACCACTTAGCTTCTGGAATAACAAGGATGTCTTAGAGATGGATTTGTCCTCCAATTTACTAAGTGGTACCTTGTCTTCTGAAATTGGAAGTATGCACAACATGTTATACCTCAATCTCTCAGGTAACCAATTTTCTGGAGAAATTCCTTACACCATTGGGAACCTTCAGAATTTGCTTAATCTCTCTCTATCATCAAATAGGCTTCAAGGTCCTATTCCTCAGTCATTTGATAGTCTCATAAGCTTGCAAGCATTAGATTTATCTAATAACAACCTCTCTGGTGGTATTCCAAAGTCGATGGAGAAGCTCAAAGATCTAGTGTATCTGAACCTGTCTTTCAATGATCTGAGTGGTAAAATTCCAAATGGTGGACCTTTTGCAAAATTTAGCATGGAATCATTCATGGGTAACAAGGAATTATGTGGAGCTTCTCGATTCCATGTCATGAAATGCAAAGAAGTTAAAGGAAAACCGAGAAACATTGTCATATTTCTCAAGTATGTTTTGCCACCTCTTGTATCAGTGGTTGTTGTTGCTGTTCTACTGGGTTGGTTGCTTACGTTCTGGAAGAGAAACAAAGGAAGGGAACCTCGGGCTGAAGAGTCACTTGATGTTGCACTCCAGAGGATTTCATACTATGAAATTCTTCGTGCTACAGAAAGCTTTGATGAGAGCAACTTGATTGGGAGAGGGAGTTTTAGCTCAGTGTTCAAGGGAACTTTTGCAGCTAGGCTAGTTGCTGCTGTAAAGGTCTTCAATTTGGATGTGCAAGATTCAATCAGAAGTTTTGAAGTGGAGTGCCAAGTGCTAAGGAATATTCAACACAGAAATCTGGTCAAAGTAATAACCAGTTGCTCCAACCTCGACTTCAAAGCTCTGGTTTTAGAGTATATGCCCAATGGGAGCCTAGACAAATGGCTCTATTCACATAATTATTTCCTAGATATCTATCAGAGGCTAGGAATAATGATGGATGTTGCGAATGCGCTCGAGTACTTGCATCATGGTCATTCTTTTCCAGTGGTTCATTGTGATTTAAAGCCTGGAAACATTCTTTTAGATGAAAACATGGTTGCACATGTTGGAGACTTTGGTATAGCTAAGCTACTGGAAAGAGGAGATAAGGCCACTAAGCAGACAAAAACCATGGGCACAGTTGGATACATGGCTCCAGGTGAACTCAGATCACTCTCCAATTTAATTTGTAATTTGTAATCTAGGATATATGGAAGTAATTGTTCATATTTTTTGCACAATTGCAGAGTATGGTTCTGCAGGAATTATATCCAGCATGGGAGATGTATACAGTTTTGGGATTCTACTAATGGAAGTATTCACGAGAAGGAAGCCCACAGATGAAATGTTCCATGGAGACTTCACCATGAAGAAATGGGTGTCTGATTCAATGCCTGATGCAATAATGGAGATTGTTGACTCCAATTTAGTGACAGGAGAAGAAGGTGCAGGGCAAGAAATAGAAGAGTGCTTCTTGATGGTGATGGGATTAGCTATGGAATGCACATCTGATTTTCCAGAGGAGAGGATCAGCATGGAAGATGTCATAGTAAGACTCAAGAATGCACTGCAAAAGTTCAACCAAAATGTCTCCATAGGCTTAGTAATCAACTAGTTTGTCATCTTCTTTTGGGTTACGAGAAAAATCCAGAGTTACTATTCAATGGTGTGTGCTGGATACATCATACCTTGTGATCCAAGTGGGCCAAAGATGATCACAAGGAGGTAAACTAGTCTGCCTTCTTTGACATGTAGCTCAATAATCGGATACTGTACAACAAAATTAAAAGACCTGGGATACAAAAGTACTGTTTTAATTGATTTCTAATAAGGTTCAAAGCAGTGGCATATTTTATCTTATTTTGATGTTAGACGAATATTATAATTTCCATGATTAAGTGAAGTGACTACTTCATAATACCACTGAAAAGGAATATATTAAAGATGAAGTCTAGTTTAGTTGAGATGGCTAGAGACAGGTATTGCTATTCATGCAGAAGCGCTCCTCACTCCTTGCATTAATTTTGATGTTTCAAATTCTATCTTAGCTTTTTCTATGTGATTTTGAGCAGTACTCTGCGAATTCCAATATGTTTAACCATTCCGGCCAGTTTTTTAGATCGAGGGGAAAGGGCAACTCAAACACCAAATATTTATTGTTGGTGCCTCACAATATTTCTTCTCAGGCTAATTAAGAATGTCCAAACATGCATTGTGCATCATATGACAAACTAACCCCAAAGGGGTGAGCGCAAGCTTAGATCATTTGAGGATCACATTTATTGAACCATCAAACCTATCATGATGTATGTAACACTATTTTGTTCTCAAATCATTCCAGGCGCTCGTTTATTGCCTTAATGAATCTGCAAACCAATCATGATATCTACAGTACATTTTAATTTTCAGGTCACTCCAGAAGCTCATTTGTTGGACTATTAAACCAGTCATGATATCTGTAATACAGTTTTGTTCTCAAATCATTCTAGGAGGTCATTTATTGGATTACCAAACCAGTCATGATATCTACAATACAGTTTTACTCTCAAATCACTCCAAAAGCTCATTTGTTGGACCAACAAACCAGTCATAATATTTGTAATCACAGTTTTGTTCTCAAATCATTCCAGCACCTCATTAGAAAAGATGACAAGTTATTCCTTTATTACTTTAGGAAAGGTTCAAGGTTTGATTCTCACTGTTATTATTGGATTTTTACTCTTTTTTGCCTTTTTAGAAATAGTAATAGTGATATTTTTATTTTTATTCTTTACATAGGAAAGGTCCAAGTTTTGATGTGTTTTGATTTTTGGCTCATATACAATAATACTTATGGATGTGTTTTTAAGTGTTTTTTTTTTTTTTTTTTCAAACTATCTGTTCTGTATTAATCTTTCGCCTCTACAACTAATAATGTCCATATATACTTATTTAATATTTACGAGAAAAAATAACATTATTCTCATAAATAATATTTTATTCTAAATTTATTCCAAAATCCAAGCGTGACGATAGAGTTTCAATGGAGCTTGCTACCGTGTTTGAAATTGGAATCCGAGTCCAGACTGGTCAATGGTCATACAATTCCGACAGAGACTTCCCCAGCCCCGTCAGGGGGTATAAGATGACCAAATAAAAACTAATGCATAGACCTTAAAATATAAGTATATATCCTTTATAATTGGTATAATCTCTCCGTTACATGTTAAAAATAAAATATATAAAATATTAAATGTATAATCTTACTATTAATTTAATTTTTTTTTGTTAAGATTAAATACATATATTTCAATTTCATATAGTCAAAGAATTTTAGGTCGAAACTTTTGGACAATAGTTACATTTTTATAGTTCCACCTTTAGCTTAGTCCTTAAATATAGTAGGGTGTCATCATTTAGAGATTTTTTTACTAATTAAGTCAAAATGTTACTATAGTCGAGATATTAAAATGAAATAAATATTTTTTTTTGAATGTTACTAGCTCTATTACATTGTAGTATCTGTTCATATACTTTTTCAACCTACTGAAACACAAAGAGCTAATAACGCCTCCACTGAGGCTTGAACTCACAACCTTCCAAACGGAAGTCCAACCCGGGTACCATTAGACCACATAGTCCAAAATGAAATAAATATAATTTTACTATTAAAATAAATATTTAGAGCAAGCAAAAGGTTTTAAGTAAAAAATTTTGCATTACCTGATAAAAATATTTTCATGTGTTATTTGCTACATTAAAAATATTTAATTTCGTCCATATACGTATTAAATATGTATTTTAATTAAATTATTTGTGTTCCAACTTCCAATTTCCAACATCCAAAATATAAAACAATACATCATCATATGACAAAAATCTCGTCTAGTTATCCACTAACCTTAATAATTTTTCTTGGAAGAGGGATCGAAATATTCGGCCTTCCAAAAAAATGCTCAGTGAAAATCCGACAACAAAGTCAAGTCACTTTATTATTATTATTTATTTTTCTTTTGAAAGGAAGTCAAGTCATTTTTAAAATCATACTCCGTGTATAAGATGACCAAAGAAAAATCAGTGTTATATAATTATCATAAACGGTTAAAATTATTACAATTGGCCAATTTGGTGGAAGCTTTCAATTGTTTTGTCCAAGCTCTCAACCGCCTCTTAATTATTTCCCAAACCAATCAAGTTTGCAACCAAAAAATAATAATAATTAAAATAAAAATAAAAATAAAAATTCAACGCATAGCTCTCCATAAGCAATCGTTATATCCTACACCACGGCGCACATAGCATTGTGCGCCGTGCGCCTCCCAAAACTACGTCGTTTTGGGGTAGTGTTGGGAGGCGCGGTAGGAAGTTGCTGAGATTATGTGTATTTGTTTACAACGTTATGTGTATTTGTTCACAACGTTATGTGTATTGGTTCATACAGTTATGTGTATTTTTTATACAATTATGTACATTCTTTTTATACAATTATGTACATCCGAATCAGAAAATTTGTGTGTATTATGTTAAGAGTTGATGTGTATTATGTTAAAAGTTTATGTTTATTATGTATTATGTTAGATTATGTGTATTATCTTTTAAAAAGAGTATGTATATTTTGTTATATAATTATGTACATTCATGTATAACATTATGTGTATTCTAGTATAACATTATGTACATTCTTGAACAGCGGGGTTTTTTTTAAGAAAAAACTACTGCCATTCACTGGGGTGGGAAATTTCAAAAAAAAAAAAAATTAAAATGACGTCGTTTTGCATCTGGACGCATAGTGCAACGCGCACCGTGGTGTAGGATATAAATTGCCCTCCATAAGTCAATGGTATTTCCACTCCATTAATGTGGGCATATATCATAGCTTTGGGTCCAAAATCCGTCAATGGTGTTAAGACTATATATGGGCAAATTAATTATACCATTGACAAGGTCCACCTTGCATTGTGGATCTTAATTCAAAACAACATTTAAATTATATGCTTGCAGTTAACATGTATTTGCATGCAAATGACAAAGGGGTGTTTGGTAAATAGCTGTTAGTTGATTGTGTTAGTGGATTTGACTAGTTGAAAACATTAGCTGACTGTAGAAAGATGTTTGGTAAATTAGTTGTTAGGTGATTGTTGATTACATACGAACTGACTTTCTCAAAAAGCTGCTCAAAGCAGCTTTTGAATTTTTGTGTTTTGGATCAATAAGCTATTACAAAAATTTAATTAATCAAACACTCATATCAGTTGTTTAACAAGTCAAACAGCTAATAGTGGTCAAACAAGTCATAATTTGAATCTTGTTTTTGAACTAGTCAACAATACCATGTGGACCTAGTCAATGGTATAACAGTACAATTGTAGGTTATATATGCATCATGCATGAAGGCATATCTTGGGGTTTTCAGACATGAGTCAATCTTGCAACTCCCAGTAAATCACTAAAAAAAAAAAAAAAAAACATTCTTTAGCATAGCTTGCATATATGATGCTGAGCTTCTTCTTCACAGAGCAGTTGGTATCAATGGAAAGGTGCTTGGTTTTGGTTGTTCTAATGCTATCCCAGCTTTGCATGGCAACTCATCATCAGCCTTCCAATAATAGCTCTGCTGATGATAAGGCTGCCCTATTGGCGTTGAAAGCAACCATAACATCCGATCCTTTTGGCGTCTTGTCTAACAACTGGTCTCATCAAACTCCCTATTGTGATTGGATTGGTGTTACTTGCAATGCTAAACACCAAAGAGTGACCCAATTGAATCTCTTCGATATGGGACTCATTGGCACCATTCCTAAGGAGATTGGTCACCTCTCATTCCTTTCGACTTTCAACATCAGCGCTAATGGTTTCCATGGCCATATCCCAGACAACATTGGATTCTTGACCAAACTCCAGAGTTTGGATTTGTCCTACAACAGTCTCACTGGAAACATTCCGGCAACTTTGTACAACGTTTCTTCCTTGCGTTTAGTAGACTTGAGAAACAATCAACTCTCAGGGACGCTTCCAGGGGGCACTTGTGATAACTTCAGGCTGTTACAAGCCTTGTATCTTTCGGCAAATGGATTCAGTGGTCACATTCCATCAAGTCTACATAAATGTATGGAACTTAGAGTTTTGGACTTAGCAGATAATGAATTTCATGGAAGCGTACCACCTCAAATTGGCAACTCCTCCAAGCTCGAGCAGTTAATACTACTTCGTAACAATTTGACAGGTGAGTAACATAATATATATGCATCATATCGCTACCAATTTACATATATAATATCATCTGTTCATTTTTTGAATGCAATATCATCTGTTCATATCAGGTGCGAACTGACCTTAATATGTAAACTTGCTAATTATTGAAAGATTGCACTACACTGTGTAGCCAGGGCGGATCTAGAAAATTATGTGACTGAGGGTATAGTTCAAGTGATTTTAGAAACAGATTATAGGATAGTTAGGGGCGGAGCCAAAACTATACTTGGGTAGGGTTAAATTTTAAAACACTTTGAAATGCTATAAAAATATTTATGGCAAAATATGAAACATAATGGATTAAATAAAATAGTTTAAATATAAAATACAATATATTTATAAAAATACTTTAATTTTAATTTTCTTTTAGTTAAATCAATTTTAAATTTTTGTAGATTAATTGGAATACAATGAAGTATAATATATAATTGTGGTTTATATTAACTAAATGATTAATTTGAATATAATGAAGTATAATATAAACTTGTGGACTACATTCTCAAAAAAAATAAACTTGAAAAAATATTTAATTTACTAAAGGATTGGAAGGGCTAAAATAAAGAAAAGAAACTACAAATACAGAAAAGTGCTCCTAGTGGGATTTGTTTCAATCAACTAATCTACTGAAATCTTTAGTAATTCCTATTTTATATGTATATAAAAGGGTTACGGGAGGAGGATGAGTGGGGGCAATTGCCCCTACAGTCCCCATTGTTAGGGGTGTTCAATCGGTTAAACGAATCGAATTAATCGAACTTTTTAAACAATTAACCGTTAACCAAATCGATATTTGTGTTATCGAATTAATCGAATCGAAATTTTTTTTGGTTAACTGATTAACCAAACTTTTTAAAGATAAATTTAAAATCTTAAAAATCACTTAAAATAATAAATCCAATTAAAATACAATACATATCATAATAAATTAATCCCTAACTTCAAATCAGGGATCAAAAATCTAAAGTCTAAACATCCATAGTCCATTATATATTTATATTAGTATTACACAAGTACTATATATATATATATATATATATTAAAAACTTCGGTTAATTCGGTTTACTGACACTTTTGAATTGAATTAACCGTTAACCGAAGTTTTAAAATTTCTTTAACCATTAATCGAATCGAAAAAATTTAGTTAAAAAACGATTAATCGAACTTTGTCGGTTCGATCCGTTAACCGAAAATTCTCCGAAGTTTGCACACCCCTTTGTACATCCACCAATGTTGTTTAGGAGTCGTTGAAGTGCAATCACTTAGTCGTTGCGATGCAATCTTTCAGTAGTTCACAAGTTTACAGGTTCAGACTGGTTCTCACCTGATTGATATCATCCCTAATCCCTAATCCCTATGCATATATGCTTAAAATTAACTAAATTGTCTTTAATTAATTTCATGATTTAATTCGCAGGAGATTTGCCTTGGACAATCTTCAATATTTCATCTCTAGTAATACTTAACCTTCAGGCGAATGAAATCTCTGGCCTTCTTCCAAATGACCTCTGTTATTCCCTTCCAAAATTGGAGGTTCTGCGTCTTGCCATAAACCAAATTCATGGAGAAATCCCTCCAGCCCTATCCAGTTGCAGGAGCCTTAAAGTACTTTCCTTGTCTGCGAATCAACTCTCTGGAACAATACCTTGTAGCATCTACAACATGTCATCTCTTGAGCAGCTTCAACTTGCAAAAATGAAATTATTAGGTAACTTATATAACCCCCTCCTCCTCCCCTACCCCTACCCTTCAATTTATTTATTTATTTTTAAATTTGATACTAGAGTTTTTTTTTATTAGATTTATTGCATAATTGTTCAGGAAACCTACCAAATGAAATTGGGAAGTTGTCAAGGCTTAGAGATTTGAGAGTTTTTGATAACCGGTTGACAGGTATGATACCTCCTTCAATTGGAAATCTTTCGGCTTTGGAGATTTTTGTTGTTGCAGACAACAATTTGGATGGTAATATTCCCCTAGAGTTTGGAAAGCTTTCAAGTCTTCAACAACTGTCACTTCGATCAAATAATTTTAGTGGCAATATACCATCCTCAATTTTCAACAATATCTCTGGATTACAGTTTATTGAGATGTCATTTAATAAACTTTCTGGCAATCTTCACCAAAGCCTAAGAAATTGGATGTCCCCAAGTCTCATAGAAGTTTATATCCAATTTAACCTATTCACCGGAAGCATTCCAAGCTCCATATCAAATGCCTCCCAACTCGAACGCCTTGATCTTGGGCATAACATATTAAGTGGCCATGTACCTTTGGTAGTTGAAAATTTGCACCAACTTCAATATTTTGCCATAGAAAACAACCAAATCACAAATGATCCATCAGCCAATGATCTAAGCCTACTCACTTCATTGTTGAAATGCAAGGATTTGCATACAATTATTTTGACTGCTAATCCGCTCAACACAGTTCTTCCCAACTTGTTAGACGTAGGCAATAGTACGTCTTTGCCACTGAAAATCTTGTATGGTGATTATTGTCAATTTAGAGGCAGGATTCCAAGTGGAATTAGCAACTTTAGTAGCTTGTATGATTTGGATTTGGGTAACAACTTGCTCGTAGGTTCGTTTCCTAAAACATTGGGACGTTTGCAGAGGTTACAAGGTTTAAAGCTTGGTAATAATGAACTTGAGGGTTCACTACCAAAAACTTTGTGTTATTTGAATGACTTATCTGAAATGAATCTTGGAATGAATGAGTTCTCGGGGAAAATACCAAGCTGTTTAGGTAATGTATCTTCTTTGAGGAAAATATATTTAGGTTACAATTTATTTACATCTGCAATACCACTTGGGTTCTGGAACAACAAGGATGTCTTGGAGCTGGACTTGTCCTACAATTCTCTTAGTGCTCCCCTGTCTCCTGAAATTGGTAGTTTGCACAGCATTGTAACATTAGATTTGTCAGGCAACCAATTTTCAGGAGAAATTCCCGACGCCATTGGCCAACTCCAGAATTTGATTACTCTTTCTCTATCATCAAATAGGCTTCGTGGTCCTATTCCTCAATCATTTGGTAGTCTGTTAAGCTTGCAACAGTTAGATTTATCTAACAACAGCCTCTCGGGTGGTATTCCAAAGTCGATGGAGAAGCTCAAGTATCTCGTGTACTTGAACATGTCTTTCAATGAACTTAGTGGTAAAATTCCAGATGATGGACCATTTGCAAAATTTAGCATGGAATCATTCATGGGCAACAAGGAATTATGTGGAGCTTCTAGGTTCCATGTCATGCCATGCAAAGAAGGTAAAGAAAAACCGAGAAACACTGCCATATTTCACAAGTATGTTTTGCCATCTCTTGTATCAGTGGTTGTTGTTGTTGCTATTCTATTGGTTTTGTCGCTTACGTTTTGGAAGAGAAATAAACGAAGGGCACCCCAAGTTGAGAATTCACTTGATGTTGCCCTCAAGAGGATTTCATACTATGAAATCCTTGGTGCTACAGAAGACTTTGATGAGAGCAACTTGATTGGGAGGGGGAGTTTTAGCTCAGTGTTCAAGGGCACTTTTGTTGATGGGGTGATTGCTGCTATAAAAGTCTTCAATTTGGATGTGCAAGATTCAGTCAGGAGCTTTGATGTAGAGTGTCAAGTGCTAAGGAATATTCGGCATAGAAATCTTGTCAAAGTAATAACCAGTTGTTCCAACCTCGACTTCAGAGCTTTGATTTTAGAGTATATGCCCAACGGGAACCTGGACAAATGGCTCTATTCACATAATTATTTCCTAGATATTTATCAGAGGCTAGGAATAATGATGGACGTTGCGAATGCGCTCGAGTACTTGCATCATGGCCATTCTTTTCCAGTGGTTCATTGTGATTTGAAGCCTGGTAACATTCTTTTAGATGAAAACATGGTTGCACATGTTGGTGACTTTGGTATAGCTAAGCTACTGGACAGAGATAAGGCCACTAAACAGACAAAAACCATGGGCACAGTTGGATACATGGCTCCAGGTGAACTCACTCAGCTTTCTAATTTAATTTGTAGCTTCAAGTTTAGGATATATGGAAGTAATTGTATGTTCATATTTTTTGCACAATTGCAGAGTATGGTTCTGCCGGAATAGTATCTAGCATGGGAGATGTATATAGTTTTGGGATTCTACTAATGGAAGTAATCACGAGAAGGAAGCCCACAGATGAGATGTTCTATGGAGACTTCACCATAAAGAAATGGGTGTCTGATTCATTGGCTAATGCAATAATGGAGATCGTTGACTCTAATTTAGTGACAAGAGAAGAAGGTGCAGGGCAAGAAATAGAGGAGTGCTTCTTGATGGTGATGGAATTAGCTATGGAATGCACATATGATTTTCCAGAGGATAGGATTAGCATGGAAGATGTCATAGTGAGACTCAAGCATGCGCTGCACAAATTCAACCAAAATGTCTCCATTGGTTTAGTAATAAATTAGTTTGCCATCTATTTTAGATAACAAGAGAAATTCACAGACACTATTCAAGAAAATGCACTGTTTAAATCCTGTTTTATGACCCTAATTGACAAAGGATTACAATGAGGTAAATTAGTCTGTTTCCGATTGACACGTAGCTCAATAATGGCATATTTTATCCTATTTTGATGTTAGACGAATATTATTATTTCCGTGGTGTATGCAGAAAGCTAATTAATAAGCAAAAACTTTTTCATACTGCAAGTGTACAAATTAGTGTTTTAAATGCACTCTATCATCCTTTTTATTGTATGTGTATATCCATACGATTTTTATTAAATTAGGGGGCCTTTTTATTAGAGAATTGGTGATTTACAACACCCTACATTGCGGGGCAAATTATGCTGTGCATGGTGCATACGGATGCAAAAACGACGTCGTTTTAATAAAACGCGCGTCTCCCCTTAAAAAAAAAAATCAGGTTCGATTCCCAGCAATAACATATGAACTATAATTCCATAATCGATGAACTATAATTCCATAATCTAATCTATGAACTAAAAATTCCAGAATGAATGAACTAAAATTCCATAATCTATAAACTAAAATTTCAGAATCGATGAACTACAATTCCATAATTGATGAACTATAATTCCATAATCAATGAACTATAATTCCATAATCTATGAACTAAAATTCCAGAATGAATGAACAATATAATGTTGTTGCTGAGAATCGAACCTGAATTTTTTTTAGAAGGGAGACGCGCGTTTTTTTAATAAAACGACGTCGTTTTGGCATCCGTATGCACCATGTCCGTATGCACCATGCATGGTGCATACGGATGCACAGCATAACGATTGACATTGCGGTCAAGTGTGGATGAAGACATGGCCTTCTGTGATGTATCTAGTCGACGCCAAATCTGAACAAAGAAATGCAGAATTGCTGAACTGGTCATATGATTTAAGGTATAGGCGGAGTAGTTGACTTATTAAACCCATTCACATTATAAGTCCATCAACAAGCCCCACAAAATTCACCAATCGTTCAAATCCAAAACAATTAACGCCGTTTCTTTTAATGAAAAGAAACAACAATGTGTATAATATTGTAATGAAAGTACAATATGTACAAAATGAAATTCAATAGCAGCTCTCACATATTGACTGGATATTGTCAAATAAAACTGTAATTGAATTAGAATAACACTTTAATGGTACTTGATAGTGTAAATGGAATCGGGGTTACGAATACGTATGTTTCTGAACGAGTGACGAAGTCGCTCGACGAGTCAGTTGGTCTACCGGGGGTCGGTCTACCGAGTAACGACAGAGCGGTCCGAGGATGAGTAGTATTACGAGCTAGTAACAATGTGATTACACGTGATTGAATTGGTTAGACGGGGTGTAGATTGCAATGTAGAGTGGATTATAAGCAAAGTGACGTTACATAGTGAAGATTACAAGTAGAGTGTAGTAGTTGTTGGAACAAGATGAAGATGAGAAGTGAGGGTGAAACCCTCCTATATATACTAACTAAGTCGGTCTACGTATTTTTTTTAAAGCCAAATCCAAATCACGCCAATAGATATGCCATGGACTCAGGTCCACCTTGCAAGGTGGATTCGGGTCAAAATACACAATTTATATATTGAATGTTCACAATTCAAATTGTGAACATTCAGTAGGTAAGTTGTGAGTATTTAGTATATAAAATTTTCACAAAATTTGGATCTATCCTACAACAATCTCACTGGAAACATCCCCGCAACTATATACAACATTTCTTCCTTGCGATTTGTAGTCATGGAATACAATATTCTCTCAGGGATGCTTCCGGCGGGCATTTGTGATAACTGCAGGCAGCTACAAAGCTTGTCTCTTAGATCAAATCGATTGAGTGGTCAGATTCCATCAAGTCTACACAAATGTATTGGTTGGTGGGTTTTGCCCATAGGAATGGGTATGAAAGTGATTGTTGTTGTTTGGTTGATAGGTTTTTAGAACACTACTATGGGTTTCGAATACCCCATCAATTGAAAAACCCATACCCAAATACAATAAAGGTTTCATTCCCTTATTCATTTTCAAGCACTACTATTAGTAACCATTCCCATTCCACCTACTACCAAACATGTTAAATACTTTCACCAAAACCCATTACCATTACCAAGTATTTGATACCCATTCCGATTCCGATTCCTATGTGCGAACCAAACACACCCATAAAGAGTTTTGAATTTAGGAGAGAATGAATTCCATGGAAGCATACCACCTGAAATTGGCAACTTTTCCAAGCTCGAGATGTTATTGCTATATGGCAACAACTTGGCAGGTGAGCTTTGTTTTTGGCCTAATTTTAGTGACATATATGGCTACCAATTTATATAATATATAGTAGAATGTAATATGTCTGTGTACTTATACTGCCTTTTAATACATGCATGCAGGAGATTTGCCTTGAACAATCTTCAATATTTCATCTTTAATAGCACTTGACTTTCAGAGGAATGAACTCTCTGGAACTCTTCCAAATGACCTCTGTTATCTCCTTCCGGAATTGGAGTATATGGATATTGGCGTAAACCATATTCATGGAGAAATCCCTCAAGCTCTATCCAGTTGCAGGAAACTTCAAGTACTTTCCATGTCTTACAATGAACTCTCTGGAAGATTACCTAGCGACATCTGGAACGTGTCATCTCTTCGGGAACTCTATCTTGCAGAAATGAAGTTGACAGGTAAATTCAAAAAGCTTCATGAAATTTTGATTTAGGGAATTTTATTAAATAGTGACAGTGGCCGTGAAGCGCCCCAACTAGGCCATTTAATTTGGCCTCCAGTAGAGATTCGCTCCTAAACTTATACATAACTTACAGGATACTTGCTAAAAGAGATTGGAAAGTTGTCAAACCTTCGAGAGTTTAGAGTTTTTGTAAACCGCTTGACTGGTACAATACCCCCTTCAATTGGCAATATATCGACATTGGAGAATTTTGTTGTTAAGGATAACAATTTGGACGGTAACATTCCTCCAGAGCTAGGAAGGCTATCAAATCTTAAAGGATTGTCACTTAGTTTAAATATTTTTAGTGGTGAAATACCATCCTCCATTTTCAACATCTCAGGATTACAAAAGATTGAGTTGTCATCAAATAAGCTTGTTGGCAATCTTGAACCAGGCCTAAGACATTGGATTTCACCAAGTCTTGAAGCACTTCTTCTCAGCGACAACCAATTCAGTGGAACCATTCCTAGCACTATATCAAATGCCTCCCAACTCATACTGCTTGATCTTGGGCTTAACATGTTCAGTGGCCATGTACCTCTGATGGTTGAAAATTTACACCAACTTCAATATTTTAGCATAGAAGAAAACCATATCACAAATGACCCATCGGCCAATGAACTGGGCCTACTCACTTCATTGTCGAAGTGCAAGAATTTAAAAATGGTTATTTTGGCCCGCAATCTATTCAACACAGTTCTTCCCAACTTGTTATATGTTGGCAATAAGTCGTCATCATTGGAAGTCTTGTATGCAAGAAATTGTCACTTAAAAGGCAGCATACCTAGTGGAATCAGCAACTTCAACAACTTGATTTCTCTGGACCTGTCCTATAACAACTTCTCAGGTTCGCTTCCTGGAACATTGGGACATTTGCTGAGGTTACAGGGTTTATTTGTACATAACAATAAAATTGAGGGATCAATACCAAACACCATGTGTTTTTTGAAGGAGTTATCTGAATTGGATCTTGGAGATAATAAGCTCTCAGGAAAAATACCAAGTTGTTTTGGGAATATATCTTCTTTGAGAAATATCTATCTAGGTTCCAATTTATTTACATCTGCAATACCACTTGGGTTCTGGAACAACAAGGATCTCTTGGAGCTGGACTTGTCCAACAATTTTCTTAGTGCTCCCTTGTCTCCTGAAATTGGAAGTATGCACAACATGGTATACCTCAATATTTCAGGTAACCAATTTTCTGGAGAAATTCCTTACACCATTGGGCAACTTCAGAATTTGCTTAATCTCTAGCTCTATCATCAAATAGGCTTCAAGGTCTTATTCCTCAGTCATTTGGTAATCTCATAAGCTTGCAAGCATTAGATTTATCTAATAACAGCCTCTCTGGGGGTATTCCAAAGTCGATGGAGAAGCTCAAAGATCTAGTGCATCTAAACCTGTCTTTTAATGATCTAAGTGGTAAAATTCCAAATGGTGGACCCTTTGCAAAATTTAGCATGGAATCGTTCATGGGTAACAAGGAATTATGTGGAGCTTCTCGATTCCATGTCATGGAATGCAAAGAAGGTAAAGGAAAACCGAGAAACATTGCCTTATTACTCAAGTATGTTTTGCCATCTCTTGTATCTGTGATTGTTGTTGTTGTTCTACTGGTTTGGTTGCTTACGTTTTGGAAGAGAAACAAACGAAGGGAACTGTTGAAACACAAAAGTTGTGTCTGTAGAAATATAGCTGTTGAAGTTGTGTAGGGTTGTGTCTGTAGGATTGTGTCTCTTAGTCTGTATATATTTCTCTGTTGTCTCCCCATTGAGACAAGGAAGTAATAACAACTCTTTCTACATCTCTCTCAACATGGTATCAAGCCAACAATTTGAAAAATTTTGAAATTTTTTTCGGTGAACAGTAACAAGTACTGTTCATCCGAAACTATTTTCTCAGATTACTTCCTAAAGGTGTGCTCTTTTGTCAAAATAATACTACAACCTTCATCTCCAGTCTCCGGCGACCCCGGCCCACCTTTTCCGGTCACCGGAACACCGCCCACGCGCCTTCACGCGCCACCACGTCGCCGGCGCTCCGACCCCACGCGCCGGCGCGTGAGGCCATCTCCGGCGAGGTTTTCCGACGAAACTTCCCAGTCCGGCTCGTCGGCCCTCTGCAATTTCGTCTGTACCATCAGATTTCATTTTGGTCGCGATGTCTTCTGACGAAAATTCTTCGGGTATTTCTCCTGCCAATAATTTACCTACTTCTTCGAGCTCTGTTTATGTGCCTAATCTGTCTGGAAATCCGGTAATCACTTCTGAAAGATTATGTGGTTCTCAAAATTACCACTCTTGGTCGGATGCCGTAGAATTATGGTTTATGGGCCAAGGTGTTGTTGACCACTTGCAAAAAGGAGTGGATATGATACCGGAAAAAGAAAAGTCAGTTTGGCAAAGGTTAGATGCTCAACTTTGTAGTCTCCTTTGGCAGTCTCTTTCTCCACAATTGTTACCTTTATTTCGGCCCTTTAAGACATGTGTTGAGGTGTGGAGTCAAGCTCAATCTCTGTACACTAATGATGTCTCTCAATTCTATAATGTTGTTGACAATTTGGTTAACTTGAAGAAAGATGGTATTGATATGGAAACTTTTCTTGGCAAAGCCCAAAGTTTGATTGCTGAGTTTGGTACACTCATGCCTATTGGTGGTACGCCCGCAGAGCAACTTACCCAACGAGAGAAATTCTTTGTAATACTTCTCTTAACCAAATTAGGTCCAGAATTTGAAAGCATCCGGAATCAAGTTCTTGGAAGCAACGAAGTCCCGGGGACCACCGAGTTGTTCAAACGGCTCTTGCAAGTCACCTCCATTCCAGGTACTCACACATCCACTACCGAACAATCTGCTCTAGTCGCACAAGTAGGTCGTGGACGAACTAACAATCGTGGTGGACAGAAAAGCACTAGAGTTTGTGATTATTGTAATAGAACTGGGCACACGCGAGATCAGTGTTGGAAACTTCATGGGAGACCGGTTCGTACCCAAGCAAGTGTTGCTCAATCTCAACCTGGGGAACCAAATTCTCGAACCATTTCCGCTGCTGAGTATGAAGAGTTTGTTCGATTTAAAGCCACTCCCAAAGCTTCTGGTTTAACTCCTGCGGCCCACACTGATGGAACTCATACTGCCCTTGTATCACAATCTAGCCTGAGCGGACCATGGGTTATCGATTCAGGCGCCTCTGAGCATATCTCTGGTAACTCATCTTTATTTTCTCATTTCACCAAGTCTAAGTCCCTTCCATCTATTGTTTTCGGTAATGGGTCCAAGAGTACGGCTACTGCAATTGGAAAGGCTTCCCCCCTTCCTACTTTGCCTCTCTCTTCAATTCTTTATATACCTAACTGTCCTTTCAATTTAATTTCTGTTCATCAACTTACAAAATCTTTGGACTGTATGGTCACTTTTTCTTCTGATTCTGTCATTATGCAGGACCGTCGTTCGGGGAAGATGATTGGTTCGAGGTATGAATCAGAAGGACTTTATCGATTATCTACCCCAAAACCTTCTACAGTTTGCACTGCTACCATTCCTCCTTCCCTTGCCCATGACCGACTAGGACATCCTAGCCTTAATAAATTACGGCGACTTGTCCCTAGTTTGTCTCACTTATCTACCCTAGAGTGTGAAGCTTGTCAGCTTGGCAAACATTCTAGAACATCGTTTCCTAATCGTATTAATAAAAGAGCTGCTTTCCCTTTTTCCTTAGTTCATACTGATGTTTGGGGACCTTTTCGTTATAATTCAATTCTTGGTTTTAAATATTTTATTACCTTCACTGATGATTTTTCTCGTTGTACATGGGTCTTTTTAATGCAAAACCGTTCTGAAGTACTTAATGTTCTTCAAAAATTTGTTAATGAGATAAAATCAGTTTGGGGTGTCTATTAAAACTTTACGAAGTGATAATGCTGGAGAATACTTTACAACTCCTTTATCTAACTTTCTTGATTCAGCGGGCATCCTCCCTGAGTCATCTTGTCCCGATACTCCACAACAAAATGGGGTATCTGAACGTAAAAACCGGCATCTCGTTGAAACAGCCTGCACCATGATTCTCCACTATAAAGTCCCTCCCGAATTCTGGGCAGATGCTATCCTTCATTCCTGTTATTTAATAAATCGTATGCCTTCATCTGTTTTACATGGTAAGATACCTTATACTATTTTATTTCCCGATAAGCCCCTTCATACTCTTCCTTTAAAAATTTTTGGGTGCACCTGTTTTGTCCGGGACACTACCCCAGGGCGTGATAAATTTTCCCCAAAATCCTTAAAATGCATGTTTGTTGGGTACTCTAGGTTGCAAAAGGGTTTCAGATGTTATTCCCCTGATAAGCATCGTTTTTATGTATCTTCTGACGTTACTTTCTTTGAATCAACACCTTTCTTTTCGTCTAGTTTACCGACCTCCATCTCTCATTTTCCTGATGTTCTTCCTGTTCCTACTTTTCAAGGAGGGACCGAGGTACATTTACCTCAAGATCCGTCATCACCTAGAAATCCTAGTCCCTCACCTACTGAACCTCCTTTACAAAACAACAGTGTTACCCCATTTCCTTACACTTATCATCGCCGCTCTCGACCACCCACGACAGTTCAAATCGATGAAATCCCAACTGATTCATCTCTTGAGCTATCTATGCCCTCGAACCTGGTTCCAGCAACAAGCTCTCCTATCGCAAGTCGTGTAGGTAACAGGTCATCACGGAACCCCTTTCCCATATACAACTTTATTTCATATGATCGTCTCTCACCTTCATATAATGCTTTTATCACATGTTTATCTTCTGTTTCTGCCCCTAAATCTGTTAAAGAAGCCCTTTCCCACCCTGGTTGGCGTCAGGCTATGGTTGATGAAATGGCTGCTCTTCATTCATCGGGGACTTGGGAGTTAGTTCCATTACCCGAAGGTAAAACAACTGTTGGTTGCCGATGGATCTATACTGTGAAAGTTGGGCCCAATGGACAGGTAGATAGACTTAAAGCTCGACTGGTAGCCAAAGGATATACACAGGTTTTTGGGATTGATTACACTGACACCTTTTCACCAGTAGCTAAAATTGCTTCGGTCAGAATCTTTCTTTCTATGGCTGCCGTTCATCATTGGCCCTTGCATCAGTTAGATATTAAAAATGCATTTCTGCATGGAGATTTAGAGGAAGAAGTCTACATGGAGCAACCTCCTGGGTTTGTTGCTCAGGGGGAGAGTAACTTGGTTTGTAAGCTCAAACGTTCTCTCTATGGTCTAAAACAATCTCCTCGTGCCTGGTTTGGACGGTTCAGCATAGTAGTGCAAAATTTTGGTTTAAATCGAAGCAAAGTTGACTATTCCGTCTTTTATAGACATCAACATGGTAAGAGCATTTATCTTGTTGTATATGTTGATGATATTGTCATTACAGGAGATGATGTTGAAGGAATACAATTGTTGAAACAACATCTTTTCCAACATTTTGAAACTAAAGATCTCGGGAAGTTAAAATACTTTTTGGGAATTGAAGTAGCACAATCCAAGCAAGGAATTTGCATATCACAAAGAAAGTATGCATTGGATATACTAGAAGACACAGGTATGATGAATTGTAAACCTCTTGACACTCCTATGGATCCAAATATCAAACTCCTACCAGACCAGGGGGAGCTTATCCAAGATCCGGGAAAATATAGACGATTGGTTGGAAGATTACTTTATTTAACTGTAACTCGACCTGATATCTCTTTTGCGGTAAGTGTTGTTAGTCAGTTCTTGGCATCTCCACGTGAAAGTCATTGGGAAGCTGCCATTCGGATTTTACGATATATTAAAAAATCTCTAGGCACTGGTTTGTTATACAAAGACCATGGAAACCTTGAAATTATTGGGTACACAGATGCAGATTGGGCAGGTGCATGGGATAGAAAATCAACATCTGGATATTGTATCTTTCTTGGTGGTAACTTAATCTCTTGGAAAAGTAAAAAGCAAAATGTTGTTGCTAGATCAAGTGCAGAAGCCGAATATCGATCTATGGCCGTTGGAACATGTGAACTTGTGTGGTTGAAAAACCTCCTTACCGAACTGCAGATTTGTACAAAGGAGTCCATGAAGCTCATTTGTGATAACCAAGCAGCTTTGCATATTGCATCAAATCCAGTTTTTCATGAAAGGACAAAACACATTGAAATTGATTGCCATTTTGTTCGAGACAAAGTTACTTCTGGAGATATTACTACATCTTTTATAGGCTCAAATAATCAATTAGCTGATATATTTACTAAAGCTTTAAGAAGTCATAGGATTGAATACATTTGTAACAAGCTTGGTGCATATGATATACATGCTCCAGCTTGAGGGGGAATGTTGAAACACAAAAGTTGTGTCTGTAGAAATATAGCTGTTGAAGTTGTGTAGGGTTGTGTCTGTAGAATTGTGTCTCTTAGTCTGTATATATTTCTCTGTTGTCTCCCCATTGAGACAAGGAAGTAATAACAACTCTTTCTACATCTCTCTCAACAGGAACCTCGGGTTGAAGATTCACTTGATGTTGCACTCAAGAAGATTTCATACTATGAAATTCTTCGTGCTACAGAAAGCTTTGATGAGAGCAACTTGATTGGGAGAGGGAGTTTTAGCTCAGTGTTCAAGGGGACTTTTGCTGCTGGGTTGGTTGCTGTTGTAAAGGTCTTCAATTTGGATGTGCAAGATTCAATCAGGAGCTTTGAAGTAGAGTGTCAAGTGCTAAGGAATATTCGACACTGAAATCTTGTCAAAGTAATATCCAGTTGCTCCAACCTCGTCTTCAAAGCTCTGATTTTAGAGTATATGCCCAATGGGAGCCTAGACAAATGGCTTTATTCACATAATTATTTCCTAGATATCTATCAGAGGCTAGGAATAATGATGGATGTTGCGAATGCCCTCGAGTATTTTCATTATGGTCATTCTTTTCCAGTGGTTCATTGTGATTTAAAGCCTGGCAACATTCTTTTAGATGAAAACATGGTTGCACGTGTTGGTGACTTTGGTATAGCTAAGCTACTGGACAAAGATAAGGCCACTAAGCAGACAAAAACCATGGGCACAGTTGGATACATGGCTCCAGGTGAACTCACTCAACTCTTTAATTTAATTTGTAGCTTCAAGTTTAGGATATACGGAAGTAATTGTATGTTCATATTGTTTGCACAATTGCAGAGTATGGTTGTGCAGGAATAGTATCCAGCATGGGAGATGTATACAGTTTTGGGATTCTACTAATGGAAGTATTCTCGAGAAGGAAGCCCACAGATGAAATGTTCCATGGAGACTTCAGCATGAGGAAATGGGTGTCTGATTCATTGCCTGATGCAATAATGGAGATTGTTGACTCCAATTTACTGATAGGAGAAGAAGGTGGGCAAGAAATAGAGGATTGCTTCTTGATGGTCATGGGATTAACTGTAGAATGCACAGCTGATTTTCCAGTGGAGAGGATTACCATAGAAGATGTTGCAGGAAGACTTAAGCATACACTGCGCAAGTTCACCCACAATACATCTTGATCGAGGTTCAATTGGCAATGCAGTAAACTAGTTTGCTTTCTTCAAAATGGTGCTCAATATTTAGATTGCTTTTATTGATTTCTAATCAGGTTTAAACTGCTTCATATTTTAAATGGCTCATAGCCTCCTTTCTTTATATTGATCCTCTCATAAGAATTTTGACTTAAAAAACATCATCTTAGATCAACCTACAATCACAAAAACAAGAGAGTGTAGCTAGAACTAGTTGCTTCTGAGAGTAGTAACAATTCAAGTATCCAAGAAGTTCAATAATAAACAATGTAAATTGCAAAAACAACAAGTAAATGGTGGTGGTTAGACTCTCTAACTTGAATGATTTCTCATGTTAACCCAAATGGACTCATTACTCAAAACTGATGCTATTCTCCGACAACAGCGTCATTTGAAAGTTGATTTTAGTGGTGATGTTTACTGAGTGTCGTCCTCTAGGAATGGCTATAAGAGAATTAAGTAGAGAGGGGTTAAACATGAGATCATTGAGTGTTTGAAAGCTAACCAAAAAGAAATGATTATTTGCATTGAGAACAAATATAAGATAAAGTAATAGATTAAAATAAAACACAATATTGAAGGTAAGGATTCAGATTGCATAAATGTTTCTTAATGTTTTAAGTTTCTAAGGCAAACAAAGATCAATAATAAAAGTGAGGGAGTTTAGCAAGTGCCAACGCCATTCTCATCGTCATTGGGCTATCACCTAAGTTCTAATCTCATTCTCATGGCAACTAGACTAGGTGAGGCAAATAATCAAACACCTTGTGTGCTCTATCTCTTCCAACTCCCCTTTCTCACGAGTGAGTTAAAAATGTGATAGGTTTGGCTATGGTGAATCCCTATTCTCATAAGTGAAACACCAAATCCAAAATTCCCTGAAAGTGAGTTAGAAATGTGATAGGTTTGGCTATCGATCCCAATTCGCAGTTCTCCTCCTTATCTTACCTTAATTTGAGGATGAGAACTGCGAATTAGAATAGATCTTAGGACTTAAATCTCTTTATTCAGGCTCAAATTGAGATTTTAATTTGAAAAGGACGAAAATATCTTTAATAATTTCATATTTCGACATGTCTTAAACGAATGGATGACCAGCGTGATGAATTTTGACACTAAAATAATAGTCGTGGATGAAAATTGGTACTACAATAATAGTCGTGAATAGAAATTAGTATGAATTAAACATGTGGATCAAAACTGTCATTTTGCTAATATTCGTGACACCAAAATTGGTATTTACTCATTATTTTTCGGGGGAGAGGGATTAAAATATTCGGCCTTCCAGAAAAATGCTCAGTGCAAATCCGACAACAAAGTCAAGTCATTTTTTAAAATCATTCTTATATAAGAAGACCAAAGAAAAATCAATGTTATAATTATCATAAACGGTTAAAATTATAACAATTGGCCGGCCAATTTGGTGGAAGCTTTCAATTGTTTTGTCCAAGTTCTCAGCCGCTTCTTAATTATTTTCCAAACCGGCCATTCAAGACTGCAACCAAAAATAATAATAATAATAATAAATCAACGCATAGCTCTCCATAAGTCAATGGTATTTCCACTTCATTAATGTGGGTATATAATCATATGCTTTCAGCCTTTAAGGGACTAAAATGAGGATTTTCACATTTTTAAAATTTCGTCAATTTAGTACCTAGAAGGATTTAATTGACTAATTCGAAGATTAAATTGGTTGAAATTAAAAATCAAAGATTACATCAATAGTTGAGAAACAATTGAGAGACCAAAATATTAATTTCCGCTAAGTGGGGACCCACGGGACAATCATTGCCAGGGAGAGTATTAAAAAAAAACAAAAACAAAAAAAAAAAAAAAAAAAAACAAAAACAAAAAAACAAAAACAAAAACAAAAAATCAACACCAAAATAAACTAACGCATAGCTCTCAATAAGTCGATGGTATTTTGCACTACATTAATTTAGGCATATCATAACTTTGGGTCTTCAGACATGAGTGAATTTTGCAACTCCTAGTAATTCACTAAAAAAAGAAATTCCTTAGTTTGCATATACTATGAGCTTCTTCAAAGAGCACTTTGTAACAATGAGTCGGTGTTTGGTTTTGGTCATTGCCCTTTGCATGGCTGTGGCCTCAGGAGCATCAAATAGCTCAGCTGATGAGGTTGCTCTATTGGCATTGAAAGCGACAATTACGTCCGATCCCTTTCACATCTTCTCCAACAACTGGTCTCATCATACTCCATATTGTGACTGGATTGGTGTCACTTGTAGCGGTAAGCACCAAAGAGTGACCCAATTGAATCTCTTCAATATGGGTCTCAACGGCACTATTCCTGAGATGATTGGTGGCCTCTCATTCCTTACAAGTTTCAATATCAGCAGCAATAGTTTCCATGGCCATATCCCAGAAACCATTGGATTCTTGACCAAACTCCAGAGTTTGGATCTATCCTACAACAATCTCACTGGAAACATCCCCGCAACTATATACAACATTTCTTCCTTGCTAGTTGTAGTCATGAATTACAATAGTCTCTCAGGGATGCTTCCCGCGGGCATTTGTGATAACTGCAGGCAGCTACAAAGATTGTCTCTCAGATCAAATGAATTGAGTGGTCAGATTCCATCAAGTCTACACAAATGTACGGAACTAAGAGTTTTGAATTTAGGAGAGAATGAATTCCATGGAAGCATACCACCTGAAATTGGCAACTTTTCCAAGCTTGAGCGGTTACTGCTACGTGGTAACAATTTGACAGGTGCGGTTTTTAATTTGGTTTTGGTCTAATAATATATAGTAGAATGTAATATGTCCATGTGTACGTACTTATATTGCATGCCTTTTAATACATGCAGGAGATTTGCCTTGGACAATCTTCAATATTTCATCTTTAATAGCACTTGACTTTCAGGGGAATGAACTCTCTGGAACTCTTCCATATGACCTCTGTTATCTCCTTCCGGAATTGGAGTATATGGATATTGCCTTAAACCATATTCATGGAGAAATCCCTCAAGCTCTATCCAGTTGCAGCAAACTTCAAGTACTTTCCATGTCTTACAATGAACTCTCTGGAAGATTACCTAGCGACATCTGGAACGTGTCATCTCTTCGGGAACTCTATCTTGTAGAAACGAACTTGACAGGTAAATTCAAAAAACTTCATTAAATTTTGATTTAGGGAATTTTATAAAATAGTGAGGTCAGGGGCAGTGAAGCGCCCCATCTAGGCCCTTTAATTTGGCCACCAGTATAAATTTTGGAAGGAATGGTGGGTTAGAGTGGTGCAATTGTAGCGCTGAAACATCATATCCTAACTCAAATGTGGTAAATTGAGTGATATGAGAGTGGTTGGAGCACTATTGTTGGATCGGGACAAATTATGACGTGGGCTACTAATGTTCATTTAGTATACAACAAATTAAATGAATTGTCAATAAATGAAACAAAAAAATGAATTTTATAATAGCGATCTATCTTGTAAGTTGGACCAAGGCATACAGTATAATAATGCTTATTGGGTGGGTGGACCTCTCCAACCACTCTCAGCTCGCAAATGCACCATTAATTTGGTGGGTTAGAATGAGTTTTGAATTTTGATAAAACGAAATTTCTACATCTAATTACAGTATAGAGTTAAGGTATCGTTCCACTAGAGATCACTCTTGTAATGTTTGAAATTGATGCAAGGTGGAGTTAAGCACAAGCTAAAACTACCCTTTTAGAAGCTAGGCCTATTGGTCGTTGTCAAAAGTAGTGATAAGTACTACGGGTTGTCTTTCCACTGAGGATTGGGAGTTAGACACGTACTTGTGTAATAATCAATTCTCTAGACACCGAGACATGAGATCTTTAAGAATTCAAGCAACCATGATCATAGATAGGAGATGAACACAATAATAACCAAGTTCACTCATCAAATAATTAAACACTAAAAATGTAATAATGAAAACAACGGAGCTAGCAGATTAGGAGAAATTGCCCTGTAAGTGCTTAAGGTAAATCTAATAACAAGGGACATGCCCAATTCATTGGTTCACTCTCAATTCACCAAAATAAGCCAATCCTAGGTGCACATCAAGGATCAACGTAACAAGATCACATTCACTTAGGGGTGACCACGGTTCGGTTCGAACCGAAACCGTGCACTGTATAACCGGAACCAGAATCGAATAAATTCTAGAAGTGAGTTTTCTACCCTTAAACAAGATTCACATATTTAAACACATAAATGAAAATACAACCCTAATCCAAACCCCTAAATCTACTACTCCACTACTGCAAGACATTTTATCAAGAACTAAGCACATAATAAAAGATAACATAGAACAAATTAAGACAAAGAAATTGAAGATAACTTCACTATTGTAGACTCCAAGTTGAGATGGGAGAACTCAACCCAAATCCAAGAGCAAAATGAATATAAACACTTTCTACTTTGATGGATCAAATCTAAGCTAAAACTTTCTAGGAATTTCTAAGCTAAAATTGATCTACCCTATTGTGGTTGCTGCCTCTCAGATATGGAAAATGAGGCTTTTATATCGTGCAATCAGGGTTTGATGCACCGGCTCGCATGGGCTTGCAATGGGCCGTGTGTGCGCACTGACATGGCATGGGTGTGTAGCGCCCGTGCAGAAGATAGGCCACGATGCACTTTTATACACAGACAACTGATAAGTATCAAAGATGCTATGTTTTCTGGGATATCTTAGAGACATCATATGCTATAATAGGAGTATTTTGAGCTTATTATATGCTTAGAATAACTTCATTCGCATAAAGTTATGAATAAGGACTAATTGTAGTTGCATTTGTGCAATATAAGAAAACAATGCCATTTGAAGAGAATTTCGGTGATATTTTGGTATTTTGAGAATATCTTAAGTTAGGAATGTCCAAATGAGGTGATTCAAGTGGAATTGGAACGAAAACTCAAAGGGCTACAACTTTGCTACAGATCACAACTTTACCGCGTGATCGTAGCCTCACGACAACAATCTTCTGCAAGCTATTCTGCTAAGCCAGGCCCTTCATCACGAGGTAACTTGCCTCGTGATGAAGAGATTCTGCGCACTGGTTCTGCGTGTCATGCAGCTTGCCACGAGGCGGTAATCTGCGTGTCACTTAGGCACTATCGAGTGTTAAGCTGAGTGGCTGACGGAAAATTTGTAGCTATAAATAAGGTTTTTCTCTCATTTGCGGGGGGGGGGGGGGGGGGGGGGGGGGGGGGGATAGTCTTTTACACTTTGTTCAATCTTGTACTTTAGATTTTAGAGAGAGAATCCTCTCTAGGGGTTTTAGACAACTTGACACCTTGATCTAAAAATTCCTAAGGGGATTCCAACTACAATTGATTAAAGAATTGCTTGGAGATTGGAGATTGTGATTCAAAGCTAAGTGTTCATTTCAAATGCTTCCATTGATTCATCATCTTAGGAAGTGACTTGATGTATTAACTTGATTCATGTTGGAAGTGAACTTTGTATAGACTATTGTATGGTGATGGCCACATCATGAGATAGGTCTTGAAGGTGTGTGATTGCCAAGAGATTGAGATTACACTATAACCTTCTCCACTTGCAATTCCCACCTCGCAACATGAGGTAGAGCTCAGAAGAAGATGTGCACTCTAAGTGTTTGATGAAATGTCTCAAGTAGTAAGGTTGTTATGAGAGTTGGATTTTACTAACTTGATAGGCCAAATAGACCGCGAGAGTGGCTTGGCAATTGAAACATCTTCCAAGAATCATGATCAATGCATTACGCTACTTCATATACTTAGGCCAATATTTTGCAAACAATCAAGGAACAACTACTCCTAGTCCCCTCTATTCACTTGCTTCTTTACAATTGCTTGTTGCTTTACTTTCACTTGTTGCTTTAATAATGATCTTTGTTTAAGTCTTGAGACCTAGCTTTCTACTGCTTTTACGCACTTGTGCTTGGTCGCGCATTGTTCAGTTCCCAATCGCCATCCTTAGAGAACATCACGGGGAATTTCCACCTTCCCCACACCTTCTTTCCATGACACGTATACTACATACGATTATCAACGACACACGGGCGTGCCACCGCCCGTGCATAGCTTTTGCTTCTACGCTATGATTTTCGTCTTGGCTCCTTTTTCTGCGCTTATCCTGGTCTTGCTTTTGTGTGATCTTTTCTATGCATTTTTGTTCCCTTTTTATTTGTTTTTGCTTCCTTTTATACTCTCTTCAAAGTGTAATTGGATACAACTAACCATAAAACACAATCTTTTAGTTTGAAAATCCAAGGTTAAGAATGGGTGAAATATGATAGAAAATGAGAATCATCACCTATCGTTAATGAGTTGGTTTGATATGATTAAACAAATGATAAATATGATAAGTAAAACATAAGACCGGGACTTGGTTGATTCAAGGTATAATGTCAAATATTGTACAAAAGATTAGGGAATTAAAACATGGCATATGGTAAGTGAGATGCACATAAGTGTCCAAATACCACTCTCGTAGCTATTTGGATTTTCAAACTCACCTTGAACTCCACTCTCATGAAAATTCAACTCAAAGTTGTCCAAACAAGAACGCAAAATAGAAATTCTCCTTAACATCCAAAATATTCTTGTAATGGGCATTGACTGTGTGAATGTGTGGCTAGTGTACAAACTCTACTCTCGTAGCAACAAACACACTCCAAGTGAAAGCATATAATCAGGATCTAACAATTATACATAATTTCACATTAAACCCAATTAACACAACAATTAAACCTAGAACACCTAAATAATCCACTTTATGCAATACAACTCAAATAGGCATCAATGACAAGAAATCAAACCAAATCCTAGTCCTAAAACACTTAGCTACTCATAATATAACAATAGATACACAATATTAAAGGAGTAATTGAAATCATAAATAAAAAGCAAAGGAAAAAGATGAATAAGGAAACTTCTCTATTGAAGATTTGAAATTTAAGATTGCAAAGTGTCTTGAGCTTGGAAATAGAGAGAAACAAGTAATCTATCCAAATCTATGTTATTCTAGAGCTAAAATTAACTAGGGAATGAAAGGGAAATGAAGGTTGTGTTTTGTGGTGGAAGAAATATGTTTTAAAACAAGGCAAAAAACAATTTTAAAAGTTAGACACATGTATAGGCGGCCACGGTTGAACCCATGCCCAGCAAATTAAATAGAGTTTCTATGCAACATGTCTGTCTTCTAAGTTATTTCACCCCTTAAACCTTTGAATTGACCTTTATGATCCTCATAAAAGTTGTAGCCTTTCAAGTTGAATTTCCACTGGCGCAAGATTCATTTGATTTGGACATCCCTACGCTGAAATATTGTAAAAATACAAATACGACGCCAATTTGGGTGAGAAATATCACCTTGCTTTCTTTTACTTTGCCTTCGCATTAAATTGCCTATATCATCAAAAACCACTAAGTCACAAGCATTTGGCAAATGAAAGAGTGTTGTTCAATCTTCTTTGCTTCATTTTAACTCCCAAAAATATCCGCATGTTGTTAATGTTTGAATGTTTTAAACTGCAACTTGTGAGTTGTGATTCGTTGTATTATTATGGCAAAATTAGATAGGTTAAGTCGTAGTGTCTGTTAGTGCATTGAGTGGAGACCTGATCGAGCAGACACTATGCCAAAGCCCTTGGAATCTTACCGATGGACTTCACCGACTTATCCGGATTTATCTGGCTGAGCAGTTATAGTACATGGGGTTGTTTTTACAAGAAAGTCCTCATCTCTAATACACCTCAAAGGGTAAGACAGTAATCTTCTACAAGAAATATCTTTTAAGATTACTTGTCTACCATAAGACGGAGAATCTATTTAAAAGAGAGAGATGATTCAAGAAACGTGAAACACTACTACGAGATATTCTTCTGTTGGAAAAATAGCTTAAAATGACATAATAAGTGGCTATTTTGTGGTACAATTATTAGTGGGGTCCACTTCTAATTTGGGCCGGGTCAAAGTGGATTCGGGTTCTTCGTAGTGAGCCGAAGAGATTGATATATTGTACGCTGCAAACGCATAATGGGTGAATGAGAAATTGATTCTCAAAGTAGACCAATTTGAGTTGAAAAAATGAAGGGGAGAAGGTTTTTAAGTAGCTTTTGTCCCACATATGGTTTGGGAAGTGGATTTGCACCACTAATATACAAGAGCATTTCTAAGGCTTATTGAATTGTATAGTATAGAAGCTCTCTCTCGCGTGCAGGGGTGCAAATCAAACCCCAAAATGAGCATGGCTTGACTCGTGTAGGTGGGCACGAATGTGGTCATGTCATCTAGGAAATTGGGTAGCCTTGCGGGTTAAGTTATGCCAATTTTTCCAATTTACGGAAAACTCGCAGACTCGTGGGTACCTGGTGCACGAGTGTCGTTCGAGAGCTGGCCTTGCGGGCTAAATTATGACCCCTTTCTCATCTTGTCTAGCAATTGGTCTCTCCAAACTCATTGGATTGGCGTTACTTGCAATGCTAAGCACCAAAAAGTGACCCAATTGAATCTCTTCAATATGGTTCTCAACGGCACCATTCCTGAGGAGATTGGTGGCCTCTCATTCCTTGCAACTTTCAACATCAGCAGTAATAGTTTGGATATGTCCTACAACCATCTCTCTGGAAACATTCCTGCAACTTTTTACAAGGTTTCTTCCTTGCGTTTAGTAAACTTGGGAAATAATCATCTCTCAGGGACGCTCCCACGGGGCATTTGTGATAACTTTAGGCTGCTACTAAGCTTGTATCTTTCAGCCAATCGATTGAGTGGTCAGATTCCATCAAGTCTACCCAAATGTACGGAACTAATGGGCTGTTTTGTTCACGGAATAAGCCTGGAATGGCATAACATTATTCTCAGTAATAGGCCTACTCCTCTGTTTGGTAACCACTTGTATTCCCAGGAACATTGTTCCCAATGTTCCCGGGAATGACCTATTCCCCTTGCCAGGGAATAGGAGGGGGGAGGGAGGGGGGGGGGGGGGGGGGGCTTGGAATTAGGCTATTCCTAAGTTCTCAGGAATAGCTTAAAGTTTATATTTCCTATTTTACCCCAATTAAATTTATTTCCTATTTGACCACCACCATCGTCGCCGCTGTCGCCACCGCCACCACCACACCGCCGCCACCCCAGCAACACCACCAGCACCACCACCCCAGCAACACCGCCACCGCCACTACCGCCACCGCCACGGCCACCATCATTTATTTTTATAAGGATATTTATGGCTTTTAAAACATATTTCATTTCTATTCCTTAAATCAACAAAACACTGTAATATAATTCATAAAGTTTATTCCTTCCGCGAACCAAACAATAGAATACAATTACTATTCTATTCATTGCCTACTCCATTCCTTATGGAATAGCATTTCTATTACCTCAAAATTCATTCCGTGAACCAAACATGCTGTAAGAATTTTGAGTTTAGGATAGAATGAATTTCATGGAAGTATACCACCTGAAATTGGCAACATTTCCGAGCTTGAGTGGTTAAAACTATATGGTAACAATTTGACATGTGAGGTTTTTAATTAGTTTTTTTGTCTAATTTTAATTTAGTGACACATATGCATGGCTACCAATTTATTACATAATAATATATAGTAGAATGTAATATGTCCATGTGTACGTACTTATACTGCCTGCCTTTTAATACATGCATGCAGGAGATTTGCCTTGGACAATCTTCAATATTTCATCTTTAACAGTACTCAACCTTCAGATGAATGAACTCTCTGGAATTCTTCCAAATGACCCTTGTTATCTCCTTCCACAATTGGAGATTCTGGCTATTTCCGAAAACCATATTCATGGAGAAATCCCTCAATCTCTATCCAGTTGCAGGAAACTTCAAGTACTTTCCATGTCTAAAAATGAACTCTCTGGAAGATTACCTAGGGACATCTGGAACCTGTCATCTCTTCAGGAACTTTATCTTGAAAAAATGAACTTGACAGGTAAATTCAAAAAACTTCATGAAATTAAATTTTTATTTAGGGAATGAACTTTATAAAATAGTGAGGTCAGGGGCAGTGAAACGCCCCAACTATAGGCCCTTTGGCCTCCAGTAGAAATTTTGGAAGGAAGGGTGGGTTAGAGTGGTGCAATTGTAGCTCTGAAACATCCTAACTCAAATGAGTGTGTAATGAGAATGGTTGGATCAGGGTAAATTATGAGGTGAAGTACTTATAAATGTTCATTTTTAGTGTATAAAAAGTTCATTTTTAGGTAGTATACAACAAATGAACTGTCAAAAAATAAAAACTAAAAATTAATCTTATATTAGTGATCTATCTCACACTAGACCTATCAAAACGGGCCAACTTGGCCCAGGGTTCAACATGAAATTGTCCGGGTTAGGTCGTGTCGTTTTTGGACGGGTGAGATTTTCTCAACCCAACCCGTGTAGGACGGGCTAACGTGCTAAACGGGCCATCCCGTCAGCCCGTTTTTAAAATTTTTTTTTTTTTTAAAATTATTTTATTAATTTTTAATGTTATCTAGGTTAGGAATTGAATCCCCACCCTTTAAGTGAACAATTAAGACTATTTCCAACCAACCACATTAAACCTTTTGAAGAATTATTTTATTAACAATTATAATCAATATTGACTATATTATCTTGCATTTGTAAATTTAGAATTACCTATTTTATTACGCAAATTCAACATTCAATTATAACAAATCCAATATAATATTGTCTTGATATAATTTAAATATTTATTTGAAAATAAATATTGAGATTATCCCAATCACGCAATGTGCATAAAAAACTAGTATTTTTATAAAGATACAATTAATTGTATTAATTAATACTTGTATATTGTAATAAATGTACTATAGATAAATAGATAAATTATATATATAAATTATATATATACCGTTTGTGAATGATGTAAATAAATATATAATTATATAAATGTAAGGCATACCAGGACTATGTGGTCTAATGGTATCCCAGTTGGACTTCCAATTGGAAGATTATGAGTTCAAGCCTCAGTGGAGGCGTTATTGGTTCTTTGTGTTTCAGTAGGTTGAGGAAGTATATGAACAGATACTACAATGTAATAGAACCAGTAACTTTCAAAAAAAAAATATAAATGTAAGGCATAGTTGGCTCCACGAGCTAACCCATATCCCACACGTGTTATACAGCCAGGTTGAAAATTCTCCAACCCAGCCTGTCTAAAATACGGATTAAACGGGCTCAACCCGACGGGTTGGGCCCGTTTTGACAGCTCTTGCCTTATGTATAATGCTTGTTGGGCGGGTTGGACCCGTTTTGACAGCTCTTGCCTTATGTATAATGCTTGTTGGGTGGGTGGACCTCTCCAACCACTCTCAGCTCGCAATTGCACCTTAAGTTTGGTGGGTTAGAATAAGTTGATGATTATTATAAAAATTACACTTAAAATAATATTAATGCATGTAACAACATATTCAATTATGAATATTAATTTTATGCAACTCATTTTTAATTTGTTTCATGTGTGAGTTGAAATCAATTCAACCCAGCTACTCTAAAGTGACTCAAAGTTTAGATTGACTCCTAAATTTTTACATAACTTATTACAGGATATTTGCCAAAAGAGATTGGGAAGTTGTCAAATCTTCGAGAGTTTATAGTTTTTATGAACCGCTTGACTGGTACAATACCCCCTTCAATTGGCAATATATCGACTTTGGAGAATTTTATTGTTAACAATAACAATTTGGATGGTAATATTCCTCCAGAGCTAGGAAAGCTATCAAGTCTTAAAAGATTGACTCTTAGTTCAAATAATTTTAGTGGTGAAGTACCATCCTCCATTTTCAACATCTCTGGATTACAAGTGATTGAGTTGTTAATAAATAAACTTAATGGCAATCTTCAACCAGGCCTAAGACATTGGAATTCACCAAGTCTTGAAGGACTTCTTCTCGGCGACAACCAATTCAGTGGAACCATTCCTAGCACTATATCAAATGCCTCCCAACTCACAGTGCTTGATCTTGGGCATAACATGTTCAGCGGCAATGTACCTTTGGTGGTTGAAAATTTACACCAACTTCAATATTTTTCCATAGAAGAAAACCATATCACAAATGATCCATCGGCCAATGAGCTAAGCCTACTCACTTCATTGTCGAAATGCAAGAATTTGAAAATGGTTATTTTGGCCAGCAATCCATTCAACACAGTTCTTCCCAACTTGTTAGATGTTGGCAATAAGTCGTCATCATTGGAAATCTTATATGCAAGAGATTGTCACTTTAAAGGCAGCATACCTAGTGGAATCAGCAACTTCAACAACTTGATTTCTCTGGACTTGAACCAAAACAACTTCTCAGGTTCGCTTCCTGGAACATTGGGACATTTGCTGAGATTACAGGGTTTATTCGTACATAACAACAAAATTGAGGGATCAATACCAAACACCTTATGCTATCTGAGAGACTTATCTGAATTGCATCTTGAAGACAATAAGCTCTCAGGGAGCATACCAAGCTGTTTTGGAAATATATCTTCTTTGAGAAAAATATATTTAGGTTCCAATTTATTTACATCTACTGTACCGCTTGGCTTCTGGAATAACAAAGATGTCTTGGAGCTGGACTTGTCGTCCAATTTTCTTAGTGGTACCTTGTCTTCTGAAATTGGAAATATGCACAACATGGTATACCTCAATCTTTCAGGTAACCAATTTTCTGGAGAAATTCCTTACACCATTGGGCAACTTCAGAATTTGCTTAATCTCTCTCTATCATCAAATAGGCTTCAAGGTCCTATTCCTCAGTCATTTGGTAGTCTCATAAGCTTGCAAGCATTAGATTTATCTAATAACAGCCTCTCTGGTGGTATTCCAAAGTCGATGGAGAAGCTCAAAGATCTAGTGCATCTAAACCTGTCTTTCAATGATCTAAGTGGTAAAATTCCAAATGGTGGACCCTTTGCAAAATTTAGCATGGAATCGTTCATGGGTAACAAGGAACTATGTGGAGCTTCTCGATTCCATGTCATGGAATGCAAAGAAGGTAAAGGAAAACCGAGAAATATTGCCATATTTCTCAAGTATGTTTTGCCATCTCTTGTATCAGTGGTTGTTGTTGCTGTTCTATTAGTTTGGTTGCTTACGTTCTGGAAGAGAAACAAAAAAAGGGAGCCTCGGGCTGAAGATTCACTTGATGTTGCACTCAAGAGGATTTCGTACTATGAAATTCTTGGTGCTACTGAATGCTTTGAAGAGAGCAACCTGATTGGGAGGGGGAGTTTTAGCTCAGTGTTCAAGGGGACTTTTGCTGCTGGGTTGGTTGCTGCTGTAAAGGTCTTCAATTTGGATGTTCAAGATTCAATCAGAAGCTTTGAAGTAGAGTGTCAAGTGCTAAGGAATATTCGACACAGAAATCTTGTCAAAGTAATAACCAGTTGCTCCAACCTCGACTTCAAAGCTCTGATTTTAGAGTATATGCCCAATGGAAGCCTAGACAAATGGCTTTATTCACATAATTATTTCCTACATATCTATCAGAGGCTAGGAATAATGATGGATGTTGCGAATGCCCTCGAGTATTTGCATCATGGTCATTCTTTTCCGGTGGTTCATTGTGATTTGAAGCCTAGCAACATTCTTTTAGATGAAAACATGGTTGCACATGTTGGTGACTTTGGTATAGCTAAGCTACTGGACAGAGATAAGGCCACTAAGCAGACAAAACCATGGGCACAGTTGGATACATGGCTCCAGGTCAACTCACTCAGCTCTCTAATTTCATTTGTAGCTTCAAGTTTAGGATACATGCATGGAAGTAATTGTATGTTCATATTTTTTGCACAATTGCAGAGTATGGTTGTGCAGGAATAGTATCCAGCATGGGAGATGTATACAGCTTTGGGATTCTACTAATGGAAGTATTCACAAGAAAGAAGCCCACAGATGAAATGTTCCAAGGAGACTTCACCATAAGGAGATGGGTGTGTGATTCATTACCTGATGCAATAATGGAGATTGTTGACTCAAATTTAGTGACAGGAGAAGAAGGTGCAGGGCAAGAAATAGAAGAGTGCTTCTTGATGGTGATGGGATTAGCTATGGAATGCACATCTGATTTTCCAGAGGAGAGGATCAGCATGGAAGATGCCATAGTAAGACTGAAGCATACACAGCAAAAGTTCAACCAAAATGTCTCTATAAGTTTAGTAATAAACTAGTTTGCATGCTTTGAAATAATGTTGCTCATTACTTGGATATTGTTCAATAAAATAATCTGGAGGTGTGCTGTTACCATGAGAATGAGACAACAGTATAGCTGCGTCACTCACATTTCCAACTTCACTTTGAGAAAATGAGGTTGGAAGAACATCTGAACACCATATGTTTGATAAAATGTGAGAAAATGAGGTTGGAAGAACATCTGAACACCATATGTTTGATAAAATGCAGCAATTGAAAAATGGGTTCTGAACACCATATAGTTGAGATGGTTATAGAGAGGCATTGCTATTGATGCAGAAGCTTTCCTTATTCCTTCTTGCATTGTTTGTGGAATTGTGGTGTTTGAAATTCTCTCTTGTTCTATGTGATTTTGAGCAGTACTCGAATTCTAATGCGTTTAACCATTTCGCCCAGGTTTTTTATCAAGTGGAAAGGATCAACTCAAACACCAAATTGTTATTGTTGGTGTATCATAGTAATTCTTCTCTGGCTAAGAATGCCCATACATGCATTGTGCATCTTAACAAACTCCAAAGGTCACTTCAAGAGCTATTTGTTGGACAATCAAACTAGTCATGATATTGGATCACCAAACCAGTCATGATATCTATAATACAGTTTTACTCTCAGATCACTCTAGAAGTAGCTCATTTGTTATATATTATTTATTTATTATTATTTTTTTTGAAAACAAGTAGCTCATTTGTTGGACTACCAAATCATGCATAAAATCTGTAACGCAGTTTTGTTTTCAGATCACTCTAAGAGTTCATTTGTTGGATCACAAAATCAATCATGATATCTTTAACACATTTTGCTTCCTAAAGATAAAGTAGTCCTAATAATGGCCAAAACATCACATTGTTCAATTGTTGGCATGAGATTTAATGCCCGTATGGGCAGCTCAACTTAAAATAAATATGAAACGTAAAAGGATTGTTGTCTTCAATTTACTGACATGAGATTTGTCAATTAATGCAGATTGTTGACTCCAATAATTTACTGACAGAAGGAGAAGGCGTCCACCAAATTAAACTAGTTTGCTTTCTTCAAAATGTTGCTCAATATTTGAATTGTTTTTATTGATTTCTAATCAGGTTTAAAGTGCTGATTTTTTTATCCTATTTTGATCTTTAGAAGTTTATACTAATTTTTGTGGTGTATGCAGAAAGCTAATTACTAAGCAGAAACTCTTTCTTATTGCAGTCTGCAGGTGTGCAAATTAGTTTCTCAAAGGCACTCCCCTTCTTTGAGCAAGTATGGGCTCCGTAGTAGTCAAATTATTAGCTTAATTGTTATTCAAATTATGACTTCTAACTTACAATTATAGTTTTTGAGCAAGTCTAATCTTTTAGTATTCAAAGTCTAAGCAGAGATAAATTCCAAAAAAAAAAAAAAAAAAAAAAAAAAAAAAAAAAAAAAAGATTCAAAGTGGCCACTAGCGGCCGGTCACTCTAAAGCGTCATTTCACACTGTATTTTTCTTTTTTCAAAAAACTCACACTTATTAGAGATAATTTTTTTTTTTGTCTAAAAAGTAAAATTTCTACCTCAACTTTAGATTTTTTTGGTTTGAAAAAACCTCATGGCAAAAACTCTATTGGTAATGCGTGGCAACAAGGTGGAAGCTTTCATTTTCTTAAAGCATATAATTAAGATTAATGGAACATTCAACGTTAATTATTAGGGGTTGAATATTATTACAATGGAGTAGAATGAGTGAAAGACCGCAACATGGTGGTCATGTTTTTACATTTTCTTAGACTCTCATTTTCTTAACCATTTAAGATGGCAACAGATTGTCAATGTATAAATCAACGGTATTTGCACTTTTTTATTTATATATTAGGTTTCTTGCTTATGTTAGACTAGACTAATCCTAAGTCTCATAAATTTTTACCAAAGAATTTGGAGGAGGTGAATTGTGAGTCACCTCTACACATAATGAGTCTTCATCACTTCTGAATAATTTTTTGGATTTTGAATCTCCTAGTGACCTCACATTTTTTGGCTTTGGGTCTCTAACGCTTACCCAACAATTGAAACAAGACTTCTAGAATAACCCCTGTGTTATTGAGCTAAGTCCCCGGAGCATTTTCACTTTTATTAATGTAGGAGTATCCTTGGGTCCTCAGATATGAGTCAATCTTGCAACTCCAACTAATTCATTCAGGAAAAAAAAAGCATTTCCTTTAGCTTGCATGTATGATAAACTTGTTAACAGAGCACTTGGTTTCAATGGAAAGGTATGTGGTTTGGGTTGTGGAATTTAGGGTGGGGCTGATGAGGCTGATCCATCGGCATTTAAAGCCATCATAACATCGGACCCCTTTGGCATCTCGTCCAGTAACTGGTCTCATCAAACTAGCTCCATATTGTAATTGGATTATATTGGTCTTACCTGCAATGCCAAGCACCAAAGAGTGAACCAATTGAATCTCTTCAATATGGGTCTGAACGGTTGTTATACCATGGACCAGGGTATATTGCATTATGAACTCTAATACAAAAATTGTGTACTTACCGTCAACAGTTTTTGTAAATGTAAACAAATAACTTATAATTATCGACACATAATATGATAGCTACAACTTAGAGGTACATAAACTATAAATTGCATGTATAGAATGTGTCAACTATAGATACAGAATCTGACTCAATAATTGCTGATAGACAATATGATAGTTACAAGTACAAAAACTATCAACTATAGGTACAAAATATGTCAATTATAGATACATAATCTAAAAGTTATTTTTGGATCAGGATCTACAATACAAGGTAGAACTTGGTCCATGGTATAATTTGCCATGGGCGCTTAATTTAAATTGTTTTGTCCAAGCTCTCAGCCGCCTCCTATTTTCTAAACCATCAAGACCGCAAAAGGAAGAAAAAAAAAAAAAAAAAACGAATAAATCAACACAAAAATCAACGCATAGCTCTCTATAAGTCAATGGTATTTCCACTTCATTAATGTAGGCCTATCATAAATTTGGGTCTTCAGACATGAGTGAATTTTGCAACTCCCAGTAATTCACTAAAAAAGGAAATTCCTTAGTTTGCATATACTATGAGCTTCTTCAAAGAGCACTTGGTATCAATGACTCGGTGTTTGGTTATGGTCATTGCCCTTTGCATGGTTGTGGCCTCAGGGGCATCAAATAGCTCATCTGATGAGGTTGCTCTATTGGCATTGAAAGCGACAATTACATCCGACCCTTTTCTAATCTTATCCAACAATTGGTCTCTCCAAACTCCACACTGTGATTGGATAGGCGTTACTTGCAATGCTAAGCACCAAAGAGTGACCCAATTGAATCTCTTCAATATGGGTCTCAACGGCACCATTCCTGAGGAGATTGGTAGCCTCTCATTCCTTACAACTTTCAACATCAGCAGTAATAGTTTTCATAGCCATATCCCAGACAGCATTGGATTCTTGACCAAACTCCAGAGTTTGGATCTGTCCTACAACCATCTCACTGGAATTATCCCCGCAACTATATACAACATTTCTACCTTGCGATTTGTAGTCATGGAATACAATAGTCTCTCAGGGATGCTCCCAGGGGGCCTTTGTGATAACTGCAGGCAGCTACAAAGGTTGTCTCTTAGATCAAATCGATTGAGTGGTCAGATTCCATCAAGCCTACACAAATGTGCGGAACTAAGAGTTTTGAGTTTAGGAGAGAATGAATTTCATGGAAGCATACCTCCTGAAATTGGCAACTTTTCCAAGCTCGAGTGGTTAAAGCTACAGGGTAACAATTTGACAGGTGAGGTCTTTAATTTGTTTTTGGTCTAATATATTTTAGTGACATATATGCATGGCTACCAATTTACATAATACTAATATATAGAAGAATGTAATATGTCCATGTATACGTACTTATACCGCATGCCTTTTAATACATGCATGCAGGAGATTTGCCTTGGACAATCTTCAATATTTCATCTTTAATAGCACTTGACTTTGAGAGGAATGATCTCTCTGGAACTCTTCCAAATGACCTCTGTTATCTCCTTCCGGAATTGGAGTATATGGGTATTGGTAGAAACCATATTCATGGAGAAATCCCTCAAACTCTATTCAGTTGCAGGAAACTTCAAGTACTTTCTTTGTCTGAGAATAATCAACTCTCTGGAAGATTACCTAGCGACATCCGGAACGTATCATCTCTTCGGGAACTCTTTCTTGCAAAAATGAACTTGACAGGTAAATTAAAAAAAAAAAAAAACTTAATAATATTTTGATTTAGGGAAAGTTATAAAATAGTGACGTCAGGTAGAAATTTTGGAAGGAATATAATAGAGGGTTAGAGTGGTGCAATTGGAGCGCTGAAACATCTTAACTCAAATGAGTGTATAATGAGAATGGTTGGATCATGGCAAATTATGAGGTGAACTACTGATAAATGTTCATTTTTAATGTATAAAATTTTTATTTTTAGATAGTATACAATAAATGAACTGTCAAAAATTAAAATTAAAAATGAATCTTTAGTATATTAAAAATTAATCTTATATTAGTGTTTATAATTATCTTATAAATTGGACCATAGCCAACGGTATAATGCTTGTTAGGTGGGTGGACCTCTCCAACCACTCTCAGCTCGCAAATGCACCTTAAGTTTGGTGGGTTAGAATAAGTTGATGATATGATTATTATAAAAATTACAGCTAAAATAATTTTAATGTATGTAACAACATATTTGATTATAAATAAAAATATAAGATTTAAATAAGATCGATTAATTTTATGCAACTCATTTTTAATTTGTTTCACGTGTGAGTTGAAACCAACCGATTGAGCTATTCTAAAGTGACTCAAAGTTTAGATTGACTTCTAAACTTTTACATAATTTACAGGATACTTGTCAAAAGAGATTGGAAAGTTATCAAATCTGCGAGAGTTTAGAGTTTTTGTTAACCGCTTGACTGGTACAATTCCCCCTTCTATTGGTAATATATCAACATTGAAGAATTTTGTTGTTTTTCAAAACAATTTGGATGGTAATATTCCTCCAGAGCTAGGAAAGCTATTAAATCTTAAAGGATTGTCACTTAGTTCAAATAATTTTAGTGGTGAAGTACCATCCTCTATTTTCAACATCTCCGGATTACAAGCGATCGAGTTGTCATCAAATAAGCTTGTTGGCAATCTTCAACCAGGCCTAAGACATTGGATTTCACCAAGTCTTGAATCGCTTCTTCTCAGCGACAACCAATTCACTGGAACCATTCCAAGCACTATATCAAATGCCTCCCAACTCATTCGACTTGATCTTGGGCTTAACATGTTCAGTGGCTATGTACCATTGGTGGTTGAAAATTTACACCAACTTCAATATTTTGCCATAGAATACAACCATATCACAAATGATCCATCAGCCAATGAACTGAGCCTTCTCACTTCATTGTCGAAATGTAAGAATTTGAAAACGGTTGCTTTGAGTAGCAATCCATTCAACACAGTTCTTCCCAACTCATTATATGTTGGTAATAAGTCATCATCATTGGAAATCTTGTATGCAGGTGATTGTCACTTGAAAGGCAGCATTCCAAGTGGAATTAGTAACTTTATCAACTTGATTTCTTTGGAATTGAGCTACAACAAGCTCTCAGGTTCATTTCCTGAAACATTAGGACGAGGTTTGTTGAGGTTACAGGGTTTATACACAGAGAATAATGAACTTGAGGGTTCATTACCAAAAACTTTGTGTTATTTGAATGACTTATCTGAAATGAATCTTGGAATGAATGAGTTCTCGGGGAAAATACCAAGCTGTTTAGGTAATGTATCTTCTTTGAGGAAAATATATTTAGGTTACAATTTATTTACATCTGCAATACCACTTGGGTTCTGGAACAACAAGGATGTCTTGGAGCTAGACATGTCTTACAATTCTCTTAGTGCTCCCCTGTCTCCTGAAATTGGTAGTTTGCACAGCATTGTAACATTAGATTTGTCAGGAAACCAATTTTCAGGAGAAATTCCCGACGCCATTGGCCAACTTCAGAATTTGATTACTTTTTCTCTATCATCAAACAGGCTTCGTGGTCCTATTCCTCAATCATTTGGTAGTCTGTTAAGCTTGCAACAGTTAGATTTATCTAACAACAGCCTCTCGGGTGGTATTCCAAAGTCGATGGAGAAGCTCAAATATCTCATGCACTTGAACATGTCTTTCAATGAACTTAGTGGTAAAATTCCAGATGATGGACCATTTGCAAAATTTAGCATGGAATCATTCATGGGCAACAAGGAATTATGTGGAGCTTCTCGGTTCCATGTCATGGCATGCAAAGAAGGTAAAGAAAAACCAAGAAACACTGCCATATTTCACAAGTATGTTTTTCCATCTCTTGTATCAGTGGTTGTTGTTGTTGCTATTCTATTGGTTTTGTTGCTTACGTTTTGGAAGAGAAATAAACGAAGTGCACCCAAAGTTGAGAATTCACTTGATGTTGCCCTCAAGAGGATTTCATACTATGAAATTCTTGGTGCTACAGAAAACTTTGATGAGAGCAACTTGATTGGGAGGGGGAGTTTTAGCTCAGTGTTCAAGGGCACTTTTGTTGATGGGGTGATTGCTGCAATAAAAGTCTTCAATTTGGATGTGCAAGATTCAGTCAGGAGCTTTGATGTAGAGTGTCAAGTGCTAAGGAATATTCGGCATAGAAATCTTGTCAAAGTAATAACCAGTTGTTCCAACATCGATTTCAGAGCTTTGATTTTAGAGTATATGCCCAACGGGAACCTGGACAAGTGGCTCTATTCACATAATTATTTCCTAGATATCTATCAGAGGCTAGGAATAATGTTGGACGTTGCGAATGCACTCGAGTACTTGCATCATGGACATTCTTTTCCAGTGGTTCATTGTGATTTGAAGCCTGGTAACATTCTTTTAGATGAAAACATGGTTGCACATGTTGGTGACTTTGGTATAGCTAAGCTACTGGAGAAAGATAAGGCCACTAAGCAAACAAAAACCATGGGCACAGTTGGATACATGGCTCCAGGTACTCACTCAGCTTTCTAATTTAATTTGTAGCTTAGCTTGAAGTTTATGATATATGGAAGTAATTGTTTGTTCATATCTTTTGCACAATTATATTGCAGAGTATGGTTGTGCAGGAATAATATCCAGCATGGGAGATGTATACAGTTTTGGGATTCTACTAATGGAAGTATTCACGAGAAGGAAGCCCACAGATAAGATGTTCCAAGGAGACTTCACCATAAGGAGATGGGTGTGTGATTCATTGCCTGATGCAATAATGGAGATCGTTGACTCTAATTTAGTGACAAGAGAAGAAGGTGCAGGGCAAGAAATAGAGGAGTGCTTCTTGATGGTGATGAGATTAGCTATGGAATGCACATCTGATTTTCCAGAGGAGAGGATCAGCATGGAAGATGCCATAGTAAGACTCAAGCATACACAACAAAAGTTCAACCAAAATGTCTCTAAGTTTAGTAATAAACTAGTTTGCATGCTTTGAAATAGTGTTGCTCATTACTTGGATATTGTACATTAAAATAATCTGGAGGTGTGCTGTTACCATGAGAATGAGACAACAGTGTAGCCACACCACTCACATTTCCATCTTCACTTTGAGAAATGAGGTTGGAGAAACATTTGAACACCATATGTTTGATAAAATGCAGCAATTGAAAAATGGGGTCTGAACACCATATAGTTGAGATGGCTATAGAGAGGCATGGCTATTGATGCAGAAGCTTTTCTTATTCCTTCTTGCATTGTTTGTGGTGTTTCAAATTCTCTCATGTTCTATGTGATTTTGAGCAGTACTCGGCGAATTCCAATGCTTTTAACCATTCCGGCCAGGTTTTTTATCAAGTGGAAAGGGTCAACCCAAACACCGAAGTGTTATTGTTGGTGCATCATAGTAATTCTTCTCTGGCTAAGAATGCCCATACATGCATTGCGCATCTTGACAAATTCCAAAGGGGTGAGCTCAAATCACTCCAAGAGCTCGAACAAACTTGTCATGATATTTGTAAAACAATTTTGTTCTCAGATCACTCGAGCTCATTTTATTGGATCACCAAACCATTCATATATCTACAATACAGTTTTACTCTCAAATCACTCAAGAAGTTCACTTGTTGGACTACCAAATCGGGCATGATATTTGTAACACATACAGTTTTGTTTTCAAATCACTTTAGGAGGTCATTTATTACTATTAGATCACTAAAACAATTATGATATCTACAATACAGTTTTACTCACAAATCACTCCGGAAGCTTATTTGTTAGATTGCCAAATCAGGCATGATATCGGTAACACAATTTTGTTTTCAGATCACTCCAGGAGCTCATTTGTTGATCGAATTACTAAACAAGTCATGATATCTTTAACACATTTTGCTTCCTAAAGATAAAGTAGTCCTAATAATTCATTGTTCAATTGTTTGGCATGAGATTTAAAATAAATATGAAACGTAACATTCTTCACCGCCAGCCAAACGTAAAACTTTATTGGTAATGCTCGTGTGTGGTGGCAACAAGGTGAAAGCTTTCATTTTCTTATGCATATAATTAAGATTAGTGAAACATTCAATGTTAATTATTAGGGGTACGGTTGAATATTATTACAATGGGGTGGAATGAATGAAAGACCGCAACATGGCCGTCATTTTTTACATTTTAAACTCTCATTTTCTTAACCATTTAAGATGGCAACAGAATCTCAACGCATAAGTCAACCGTATTTGCACTTTTTTTTTTTTTTTTTTATTTATACTTTAGGTTTCTAGCTTATGTTAGACTAATCTTAAGTCATTGGCATTCAAAGCCACTATAACATTGGACCTCTTTGGCATCTTGTGCAGCAACTGGTCTCATCAAACTCCATATTGTGACTGAATTGGTGTTACCTGAAATGCTAAGCACCAAAGAGTGACCCAACTGAAACAATTTGTATTTATCAATAAGCACATAATCTGTTGCTGCAAACACATAATGTATTAATTGTAGATACATAATTTGAATATAATGTTCTTTAATTTGGACCAAGGTCCACAATGTAATATGGGCCATGGGTCATGGTATAAATTATTCTTAAAATTTTTAGAATGCAGTTAGCGCCTCCACTAAAGCTCAAACACACAACCTTCCATGTAGGAGTTCAACTTGGTATTATTGCACTAGAAGGTACTTGGTTGCATGAAAATTTGTTAAGCATATATGTAAAGTTAACTTTCTAAAGATTTGCTTATAAAGTCTAGAACTAGAATGCACGAAAATGTGTAGTAGTAATAAATGTGTGAAAGCAAATGTGAGAGAATTTTCATAATAATTCAAGGGTGTTGTAATTCTCTAATCCAGGTTTATATTAGGTACAAAGTCTAGTTGAACAACAATTTCTAGTTATTTAGTAGTGCAACTAGACTACTTAATAAGCTTAGTCAACTTATACCACTTAAGGGGGTGTATTAGAATTTTGTATTCTAGGCACAGTAGCTATAATTCATTCTTCATCTCTCTATATTATTGAAAATATATCCTTTATCATTTTTGTCATGATTGGGACTCTCTGTATTATTATAAATACACGTGTTCATGCATGTACTTTTTTTTTTTTTTTTTTGAATCTATCTCCAATCGTTTTACGGTCTGGATCCACCCGACTAATCTGTTCATGTAATTCATACATAATAGTGTGACCAACAATAAGATTATTTTGTTCGCCTATATCCAACAATATGGCTATGCTTTCTAAGTATTTTTTTTTTTTTTTTCAAGTTATCTCTTTTAATTTAATATTTTCTCCCACTCAAAAAATCTCATGTCTACAATGTTCATTAATCAAAGGTTAAAGTATACTCGGTAATATATATTTGAAACTTGTCTCAGGCCACTTGAGTAGTGAAAACGATTAAACCTAGCCAACACCCAACCGTACGTCTGGAGTCGTTAGTAAATGGAATATATTTTCGTGGGTGGAGACCAGAAATTTTACAACATGCCACCCACGAAAATATATGATATGATGCGTCTTCGTCATGGATGTTTCTCCGAAAGGATAGAAGCACGTATTTTCTTCACTTGAGAGGGTAGAAGCTTTCACATTTTCAAACTCTCATCATTCCAACCATATAAGATGGCAACTCAAAAATCAACGCCTGGAATGGTGTTTCCATTTTATATATGTACGAAGGCATATGTTTGGGTGTTCAGATATGAGTCAATCCTGCAACTCCCAGTAGTAATTCATCACTCAAACAAAAATTTTCCTCAGCTCCTTTAGTTTGCATATATGCATATATATATATATGATGAGATCTTTCACAGAGAACATGGTATCAATGGTTTTGGTTGTTGTATTGGTATCCCTTTGCATGACAACTCGGTGGGCTGTGGCTTCAGCTTATGATGATGAGGCTGCTTTATTGGCGTTCAAAACAGCAATTACATCCGACCCTTTTGGCATCTTGTCCAACAACTGGTCTCATCATACTCCATATTGTGATTGGATTGGTGTTACTTGTAGCGGTAAGCAGCAAAGAGTGACCCAATTGAATCTCTTCAATATGGGTCTCAACGCCACCATTCCTGAGGTGATTGGTGGCCTCTCATTCCTTGCAACTTTCAACATCAGCAGTAATAGTTTCCATGGCCATATCCCAGAAAGCATTGGATTCTTGACCAAACTCCAGCGCTTGGATTTGTCCAGCAACAATTTCACTGGAAACATTCCTGCAACTATGTACAATGTTTCTTCCTTGCGATTTGTAAACTTGAGAAACAATCTTCTCTCAGGGACGCTCCCCCGTGGCATTTGTGATAACTTCAGGCAGCTACAACGCTTGCATCTTTCAGCAAATCGATTTGGTGGTCAGATTCCATCAAGTCTACCCAAATGTATGCAACTTAAAATTTTGAATTTAGGAGATAATAAATTTCATGGAAGCATACCACCTGAAATTGGCAACTTTTCCAAGCTCGAGTGGTTAATGCTATATGGCAACAATTTGACAGGTGAGATTTCCAGTCCTTTCATTTTGCTGTACGTTTTTTTGCCTCACTTTAGTCCTAGTACATTCCGCTACCAAGTTCGTTTCATAAGTGCCCGTCCACTCTTGTCCCTCAAGAGAGAGAAATTAATCTGGCATGGCCAGCACTTTGCCCTTTAATTGAGGGTGCGAACAGAAAATTTATCTGATTTCCTTATACATACTGACTGCATTTCAATAATACATGCAGGAGATTTACCTCGGACAATCTTCAATATATCATCATTAGTAACGCTTGATATTAGCATGAATGAAATCTCTGGAATTCTTCCAAATGACCTCTGTTATCAAATTCCGGAATTGAAGATTCTGTATATTTCCACAAACCATATTAGTGGAGAAATCCCTACAGGCCTATCTAGTTGCAGGAGACTTGAAATACTTTCCCTATCATATAATAAACTCTCCGGAAGACTACCTAGCGACATCTGTAACGTGTCATCTCTTCAGGAGATTTATCTTGAAAGAATGAACTTGACAGGTAACTTTAATTTCAGAAAATTTAATTTTCATGAAATTGTGATTTAGGGGAATTTTATAAAATGGTGGGCGCTGAAATATCATATCCTGACTCAAATGAGTGTGTAATGAGAGTGGTTGGAGCAATATGGTTCGATCGGGGCAAATTATAATTTTTAATGTTGATAAATGCTCATCATTAGTATTTTTAATGTATGAAAGTTCATTTTTAATTAGATAGTATACCTAAAAATAAATTTTTATTGCATACACAATAAATGAACATTCAAAAAATAAACCTTTCAGTATACTAAAAATGAATCTTATATCAGTGATTTACCTTATAAGTTAGGCCATGATCTGCGGTATAATACTTGTTAGGTGGGTGGACCTCTCCAACCACTCTCGCAAATGCACTTTATTAAGTTTGCTAGGTTAGAATAAGTTGATGATTATTATAAAAATTACAGTTAAAATAATATTTAAGTAACATTTGAATTCAACTTCAATGAGTTGAATTCAAATGTTTCTACACCTGATCTTATACTTAGTGATATTAGAGAAATGGTTAAGTCTTTTGTTGACATTAGTTTTTTGTTTGTTTAACGACCTGTGAACATGACAGCTTATTTGTTTGCAAAGAATGACATTTCTAAGTCAGGTTGTGTCAAATGGAGTTATGCTCCCTTTCCTGTTTTGTTAAATGTTTTAGCTTTCGATTAATGAATAAAACATATCCTATTATGAATAAAAAGATTAGACTTAAAAATATAAGACTTAAGTTTAGATTGACTCCTAAGCTTTTACATAATTTACAGGATACTTGCCGAAAGAGATTGGAAAGTTGTCAAACCTTCAAGAGTTTAGAGTTTTTATAAATCACTTGACTGGGACAATACCCCCTTCAATTGGAAATATATCGACTTTGGAGAATTTTGTTGTTTTTGAAAACAATTTGGATGGTAATATTCCTCTAGAGCTGGGAAAGCTATCAAGTCTTAAAGGATTGTCACTTCATTCAAATAATTTTAGTGGTGAAGTACCATCCTCCATTTTCAACAACTCTGGATTACAAGTGATTGAGTTGGCATCTAATAACCTTTATGGCAATCTTGAACCAGGCCTAAGACATTGGATGTCCCCAAGTCTTCGAGCACTTATTATCAGCAAAAACCAATTCAGTGGAACCATTCCTAGCTCTATATCAAATGCCTCCCAACTCGCACAACTTGGACTTGGGCAAAACATGTTTAGCGGCCATGTACCTTCGGAGATTGAAAATTTACAGCAACTTGTATACTTTAACATACAATACAACCAAATCACAAATCAGCCATCGGCTAATGAGCTAAGCCTACTCACTTCATTGTCGAAATGCAAGAATTTGAAAATGGTTGGTTTGAGTGGCAATCCATTCAACACAGTTCTACCCAACTTGTTAGGTATAGGCAATAAATCTTTGTCTTTGGAATGGATAGATGCTAATGACTGTCACTTGAAAGGCAGCATTCCACCTGGAATTAGTAACTTTATCAACTTGATTTCTTTGCATTTGAGTGACAACAAGCTCTCAGGTTCATTTCCTGAAACATTAGGACGAGGTTTGTTGAGGTTACAGGGTTTATACATGGATAATAATGAAATTGAGGGATCAATACCAAACACCATGTGTTATTTGAAGGAGTTATCTGAATTGGATCTTGGAGATAATAAGCTCTCAGGGAAAATACCAAGTTGTTTTGGTAATATATCTTCTTTGAGAAAATTACATTTAAGGTCCAATTTTTTTACATCAACTATACCACTTGGCTTCTGGAATAACAAGAATGTCTTAGAGATGGACTTGTCCTCCAATTTACTCAGTGGTACCTTGTCTTATGAAATTGGAAGTATGCACAACATGGTATACCTCAATCTTTCAGGTAACCAATTTTCTGGAGAAATTCCTGACACCATTGGGCAACTTCAGAATTTGCTTATTCTCTCTCTATCATCAAATAGGCTTCATGGACCTATTCCTCAGTCATTTGATAGTTTGATAAGCTTGCAAGCATTAGATTTATTTAATAACAGCCTCTCAGGTGGGATTCCAAAGTCGATGGAGAAGCTCAAAGATCTAGTGTATCTGAACCTGTCTTTCAATGATCTGAGTGGTAAAATTCCAAATGGTGGACCTTTTGCCAAATTGAGCATGGAATCATTCATGGGTAACAAGGAACTATGTGGAGCTTCTCGATTTCATGTCATGGAATGCAAAGAAGGTAAAGATAAATCGAGAAACATTGCCATATTTCTCAAATATGTTTTGCCATCTCTTGTATCTGTGGTTGTTGTTGTTTTTCTACTGGTTTGGTTGCTTAGGTTCTGGAAGAGAAACAAACATAGGGAACGTCTGGCTGAAGATTCACTTGATGTTGCACTCAAGAGGATTTCATACTATGAAATTGTCCGTGCTACAGAAAGCTTTGATGAGAGAAACTTGATTGGGAGGGGGAGTTTTAGCTCAGTGTTCAAGGGGACTTTTGCTTCTGGGCTGGTTGCTGCTGTAAAGGTCTTCAATTTGGATGTGCAAGATTCAATCAGAAGCTTTGAAGTAGAGTGTCAAGTGCTAAGGAATATTCGACACAGAAATCTTGTCAAAGTATTAACCAATTGCTCCAACCTTGACTTCAAAGCTCTGATTTTAGTGTATATGCTCAATGGGAGCCTAGATAAATGGCTCTATTCACATAATTATTTCCTAGATATCTATCAGAGGCTAGGAATAATGATGGATGTTGCGAATGCCCTTGAGTATTTGCATCGTGGTCATTCTTTTCCAGTGGTTCATTGTGATTTAAAGCCTGGGAACATTCTTTTAGATGAAAACATGGTTGCACATGTTGGTGACTTTGGTATAGCTAAGCTACTCGAGAAAGATAAGACCACTAAGCAGACAAAAACCATGGGCACAGTTGGATACATGGCTCCAGGTGAACTCACTCAACTCTCTAATTTAATTTGTAGCTTGAAGTTTAGGATATATGGAAGTAATTGTATGTTCATATTTTTTGCACAATTGCAGAGTATGGTTGTGCAGGAATTGTATCCAGCATGGGAGATGTATACAGTTTTGGGATTCTACTTATTGAAGTATTCACGAGAAAGAAGCCCACAGATGAGATGTTCCATGGAGACTTCACCATGAGGAGATGGGTGTCTGATTCATTACCTGATGCAATAATGGAGATTGTTGACTCCAATTTAGTTACAGGAGAAGAAGGTGGAGGGCAAGAAATAGAGGAGTGCTACTTGATGGTGATGGGATTAGCTATGGAATGCACAACTGATTTTCCAGAGGAGAGAATCAGCATGGAAGATGTCATAGTAAGACTGAAGCATACACAACAAAAGTTCAACCAAAATGTCTCTACAAGTTTAGTTTAATTTGCATGCTTTGAAATGTTGCTATATTGATGCAGAAGCTTTCCTTAGCTTATTCCTTCTTGCATTGTTTGTGGTGTTTCAAATTCTGTCTTGTTTGTTCTATGTGATTTTGAGCGGTACTCCGCGAATTCCAATGCGTTTAACCCAAACACCAAATTGTTATTGTTGTTGCATCATAGTAATTCTTCTCTGGCTAAGAATGCCCATACATGCATTGTGCATCTTGACAAACTCTAAAGGGGTTAGCTCAAATCACTCCAAGAGATTTGTTGGACCGTCAAACTTGTCATGATATCTGTAATACAATTTTGTTCTCAAATCACTCCAGGAGCTCATTTATATATTGGATCACTAAACCAATCATGATATCTATAATATAGTTTTACTCTCAGATCACTCTAGCAACTCATTTATTGGACTACCAAATCAGAGCTCATTTGTTGGATCACAAAACCAATCATGATATCTGTTAACGCATTTTGCTTCCTAAAAATAAAGTAGTCCTAATAATGGCCAAAACATCACATTGTTCAATTGTTGGCATGAGATTTAAAATAAATATGAGTCGTAACATTCTTCACCGCCAGCCACACTATCCTTATAGAAAAGGATTGTTGCCTTTGATTTACTGACATGAGATTTGTCAATTAATGCAGATTGTTGACTCCAATTTACTGATAGAAGGAGAAGGCGTCCACCAAACTAGTTTGCTTTCTTCAAAATGTTGCTCAATATTTGGATTGTTTTTATTGATTTCTAATCAGGTTTCAAGTGCTGAATATTTTATCCTATTTTGATCTTTAGAAGTTTATACTAATTTCTGTGGTGTGTGCAGAAAGCTAATTACTAAGCATGCAGAAACTCTTTCTTACTCCTTTGAACAAGAAAGTGACCACTAGCAGTTACACTAAAGCGTCATTTCACACTGTGAATTTTTTTTTTTTTGTTTTCAAAAAACTCACACTTATCAAAGAATTTTTTTTTTCTAAAAATAAAAATTCTATCTCAACTTTAGATTTTTTTGGTTAGAAAAAACCTCATGGCAAAAACTCTATTGGTAATGCGTGGCAACAAGGTGAAAGCTTTCATTTTTTTAAGCTTATAATTAAGATAAGTGGAACATTATATTCAACGTTAATTATTAGGGGTTGAATATTATTACAATGGGGTGGAATGAGTGAAAGACCGCAACATGGTGGTCATGTTTTTACATTTTCTTAGACTCTCATATAATTAAGATTAGTGGAACATTCAACGTTAAGTTAATTATTAGGGGTTGAATATTATTACAATGTGGTGGAATGAGTGAAAGACCGCAACATGGTGGTACATAATACATAATACACATAAACTTATAAGAAAATATATATAATCTAACATAATAAATAATAATACACATAAACTCATAACAGAATACACATAATCTAACGTAATATATAATTCACATAAATTCATAACAGAATACACATAAATTCATAACAGAATACACATAATCTAACATAATACATAATACACATAAACTCATAACACAATACACATAAACTCATAACAGAATACACATAATCTAACTTTGGGCCTTCAGACATGAGTGAATCTTGCAAGTCCCAGTAATTCACTAAAAAAAAAAATTCCTTAGTTTGCATATACTATGAGCTTCTTCAAACAGCAGTTGGTATCAATGACTCGGTGTTTGGTTTTGGTCATTGCCCTTTGCATGGTTGTGGCCTCAGGGGCATCAAATAGCTCAACTGATGAGGTTGCTCTATTGGCATTAAAAGCAGCAATTACGTCCGATCCTTTTCGCATCTTCTCCAACAACTGGTCTCATCATACTTCATACTGTGATTGGATCGGTGTCACTTGTAGCGGTAGGCACCAAAGAGTGACCCAATTGAACCTCTTCAATATGGGTCTCAACGGCACCATTCCTGAGGTGATTGGTGGCCTCTCATTCCTTACAACTTTCAACATCAGCAGCAATAGTTTCCATGGCCAAATCCCAGAAAGCATTGGATTCTTGACCAAACTCCAGAGTTTGGATCTTTCCTACAACAATCTCACTAGAAACATCCCCTCAACTATATACAATATTTCTTCCTTGCGATTTGTAGCCATGAATTACAATAGTCTCTCAGGGATGCTTCCGGCTGGCATTTGTGATAACTGCAGGCAGCTACAAAGCTTGTCTCTCAGATCAAATCGATTGAGTGGTCAGATTCCATCAAGTCTACACAAATGTACGGAACTAAAAGTTTTGAATTTAGGAGAGAATGAATTTCATGGAAGCATACCACCAGAAATTGGCAACTTTTCCAAGCTTGAGTGGTTAAAACTATATGGTAACAATTTGACAGGTGAGGTTTTTAATTTGTTTTTCGTCTAATTTTAGTGACATATATGCATGGCTACCAATTTTCATAATAATATACGGAGTATATTATAGTAATGTAATATGTCCATGTGTACATACTTATACTGCCTGCCTTTTAATTAATACATGCAGGAGATTTGCCTTGGACAATCTTCAATATTTCATCTTTAACAGTACTCAACCTTCAGATGAATGAACTCTCTGGAATTCTGCCAAATGACCCTTGTTATCTCCTTCCACAATTGGAGATTCTGGCGATTGCCGTAAACCATATTCATGGAGAAATCCCTCAAGCTCTATCCGGTTGCAGGAAACTTCAAGTACTTACCATGTCTGAAAATGAACTCTCTGGAAGATTACCTAGCGACATCTGGAACGTGTCATCTCTTCGAAAACTTTATCTTGCAAAAATAAACTTGACAGGTAAATTCAGCAAATTTCATGAAATTGTGATTTAGGGAATTTTATAAAATAGTGAGGTTAGGGGCAGTGAAGCGCCCCAAGTAGGCCGTTTGGCCTCCAAGTAGAAATTTTGGAAGGAATGGTGGGTTAGAGTGGTGCAATTGGAGCACTGAAACATCCTAACTCAAATGAGTCTGAATGTAATGAGAATGGTTGGATCGGGGCAAATTATAAGGTGGACTACCGATAAATGTTCATTTTTAATGTATAAAAAGTTTAAATTGGCTCCTAAACTTTTACATAACTTACAGGATACTTGCCAAAAGAGATTGGGAAGTTGTCAAACCTTCGCGAGTTTAGAGTTTTTGTAAACCGCTTGACTGGTACAATACCCCCTTCAATTGGCAATATATCGACTTTGGAGAATTTTTTTGTTAATAATAACAATTTGGATGGTAATATTCCTCCAGAGCTAGGAAGGCTATCAAGTCTTAAAGGATTGTCACTTAGTTCAAATAATTTTAGTGGTGAAATACCATCCTCCATTTTCAACATCTCCGAATTACAAGCGATTGACTTGGCATTAAATAAACTTTTTGGCAATCTTCAACCAGGCCTAAGACATTGGATGTCACCAAGTCTTGAAGAACTTATTCTCCACGGCAACCAATTCAGTGGAACCATTCCTAGCACTATATCAAATGCCTCCCAACTCATACTGCTTGATCTTGGGCATAACATGTTCAGTGGCCATGTACCTCTTGTGGTTGAAATTTTACACCAACTTCAATTTTTTTCTATAGAGTACAACCATATCACAAATGATCCATCGGCCAATGAACTGAGCCTACTCACTTCATTGTCGAAATGCAAGAATTTGAAAAGGGTTGTTTTGGAAGGCAATCCATTCAACACAGTTCTTCCCAACTCATTAGATGTTGGCAATATGTCGTCGTCGTTGAAAATCTTGGATGCAGCTAGTTGTCACTTTAAAGGCACCATACCTAGTGGAATTAGCAACTTCAGCAACTTGATTTCTCTGGACTTTTCCCAAAACAACCTCTTAGGTTCGCTTCCTGGAACATTGGGAGATTTGCTGAGGTTACAGGGTTTATTCGTATCTAATAGTAACATTGAGGGATCAATACCAAACACCATGTGTTATTTGAAGGAGTTATCTGAATTGAATCTTGGAGATAATAAGCTCTCAGGGAGCATATCAAGCTGTTTTGGAAATATATCTTCTTTGAGAAAATTAAATCTAGGTTTCAATTTTTTTACATCTACTATTCCGCTTGGCTTCTGGAATAACAAGGATGTATTGTGGCTGGACTTATCGTTCAATTTTCTTAGTGGTTCTCTGTCTCCTGAAATTGGAAGTATGCACACCATGGAAGAGTTATATCTATTAGGTAACCGATTTTTTGGAGAAATTCCTGACAGCATTGGGCAACTTCAGAATTTGCTTATTCTCGATCTATCATCAAATAGGCTTTATGGACCTATTCCTCAATCATTTGGTAGTCTGATAAGCTTGCAAGAATTATATTTATCTAATAATAACCTCTCTGGTGGTATTCCAAAGTCGATGGAGAAGCTCAAATATCTAGTGTATCTGAATCTGTCTTTCAATTATCTCAACGGTAGAATTCCAAATGGTGGACCTTTTGCAGAATTTAGCATGGAATCATTCATGGGTAACAATGAACTATGTGGAGCTTCTCGATTCCATGTCATGGAATGCAAAGAAGGTAAAGAAAAACCGAGAAACATTGCCATATTTCTCAAGTATGTTTTGCCATCTCTTGTATCTCTGTTTGTTGTTGCTATTCTACTGGTTTGGTTGCTTACTTTCTGGAAGAGAAACAAACTAAGGGAACCTCGGGCTGAAGATTCACTTGATGTTGCACTCAAGAGGATTTCATATTATGAAATTCTTCGTGCTACAGAAGGTTTTGATGAGAGCAACTTGATAGGCATGGGGAGTTTTAGCTCAGTGTTCAAGGGGACATTTGCTGCTGGGCTTGTTGCTGCTGTAAAGGTTTTCAATTTGGATGTGCAAGATTCAATCAGAAGCTTTGAAGTAGAGTGTCAAGTGCTAAGGAATATTCGACACAGAAATCTTGTCAAAGTAATAACCAGTTGCTCCAACCTCGACTTCAAAGCTCTGATTTTAGAGTATATGCCCAATGGGAGCCTAGACAAATGGCTTTATTCACATAATTATTTCCTAGATATCTATCAGAGGCTAGGAATAATGATGAATGTTGCGAATGCCTTCGAGTATTTGCATCATGGTTATTCTTTTCCTGTGGTTCATTGTGATTTGAAGCCTGGTAACATTCTTTTAGACCAAAACATGGTTGCACATGTTGGTGACTTTGGTATAGCTAAGCTACTGGACAGAGATAAGGCCACTAAGCAGACAAAAACCATGGGCACAGTTGGATACATGGCTCCAGGTGAACTCACTCAGCTCTCTAATTTAATTTGTAGCTTCAAGTTTAGAATATGTGGATGTAATTGTATGTTCATATTTTTTGCACAATTGCAGAGTATGGTTGTGCAGGAATAGTATCCAGCATGGGAGATGTATACAGTTTTGGGATTCTACTAATGGAAGTATTCACAAGAAGGAAGCCCACAGATGAAATGTTCCATGGAGACTTCAGCATGAGGAAATGGGTGTCTGATTCATTGCCTGATGCAGTAATGGAGATTGTTGACTCCAATTTAGTGACAGGAGAAGAAGGTGGAGGGCAAGAAATAGAGGAGTGCTTCTTGATGGTGATGGGATTAGCTATGCAATGCACAGCTGATTTTCCAGAGGAGAGAATCAGCATGGAAGATGTCATAGTAAGACTCAAGCATACACAACAAAAGTTGAACCAAAATGTCTCTATAAGTGTAGTAATAAACTAGTTTAATTTGCATGCTTTGAAATGTTTCTCATTACCTGGATATTGTACAATAAAATAACCTGTGGCATGTATTTCTAAAGTATCAACACTGGAATAATGTATGTATATGTTTAGCAATATACTGGTGCCATTTTGACAATCGTAGTTTGCGTGGGTGGAAAGTAGGTCTGAGAATGTTACATTCTAGACACTTTTATACTTAACCACCTACTATCCAGTGTGAAGATACCTTATCTCACACACTAATCACTCTACTAAAACTCAACTTTCAAACTTCTATATCCCACTTTAATTCATTTGTTGTATTTAGTTTAGATTTATTTATTTGTGTTGCTTCCACTTTGATACAATCGAACTAGCTTCACAAGAATTGATCTGATTTAGTATTGAATTGATTTGCAATTATAATGATGCTACTGGTGGTGGGAGCTGAGATATGCAATACTACAATGTTAGAGTATCTACTAAAATGCATTTACAGTATGGATGCTAGCTAGTAGCTATGATGTTTTCACTGTTAATGAAGGACAGTAGAGTGGAGATCGAGGAGCAGAAAACAGGGGGATAGTCATCAGCCGGGAAACTTGTCTTATGGTTTCAGGGAATTTTGTTAATGTCCCCTCAAAGGAGTGAGTTCAGCTCACTCCAAGAGCTCATTTGTTGGATCATAAAACTAGTCATGATATCTGTAACACAATTTTGTTCTAGATCACTCTAGGAGCTCATTTTATTGGATCACTAAATCAGTCATGATATCTACAATACAGTTTTACACTCAGATCACTCCAGAAGCTCATTTGTTGGCCTACCAAATCAGGCATGATATATGTAACACAATTTTGTTTTTAGATCACTACATAGCCCGTTTATTAGATCATCAAATCAATCATGATATCTACAATATAGTTTTACTCTCAGATCACTCCATAAGCTTATTTGTTGGACTACCAAATCAGACATGATATATGTAACACAATTTTGTTTTCAAATCACTGCAGGAACTCATTTGTTGGATCACCAAATCAGTCATAATATCTTTTAACACATTTTGCTTCCTAAAGATAAAGTAATCCTAATAATATGGCCAAAACATCACATTGTTCAATTTGGCATGAGATTTAAAATAGATATGAAACGTAACATTCTTCACCGCCAGCCACACTATCCTTGTAGAAAAAGGATTGTTGACTCCAATTTACTGACAGGAGGAGAAGGCGTCCACCAAACTAGTTTGCTTTCTTCAAAATGTTGCTCGATATTTGGATTGTTTTTATTGATTTCTAATAAGGTTTAATTTCAAGTGCATGCTGAATATTTTATCCTATTTTGATCTTTAGAAGTTTATACTAATTTCTGTGGTGTATGCAGAAAGCTAATTACTCCGTACTAAGCAGTAACTCTTTCTTACTGCAGTCTGCAAGTGTGCAAATTAGTTTCTCAAAGGCACTCCCAGTCTCCCCTAGTCCCCTTCTTTGAGCAAGTATGAGCTCCGTAGTAGTCAAATTATTATCTTAATTGTTATTCAAATTATGACTTTTAACTTACAATTAGAGGGCGTTTGGTTCGCGGAATGTTATATTATCTCAGGAAATGTTAAATTGTAGGGAATGTTAAATTCTTGTGTTTGGTTTAAAACTGTGGTATGTAATATAAATCTGTTTAGTTGAAGAATTATTTTTTTATGGTATGATGATTATTTTTACTTGACTATTGTTAATCTATTTTTATGTATTTTAATAAATTTAAAATTAAAATAAATAAATAAGACAATGGTAAAATATAGTAAATGATTAAAAATTAATTAACTAATATTTTGAACAATAATTAACTAAGACAATGGATTAAAATGACAAAATTAGCAATAACACAAGGGAATGTGAGAATACCTAAAAAATAAGAGGGTATCGATCTCACATTCCCTTACAATAACTAAAAACTTTATATGAAGGTTATGTTACATTCCTGGAGAGAAATTACATAGCTTGAACCAAACATGGAAATCATATATCACCAAGTAAATATAACCCAAGTTATTATCTTATATAATCGGAACCAAACACCCCCTTAAAGTTTTTGAGCAAGTCTTATCTTTTAGTATTCAAAGTCTTTTTTTTTTCTTTTTTTTTTCTTTTTTTTTTTGGAAAAAAGTATTCAAAGTCTAAGCATCACATTATTAATTGGTTTGCAATGCTTTTTTTTTTAATATATAATTGAATGTACCATTGATCTAAAAAATTATATATTTTGAAATGAGATAAATTCCAAAAAGAAAAAAAAAAAAAAAAGATTCAAAGTGGCCACTAACGGTCACTCTAATTCTCTAAAGCGTCATTTCACACTGTGTATTTTTCTTTTCTCAAAAAACTCTAAAAAAAATTTCTCTAAAAAGTAAAAATTCTACCCTCAACTTTAAATTTTTTTATTAGAAAAAACCTCATGGAAAAAACTCTATTGGTAATGCGTGGCAACAAGGTGACAGCTTTCATTTTTTTAAGCATATAATTAAGATTAGTGGAACATTCAATGTTAATTATTAGGGGTTGAATATTATTACAATGGGGTAGAATGAGTGAAAGACCGCAACATGGTGGTCATTTTTTACATTTTCTTAAGACCCTCATTTTCTTAACCATTTAAGATGGCAACAGAATGTCAATGTATAAGTCAACGGTATTTGCACTTATTTATTTATACATTAGGTTTCTAGCTTATGCTAGACTAGACTAATCCTAAGTCTCATGAATTTTTACTAAAGAATTTGGAGGAGGTGAATTGTGAGTCATCTCTGCACATAATGAGTCTTAATCATTTCTAGACAATTTTTTGGATTTTAAATCTCCTAGTGACCTCACATTTTTTGGCTTTGGGTCTCTAACCTAACAATTGGAACAAGACTTCTAAAATGACCCCTGAGTGATTGAGCTAAACCCCTGAGCATTTTCACTTTTATAATTAATGTAGGAGTATCCTTGGGTCCTCAGATATGAGTCAATCTTGCAACTCCAACTAATTCATTCTGGCAAAAAAAAAAAACATTATGCATGTATGATAAACTTGTTAACAGAGCACTTGGTTTCAATGGAAAGGTATGTGACTATGTGGTTTTGGTTGTGGAATTCAGGGTGGGGCTGAAGAAATGTCTAAATCGCATATGTTATAACCAATTATCATCACAAATTTCAGAATTAAAGCAAGCAAGAAGTGTATGCTTACTTTCTAAAGGGAATAGTCGATTTTGGGACATATTTACCTTTGTAATCAAAACTCCCTTAGCATCTGCAATGGTACAACACCCCTGAGTAATATTTATCTTATATCCTTTTTCTGACAATTGTCCCATACTCAACAAATTTTGGTGTAGTTCAAGAACATAGAACACATCGGATATAAAATTGTGAGTATCATCCTTCAATTGAATAGAGATTTTACCTTTTTTCCAAGATTGGCACTTTTGACTTATTGCCAAATGTCACTTCAGACCGGACTGATTCATCTAGTTCGGAAAACAATTCTTTCTTCCCACACATATGATTATTACACCCAGTATCCAATAACCATATGTTTTTATCTGTAGAAAAACTATCACTGGCCAAAAGTAAGGTTTCAGAACTCTCGCCAGACTTTTAAGCAATGTTTGCTTGATTTCCACGATTGTCCTCATTATAGCAGCAATCTGCAATCTTGTGCTCGTACTTGCCACAATTGTAGCAATGAAATGGAAATTTACCTTGTTTGGTATTACATCCACCTCTCTCTTAGTTGGATCGGAGTTACCAAGCCCTCCTCCTTGGTTGGAGTTACCACGACCTCTTCCACTAAATCCTATTCTTCCTCTTCCACGACCTTTACTAGATCATTCACCTCTTTGATTAGTGCCAGTCATATTAAGGGTGGTCTGACTCTTCAAAGCTTCTTCTGCTAGTGGTTTCGATTTTGACATAATCCTGTCAAATGTCAATATGACTTTCTACTATACCTTTCAGCTCTGCAATTGATAAGAGCTCGGTATTGTAAGGACTCTGTTATTGAAGCCACCACATATTCATACTTCATCGGCATAGTTCGAAGAACTTTTTCAACCACTACACCATCTTCAATTGTATCTCCATATATCCTCATCTTATTCACCATATCAATGAGACGAGTGAAATACATATCTACTGTTTCTGTAGAGGTCATCTCACAATTGTCATACAACCTTCTCAACATTGTAACTTAGACTTTTGTGCCCGATCGACTCCTTTGTGTGAGACATTTAAGATGTCCCAAGCTTGCTTTGCTGTTTGAGCACGAGCTAATTGCCCAAAAATGGAGTAATCAACACCTTTGTGAAGCTGTCCCAATGCCAATTGATCTCACCGTATAGCGCCTACATCAGCTCCTTCTGGTAGACTGGAATCAACGAAGTTCCAAAGATTTTGAACATTCAAATGTGTGGTCATCATAATCTGCCGATAATTGTAACTGAGTTTCTCATTCAATTTGGGACCTGACCATACAATATTGAAATTTGTTATCATATTTCATTACGAAAAATATTACAGGATTGGAAAGTTAACCTAGCTCTGATACCAAATGTAAGATATATTAAATATAATATATTTAAATAACTACTTGAGAAGAGAAAGAGAGAGAGGGGAAAAACAATGTTTATTTTATTTCAGAAACTCATTCAACTTAACATTTAAAAGCTATGAAATACAACCTCTATCATTTAGTTCAACTTAACATTTAAAAGCTATGAAATACAACCTCTATTTATAGTAAAATAATAAAGCTAAAATAAACTAACCACTAATAACCATAACCCCATTATACCACTAACCCACTAGCACCATTAAAGTAACTAACCACTAACCCCAGTAAATAAAACTAACAACTAATTAATAAAGCTAAAATAAACTAACCACTAATAACCATAACCCCATTATACCACTAACCCACTAGCACCATTAAAGTAACTAACCACTAACCCCAGTAAATAAAACTAACAACTAATTCAGTAATTAAAAATAACTACCCACTAACTTGGTTTAATAATATAATAATAATATTAATTAATTAATTAATTAATTAATATTAATATTATTATAACAATAAATGAATATAATGGTGTTTCCACTTTATGTATGTGTGAAGGCATATGTTTGGGTCTTCAGATATGAGTCAATCCTGCAACTCCCAGTAGTAATTCACTCTTTTAAACAAAATTTTCCTCAGCTCCTTTAGTTTGCATATATGCATATATATATGATGAGATCCTTCACAGAGAACATGGTATCAATGGTTTTGGTTGTTGTATTGGTATCCCTTTGCATGACAACTCGGGGGGCTGTGGCCTCAGGGGCGGCATCAAAATCAAAATCAAATAGCTCAGCTAATGATGATGAGGCTGCTTTATTGGCATTCAAAACAGCAATTACATCTGATCCCTTTGGCATCTTGTCCAACAACTGGTCTTATCACACTCCATACTGTGATTGGATTGGTGTTACATGTAGCGGTAGGCACCAAAGAGTGACCCAATTGAATCTCTTCAATATGGGTTTCAACGGAACCATTCCTGAGGAAATTGGTGGCCTCTCATTCCTTTCAACTTTCAACATCAGCGCTAATAGTCTCCATGGCCATATTCCAGAAAGCATTGGATTATTGACCAAACTCCAGAGTTTGGATTTGTCCTACAACAATCTCACGGGAAACATTCCTGCAAATATATACAACATTTCTTCCATGCAATTTGTAGACTTGAGAAACAATCTTCTCTCAGGGACGCTCCCAGAGGGCATTTGTGATAATTACTTCAGGCAGCTTCAAGGCTTGTATCTTTCAGGGAATCGATTGAGTGGTGAGATTCCATCAAGTTTACCCAAATGTATGGAGCTTAGATTTTTGAATTTAGGAGACAATGAATTTCATGGAAGCATAGCACCTGAAATTGGCAACTTTTCCAAGCTCGAGTGGTTAATGCTATATGGCAACAATTTGACAGGTGAGATTTCCCGTCCTTTAATTTTTTGTCTCAGTTTATACTTTATAGTAGTACATACATACCGCTACCAAGTTTATATATATATATATATATATATATATATATATATATATATATATATATGTGTGTGTGTGTGTGTTCAAATGAGGACAAGTATATTATAGAGTACTCTGAGGACATATGTAGTGTGTGCCATTAGCCGGTATGTCGTGTGCATGGCCGAATGTAGTCGTGTGCCACAGTTTGTATGTCGCGTGCTAGATTTGTTAATTTATAGAGCCTGGGTTCGAAACCTGATGTTTACATTTATTCTTGTGTGCCATTATGTATTAAGTTGCGTGTCTGGTATTAATTTCTTGTGTGCCCATTATTTGTCCTCAGAGTCTTCTATATATTGTTGTCCTCATTTGAACTCAACCCTATATATATATATATATATATATATATATATATATATATATGGGATACTTGTGTGAGACCGTCTCACGTGTTGCGTCGGGTCGACATGTGGTACTTGTACTACCAAATGTAATACTAAATCATGAATAAAATGTTTGTTACTTATAAGGAAAAATATAATAATTATGATGGCAAATATAATACTTTTATATTTTGATGTAAAAGTATTACTTTTTTCATCAAAAATATTATAATTTCCCAAGTAATGTTGCACTTATACAGGCAAATGTAATACTGATGAAAAATGTAATACTTTTACATCAAAATGTAAATGTATTACATTTTTCCTCAAAAGTATTACATTTTCCTATATAAGTAATAAACATTTTATTCATGATTCAGTATTACATTTGCTAGTATAAGTATTATATTTTATGTTGACCCGACCCGTCTCACAAACAAAGATCCGTGAGACGGCCTCACACAAATTTTTGCCATATAGAAATAGGTATGATCCAAATGCGGCAACTGCTCCTCGTATAATCGTGTGGACATGCCAGAGTTGTTGGATGAGATCATATCAAACAAATGGAAATTAATGTAAATGAGAAAAAATACAAGGACAAATTTGTAATTTTATCAATAGTGTATGTTTCAGTAGTGCATTAAAGGGTTGTTAAGTGGTGCACTTATGAGTGGCCTGTGGTGTTACCACCAAATGGCTGAAAATCAACTAAAAGGGAAACCAGGCGATGATATTTTTGTAATTTTGTGTGCAATGTATATTTTGGTGGTGCACTAAGTGCTAATGTGTGGTGCATTTATGAGTGTTATGTGGTGCACTTATGAGTGCTCTGTGGTACCCCACCAAAAAAGGAAAAATGATGTGAGTTCAATAGGCCCATTGAATAGTACCATTGGACCAGCGGGTCTATTGAACCCATCAACGGGTTTGACACCCCTGATGAATGGTGCAATACTAAGTGCATTACAAATCAAGTGCACCATATAGTACTTATAAATGTGCCACACACTAGCATGTATTGCACCACCGTGAATGATGTAATACTAAAAATATTATAGATCAAAGTCCATCACGTATCACTCAAAGTGTTCCACCAAGCACTCATAAGGGCACAGCACACTAGCAAGTATTCACATGTTGTATGAAATTACAAAATTGTCACCGCGTATTTTTTTTTCTCTTCGTTGATTTCCATCCGTTTCATCTCAGCTCATGCATCATATCCTACGGCTCTAACATGTCTGCACGAGAGAGGAGAGCCCCACCAAAGCATGGACTCCTCTCTCTCTCACTCTCTCTCTCTCTCTCTCTCTCTCTATATATATATATATATATATATATATATATATATATATATATATTATTTATGTATGTATATCTGATCCCTATGTTAAATTTATCTGATTCCATCCTTATACTGACTGCATTTCAACACAGGAGATTTACCTTGGACAATCTTCAATATATCATCATTAGTAAGGCTTAATATTCGCATGAATGAAATCTCTGGAATCCTTCCAAACGACCTCTGTTATCAAATTCCGGAATTGGAGTATTTGGATATTTCCATAAACCAAATTCATGGAGAAATCCCTCAAGCTCTATCCAGTTGCAGGCGACTTCAAAAGCTTTCCATGTCTAAAAATCAACTCTCCGGAAGATTCCCTACTCAAATTTGTAACATATCATCTCTTCAGGAGCTTTATCTTACGAGAATGAACTTGACAGGTAACTTCAGAAAATTTCATGAAATTGTAATTTCAAGAATTTTATAAAATAGCTAGTGAGGTCATAATGGTCCATGGGCAGTAGATATGTCAACGGGGCGGGGTGGGGGCGGGAGACATACCCCTATTCCCGCCCCGACTTTTTTCCCATTCCCCGTTCCCGTCCTCGTCCCCACCGAGGAAGGGAAAATTCCCCACATTCTTATCCCCACGGAGATTATTCGGGGATGGGGAATCCCCACCCTGTTTATAAGTTTATAAAAAAAAATTAAAAATTAAACACTAAAAAAATTTAAATAGATAAGGCATATATATTCATCCCCAACTTAAAGTAATATTCAATATTTTACAATTAAACATGTTATCTAAATATACATTTCGTAAGCATGACATACAATGACAAGAATGCTTCTAAAAATATACATATTATATACAAAGTAATACACATGTGTGTGTTGTGGGGATATATATATATATATATATATATATATATATATATCGGGGGCGGGGCGGGGCGGGGAGAGTACTCCCCATCCCCGCCCCCGTCCCCAACGGGAAATTCAAAATTACCCCCATTCCCATCTTGCCGTTAACGGCTTTAGGCAGTTTCCTTTCGTATTTAAACAGTAGGATATATCCATAACTTCATAATTATATATCTAGAATTACATAACTATATATTCATAATTATATATTCATAATTTGACAACAGTACATTCAGAAATTAATAATTACACATTCATAATTGACCTTATCGATTCTAAATATATAGTTAATTCATTCTGGATATATAGTTCATTCATTCTGGATATATAGTTCACTAATTCTGGATATATAGTTCACTAATTCTGGATATATAGTTCATTGATTCTGGATATATAGTTCATTAATTCTGGATATATAATTCAAATTATGCACGGCATAATGCCGTTAACGACAACCAAAAATATATATATATTTTTTTAAGTTGGACGCGTAATTTTTAATTAAAACGACGCCGTTTTGCAATCGTGTGCACCATATATGCATGGTGCACGACATAATTTGCAGACAAATTATACATGGACCAGGTTTCATCACTTCAATTGTGGGCTTGGTCCAAAGAAATATGAAGATTATATATCTGCATTTAACATATTATGTATTTTCAATTAACAAATTATGCACCTATACATAAATTTAGGGTATATATTAGGCAAATATATCATATGTTAATTGTAGTAGGCACATAATTTATCATACATAATATATTAACTTACATGCACTCAATCTAAATGTTGTTTTGGACCAGGGTCTACAATGAAAGGTGGACCCCCCGGGTCCATGGTATAATAATTGGAGCACTGAAACATCCTAACCGAAATTTTGCAGGGTACTTGCCAAAGGGGATTGGAAAGTTGTCAATCCTTCGAGACTTTAGAGTTTATGTAAATCGCTTGACTGGTACAATACCCCCTTCAATTGGCAATATATCGACTTTGGAGAATTTTATTGTTTTTGAAAACAATTTGGGTGGTTATATTCCTTCAGAGCTAGGAAAGCTATCAAGTCTTAAAGGTTTGTCACTTAGATCAAATAATTTTAGTGGTGAAGTACCATCCTCCATTTTCAACATCTCTGGATTACAAGTGATTGAGTTGTCATGGAATAAACTTTTTGGCAATCTTCAACCAGGCCTAAGACATTGGATTTCACCAAGTCTTGAAGGACTTCTTCTCTACGGTAACCAATTTAGTGGAACCATTCCTAGCAAACCATAGTCTACTGTATAACAACTGCACATACGCTAAGATCCACAATGCTATGTGAACTCTGATCCATGGTATAAGGGATTGCGCCCCAACTAGGTAGGCCCTTTGGCCTAGTAGAGATTTTGGAAGGAATGGTTGGCTATAGTGGTGCAATTGGACCGTTGAAACATCCTATCCTAAGTCAAATGTTGTCAAATGAGTATGTAATGCGAGTGGTTAGAGCACTATGGTTGAATCGGACAAATTATAATGCTGACTATTGATAAATGTTCATTTTTAATATAAAAAAAGGTTCATTTTTATGTAGTATAGATATACCTAAAAATATACTTTTAGTACACAACAAATGAATTATCAAAAAATAAAACTAAAAAAATAAACATTTAATACATTAAAAATGAATTTTATATACATTTCAAAAAATAAATTGAATTTTATATCAATAATCTACTTTGTAAGTTCGACCTTGTTGGGTGGGTGGAACTCTCCAGCCACCACCAGCTCGCAAATGCACCTAAAGTAACAACTAACAACATATCCTATTATTATTAAAAGATTAAAGACTTAAAAATATAAGACTTATAAAATAAGATAAATTAATTTTGTGCAACTCATTTATAATTTGCTTTATGTGTGATTTGAAAGCAGCTGAGCTATTCTAAAGTGACTCAAAGTTTAGATTAACTTCAAAACTTTTACATAATTTACAGGATACTTGTCAAAAGAGATTGAGAAATTGTCAAACCTTCAAGAGTTTATAGTTTTTGAAAATCGCTTGACTGGTACAATACCTCCTTCAATTGGCAATATATCGACTTTGGAGAATTTTGTTGTTAAGGATAACAATTTGGATGGTAATATTCCTCCTGAGATAGGAAAACTATCAAGTCTCAAAGGATTGTCACTTAAATCAAATAATTTTAGTGGCAAAGTACCATCCACCATTTTCAACATCTCTACATTACAAAAGTTTGACCTGGGATCTAATAACCTTTTTGGCAATCTTCAACCAGGCCTAAGACATAGGATATCCCCAAGTCTTGAAGAACTTATTCTCAGCCAAAACCAATTCACTGGAACCATTCCTAGTTGTATATCAAATGCCTCACAACTCATAAAGCTTGATCTTGGGACAAACATGTTTAGCGGCCATGTACCTTCGGAGATAGAAAACTTACAACAACTTGAATACTTTAACATACAATACAACCAAATCACAAATGAGCCATCGGCTAATGAGCTAAGCTTACTCACTTCATTGTCGAAATGCAAGAATTTGAAAATGGTTGGTTTGAGTGGCAATCCATTCAACACAGTTCTACCCAACTTGTTAGGTATAGGCAATAATAAATCTTTGTCTTTGGAATGGTTAGATGCTAGTGGCTGTCACTTGAAAGGCAGAATTCCAAGTGGAATCAGTAACTTTATCAACTTGATTGCTTTGGGTTTGAACGACAACAAGCTCTCAGGTTCATTTCCTGAAACATTGGGAAGACGTTTGTTGAGGTTACAAGGTTTGTACGTATATAATAATGAAATTGAGGGATCATTACCAAAAACCTTTTGTTATTTGAAGGACTTGTCTGAATTGTATCTTGGATACAATAAGCTCTCGGGGAAAATACCAAGTTGTTTTGAAAATCTATCTTCTTTGAGAAAAATATATCTAGATTCCAACTTTTTTACATCTAGTATACCACTTGGCTTCTGGAATAACAAGGATATCTTAGAGATGGGCTTGTCCTCCAATTTACTCAGTGGTGCCTTGTCTTCTGAAATTGGAAGTATGCACAGCATGGTATACCTCAATCTGTCAGGTAACCAATTTTCGGGAGAAATTCCTTACACCATTGGGCGACTTCAGAATTTGCTTATTCTCTCTCTATCATCAAATAGACTTCATGGATCTATTCCCCAGTCATTTGATAGTCTCGTAAGCTTGCAACAATTGGATTTATCTAATAACAGTCTCTCTGGTGCTATTCCAAAGTCAATGGAGAAGCTCAAAGATCTAGTGTATCTAAACCTGTCTTTCAATGATCTGAGTGGTAAAATTCCAAATTGTGGACCTTTTGCAAAATTTAGCATGGAATCATTCATGGGTAACAAGGAGCTATGTGGAGCTTCTCGATTTCATGTCATGGAATGCAAAGAAGGTAAAGGGAAACCGAGAAACATTGCCATATTTCTCAAGTATGTTTTGCCATCTCTTGTATCTGTGATTGTTTTTGTTGTTCTACTGGTTTGGATGCTTACTTTCTGGAAGAGAAACAAACGAAGGGAACCTCGGGCTGAAGATTCACTTGATGTTGCACTCAGGAGGATTTCATACTATGAAATTCTTCGTGCTACAGAAGGTTTTGATGAGAGCAACTTGATAGGCAGGGGGAGTTTTAGCTTAGTGTTCAAGGGAACTTTTGTTGATGGGGTGATTGCTGCTATAAAAGTCTTCAATTTGGATGTGCAAGATTCAATCAGAAGCTTTGAAGTAGAGTGTCAAGTGCTAAGGAATATTCGACACAGAAATCTTGTCAAAGTAATAACCAGTTGCTCCAACCTCGACTTCAAAGCTCTGATTTTAGAGTATATGCCCAATGGGAGCCTAGACAAATGGCTATATTCACATAATTATTTCCTAGATATCTATCAGAGGCTAGGAATAATGATGGATGTTGGGAATGCCCTCGAGTACTTGCATCATGGTCATTCTTTTCCTGTGGTTCATTGTGATTTGAAGCCTGGCAACATTCTTTTAGATGAAAGCATGGTTGCACATGTTGGTGACTTTGGTATAGCTAAGCTACTGGACAAAGATAAGGCCACTAAACAGACAAAAACCATGGGCACAGTTGGATACATGGCTCCAGGTGAACTCACTCATCTCTCTAATTTCATTTGTAGCTTCAAGTTTAGGATACATGGAAGTAATTGTATGTTCATATTTTTTGCACAATTGCAGAGTATGGTTGTGCAGGAATAGTATCCAGCATGGGAGATGTATACAGTTTTGGGATTCTACTAATGGAAGTATTCACGAGAAAGAAGCCCACAGATGAGATGTTCCATGGAGACTTCACCATGAGGAAATGGGTGTGTGATTCATTGCCTGGTGCAATAAAGGAGATTGTTGACTCCAATTTACTGACAGGAGAAGAAGGTGGGCAAGAAATAGAGGAGTGCTTCTTGATGGTCATGGAGTTAGCTGTAGAATGCACAGCTGATTTTCCAGAGGAGAGGATTACCATGGAAGATGTTGCAGGAAGACTTAAGCATACACTGCACAAGTTCACCCACAATACATCTTGATCGAGGTCCAATTCGCCATGCAGTAAACTAGTTTGCTTTCTTCAAAATGGTGCTCAATATTTGGATTGCTTTTATTGGTTTCTAATCAGGTTTAGACTGCTGCATATTTTATCTTATTTTGATCGTTAGAAGTTTATACTAATTTCTGTGGTGTGCACAGAAAGGTAATTACTAAGCAGAAACTCTTTCATACTGCAGTCTGTTGGTGTGCAAATTGTGTTTCAAAGGCACTCTCACTTTCTTAAAGAAAATTAATGTTTTTATAAGTCATTTTAGCAATTCATAGTAAATAGTTAATTTGTCAAACACATTTTTACCCCTAAGTATCTCAATTAGCTATTAGTTAATTGCCACACAACCACATGATATGTGAATATAAAATATAGGTAAATCATGGACAAACATCCTAGATATAGCTGGCGCAACATTTTTATGTTATTAGATAATTGTTCAATTACAATAAATCATGTTATAGCTATGAATAATAAAACTATGCTAGACACTAGTATGACAATATAATCTAGACCAGACCTATTTGTTTAGGTCAATATGGCTTCAGCCCACATGGGCTAGCCCAAACACAAATTACGTATTACCATATCTGAGCTAGCACAACACAATCTTATACACGAGGCAATGTCTGGACAACCTCCATGTAATGTAGGTTTGAATAACTTGGCTCAAACCACACTACTTTTATCTCTTTTTATTAGTCACTCTGTGATATATCATTTTTTTTATTGGATATGTTAATTCTTTATTAAATTAGAGTGGAGTTGATCAATCCACTAGTCATTCATGAAAGTAAATAGTTTTTATTTTTTAATTTGAATGTTGTTAGTAGAGAGTGATAATTATAAGAATGGAATCATTTTGCTTTAGCCAGTGATGAAACCCTAGGAGGATTGGAGTCTTTTTTTCCTCCTCCCTCTATTTCAATTTGAACTCGTCGTAACAACGAACACCTTCCTACTGCAAGGTAAGGCTCTGCCCTCCCCTAGAATCCACTCCGAGTTAGAGGAGCAACTAGTCCAACTTCTTTAGCAGCCAACAAGCAACGTCAGAGCTAAAGCTAAAGCTTATACTATTCTAAGCTAGCGCGAAATAACAAGTAACGACTTCAAGTTTAGACTAGCGCTACATGATAATGCTCCAACCAAAGAAATACACTATATCAATTTTAAAAAGTGTGACATTTTCTAATAAGTGATATGAACAGTTATTATAAAATGAAAAGTGTGATACTGTTTTTGAGTTAATTACATTTTTTATCTTAGATTTATAGGTGACAGTTCATTTTTAATCTTTTTTTATCAGAATATTCACATTTGGTCTTAGTATTATTATGGCATGATCATTTTTTGTCTTTCTATCAACCAAATATTTTTAATGTCGTTAAATACAAAGTCATTTCGGTCTTCAATTACGAATATTTCAAAAAATAAACATAAAAATATAATGGGGTCAACTCACTTTGTATAAAAATGATCGAAATGTCTTTATATTTAATGACATTTTAATGATTTTGTTGACGGGGGACCAAAAAATGGTCATCCATAATAATACTATGACCAAATGTGAATGTTCTAATAAATCATGATTAAAAGTAGATTGATACCTATAAATCTAGGACCAAAAATGAAATTAACTCTAATTTTTTTGGTTAGACTACAATATGTCCAGGAGCCAAAAGGGGGTAGGGAGGGCAGCTGCCCCCCTCACCCCACTCTAACCCCATATATAATATGTGTATGTATATATGTATATATAGTACATGTTTTAGTATTAGTATAAAAAAATATTAAATATTAACAAGAAATGAGTTAAATTAGTTGGTAGAACACATGTTTGGTAATAGTAAAGGTCAAGGGTTCTTGAATCCTTTGGTATTAATATAATTTTATAGTTTTTTTTTTTAATCCTTCCCCTACGCTTCAACACAGGTTTTTTTTTAATATTTAACACACACACACACACACACACACACACACACACACATATATATATATATATATCATTCTTTTATATTAATAGTGAGATGTGTAATTTATAATGTGTTTTCTATTCAAATTATTTTGTCAAATTAATTATGTTTCATATTTTGTTATGAATATTTTTATAAAGTTTCGATGTGTTTTATTTTTCGTCAATATCCAACAATATTTACAATTATATTTCTTACGTAATTTATTTATTTTTTAAAAATTATCTCTTTTGTTTTAATGTTTTGCTTTTACTGAAAAAAATTTCTGAATCCGTCCTTACTGCTTCGCCCCCCTCAACTGAATTTTTGGCTCCGTCCCTGAATATGTTGAGTAAGTTTAACTTTAAACTCGCACATACACCATAATCAAACTAATCAAGATGTCATCACCTTAATTACATTTATCATTTCCTCAACAGTCTTGACCTGTTTAATGCACATTTCAAAGAGACGCATTCCAGAAGATGTGGGCCCCACACGGGGAGAGTAATGGTCATTTGACCGTGGATTGCACATTGTTGACGCATTTGACGGTCCAGATCAATGCGCGTTTCCGTTCAAATGAAAAATAAACAACCAATACTACGGATACTCCCACATTCTATTTCATTTTCTACTTCCTATTTACATGTATGTCATCATTTGATTCATATTACTCTATTTTCTACTCTATACTTATATGTCACTCTCTGATTCATTTAAAAAAAATGTGGACACAATTTTTATTACTTTAGTTTCATCATTTTCTAATATAAAATCAAAATACGTGACAATAATTTTACTCCATTAAAATAAATATATCATTTTTCTTTAAATATGTGACACAGCTTCTATTACTTTTTTTTTTTTTTTTCGAAAGTTACTGGCTCTATTACATTGTAGTATCTGTTCATAGCTTCTATTACTTTAGTTTCACCATTCTTCAATAAAATCAAGCCACATGACGGGAGCTTTACTCCTTGAAATACACATATTATTTTCCTTTTCAAAATAAACCCCTCGCGGTAGTTACCTGCTCCAAGAGGCAGAACCTAGGAAGTCTCAACTGTCAGGCGACAACTCGGCAACTCCTTCAAAGTTCTTTTTTTTTTTTTTTTGAGGAAAATTCCTTCAAAGTTCTAAAATTCAAATTTGCATTTTATTCTTCTGTTCTCTTAATTTTTTAAGTCTTCATCGTCTCCACCAAAAGTTGAGTAGAAGAAGCGTTCTTGGTTGTGTTCTGGCTTCCCTTTGAGCACTCTGAAAAACCAAAGAATAAACAAATTGATCATCTGTTGAAGGTATAGTATATGTCTAAATCACTTTCAAGCTATTTGTATTTATGCCATTTCTGGGAAAAAAAAAAACAAAAAAACAAAATAATCTGCTAATCCCTGTCTTCACATTCTCTCTTTTTGCTTTCTTCACTGTGTATTTATTCTCAGAATTCGACAATCTTTGTTCTGAGAATCCAATAGTCTGCACAAAGGCTTGGTGGGACATCATGAGGAATTTCCTTCATATGTTTCAGGTTTATATGTCTCCTTTGTTTCCTTGTTCCTGTCTTTACTGCTCTTCTTTTATATGATCTTTTGTTCTTATGGTGAAATACTTGACTTTTAGAAACCAATTAAGATTACATCTTTTGTTCCAATTGTTATACCATGGACTGGGTTGTGGACTCTATCCAACACAACATTGAGATTATGTGTCAGCCGTTAACATATTATGTATCTGCAGTTTTCATATGCATTCAATTTATTTATATACATAATCTGTTAATTGCATACACATAATATGTTAACCAGAAGCACATAATCTGAATGTCATTTTGGGCCGTGGACCCCTGGTCTATGGTATAATTTGCCTTGAGCTTCTGGGTAGTGTCTAAATTTTGTGGTTTTCAATTGCCTGAAGCCTCTGAATCTTGACTATAAATCTTACTTGTGTTTGGAACAAGAAACATTAAACTGTGTTGTTTTGATTTTTGGGATGAGCAGCGCAATCCGAATGAGATTGAGCTTGGGTGCCAACATACTATAAAGTCCCATGGAACGACGGTTGCAAAGCATCACAGACATGATTGGCTCATACTGCTTCTTCTTGTGGTTTTAGATGTCATACTTAATGTCATAAAACCATTTTATCGGTTTGTTGGTAAGGACATGATGACTGATCTAAAGTATCCGTTCAAGGATAACACCGTCCCAGTCTGGTCTGTTCCTGTGAGTATATCATACATTGATCTTTGCAATGTTTATATAGTTCAATTCATAGAGGGCGAAATGGTTAACGTAATCTTGTTGATGAACAGCTATATGCAGGCGTGTTGCCAATTATCATCTTCGTTCTCTTCTATCTTCGAAGGAGAGATGTCTATGATCTGCACCACAGCGTACTCGGTAATTTCTGCACCTCTGCTACATATTCTTTGTTTTATATACTATATTCTCAACCGGAATTGTGTAAATTCTGGTACTTAAAAGTAATTCCTTGCAGGGATTCTGTTTGCCTTGCTAATAACGGCTGTAATCACGGATTCAATCAAGGATGCTGTTGGCCGGCCTAGACCTAACTTTTTCTGGCGATGTTTTCCAGATGGAAAAGATGAAGGGGTAAGTAAAGACTCAGAAATGCTATTGAATATTTGAATCAGCTGCCATCTATACAGCTTTATAAGTTATTGTATTGTAATTCTTGGCCATATTTTCAGAACTATGATGCACTGGGAGATGTGATCTGTCATGGTAAAGCGAGTGATATTAAGGAAGGACATAAGAGTTTCCCAAGCGGCCACACTTCATGTAAGTCGTGCACCTGAAAAGTTTAAACTGATAGCGAGACTATACATATATGTTTTATGTGTGAACAATGAGATAATAAGTTTGGTTGTATTGCAGGGTCATTTGCGGGGCTAGGATTTCTGTCGCTGTATTTAGCGGGCAAAATAAAAGCCTTTGACAGCAAAGGGCATGTAGCAAAGCTGTGCCTCATTTTTCTTCCTCTTCTCGTGGCAGCTCTCGTTGGCATTTCTCGTGTCGATGACTACTGGCATCATTGGACCGACGTGTTTACTGGTGGTATCATAGGTTCGTTTCTCCCACCGTATTGACCATATATAAACACATAATCTCACTATCAGTTTAACTCTTTAGTTAAGACAGAATACATCATTCAATTCACGGCATCAGAGACTCAAAAAAATTAAAGACTCATCGTTCTTAACGTCTACATTGTGCCTTTCAGGTCTTGTGGTATCAACATTCTGCTATCTGCAATTCTTTCCTCCTCCATACCACACTGAAGGTATTTAGTAGGATCTTCATTTCATATTTTACTTTTTTGAGATTTCATGTAATTGTTGATATGATGATATTGTTTTGTGGGAAATAGGATGGGGTCCATATGCTTACTTCCGAGCAACGGAGGAGCTCCGCCGTGCCCCGCAACGAATCAGCCTTGATAATGGAATGTATACAGAACAATCCTCAGAGATGCAAAATGGGAATCGCCCATCTAGGCTGAGTAGTAATCGGAATGAAGATGTTGAGCTTGGTGGAATATAATCAGAATGTGAATAACCAACTTTGTTCATTACTAGACTTTAGCCTGTTCACAGTTCACCTAATACAATCACAGTTCACAGTTTATATATAGTGTTAGTTTCTTGATTTTAATTTAGAGTTAATACCTCCAATGGTCCTTCGAGTATTAGCGATTAATCAGTTGTGGTCATCCGAGTTTTAAATGACCTCCAATGGTCTTCCATGTTTTAAAAAATAACCACTCGTGGTCCTAATTCTTAAAAAAATTCGAGTTTAAAATGATCACGAGACATCCTAAAAGGACTACGGGTGGTTATTTTTTAAAACATGGAGGACCATGAGAGGTCATTTAAAACTCGGATGACCACAACTGGTAAATCGCTATTACTTGGAGGACCATTGGAGGTATTAACTCTTTTAATTTATCACTTAATGGACGGTTGAGTCACCGTGATTTACCCTTTCGGTGTCTCCACTATCCTGTCGGACCGTGGACGTGGTGTGAGAGTCCTGGGACGAGGAAATTTTGTTTTCATGGGCAAAGTTTATTGGTTCTGATTTTTCAAAATTTTTGTACTATTTTTTAGGCTAGTCATGTGTGTTTGTTATTTATTCTATTTTTAGGCTAGTCAACTTTCTTCTTGTTTTTTTGTTGGCTAAATAGCTGTTGACTTAGCCTCTCTCTTTCCATGTATATAGATGGAGAGAGGGGCTTAGTCAACAGACAACAGCTATATATACATACATTATACATTATTTTGTTCACCATCAATAAAATATACTTCGTTTCTTTAGTTGTTATTTTCCTACACTATTTTTTTATTTATATAATATTTCCTATCCAACTTTCAACGGTTCTTACTAGAGCCCATATATTAATTAATGAATAACACAGCTCAACACTTTGTTTCTATGGGAAATATTTTAATTAAGTCCAAATACAAGTATTTTTTAAATTATTATGAATTATTGAATATCGTGAAAAATGGAAAATTTGTATTAGGAGACAAAGAGATGCATATAAAAGATTATAAGAGCAAATAAATCAAGGTCGTGTGAGATCGCTTCACGGATACTTACAAATAAAACGTAATAATTTTGAGCACAAATATAATACTTTTATATTTTCATGTAAAAATATAATATCTTTTTTCATCAAAGGTATTATATTTCAAAAATGTAATATTTTGATGAAACATATAATATTTTTACATCAAAATGTAAAAGTATTGCATTTTTCTTCAAAAGTATTATATTTTTCATATAAATGATAAATATTTTATTCCTGATTTAGCATTACATTTACTATATAAGTATTAGTGTATTACATACATTTCATCTTGACCCGATTCGTCTTACAAACAAGGATTCGTGAGACAATCTCACATAAATTTTTTCCATAAATCAAAGGGTCGAGACTATGGACATGGTAGATGAAGCTGCAAAAAATTAATCTTAGCCTTGACATCTTTTGGACATTGAAACTTCCAAAGATTGAAAATGCTACCAAAAGGAAATACTATACGGTGAAAAGTTTGGCTAATATTAATTAATCATCTAGAATAAATATGCGAAATTTATATGTTTAGAAAAGTCATATTACGAAAGAGATAAGGACAACCAAAGATTGTTCTATTAGTTACAAGCAAAGGGTTACAAACTATTCAATCATTTGATACAGAGTGATTAACATTTGTTGAAGAAACAATTTATGTTTTTATTTTGAAGGGAAGAAGCAATTCAAGTTGAAAGTACCATTTTGCCCTCAAAAGAGACGGTCAGTTAACACCTAAACTGATGGAGGACCAAATTGGATATAAATTCAATACTTGAGGACTTAATTGGTCAAAAAAATCGATAACCAATTTGGTACTTTCGCTATAGTCGATGGACCATTTTGATAATTTACTCGAAAACATATATGGCAAATTATATATTGTGTGCCCTAAGAGTTTATGTATATTATGCACTGTTGTAAAAATCGGTATAGGCGTTCCTAGACCGTTCCGCTTTCCCTATTAGGCGCCCAAAAATTGGTTGGGCGCCTAGGTGGCGAAATCCGTCAAAATCAGCCAAGTCGGTCGATTTTGTTTGATTTCGTCCGATGTCGTCTGTTCCAGCTGTCTATAGATTAGTTTGATACTTTGAATCTTTGGATAATTGAAGTATTTGAGTATTTTTATTTTTTAATATTGTTTTGATGTTATGTCTTATGAATTATCATTATTTCATTTATTTGGATGTGTTATTTGATTGAATGTTGAAAACAATCTCATTAAAATTGTCAAACTGCAAGTGTGCCACTATTTTTTTGGCGCCCGCCTAGCACTACGCGCTGCCTGGGCACCCGACTAGCGTCTAGCGCCTACTGCAACCATGGTATTATGTTAAGAGTTTACGTGTATTATGTTTTATGTTAGATTATGTGTATTATGTTAGAAGTTTATGTATATTCTACTGTACAATTATGTACATACGAAATAGAAAATTTTTAGGCCGTACAATGTATTGTGTGCCCAGGTGCACGATATAATAATTGAACATATATTTTTATCTAAATTTAAACAGCCATTGGCCCATGATTTATCAGAATGGTGAGAATGGGCTTTTAAATTTTTCCCAAATGGACCTATGGCACTATGTGTTAAAATTTAGATAAGAAGTATGGCTTTAAAAAATGATGGTACATTTTTGTATTAAAGTCTGTCTTCTAATAAAGGTGAAAATAGGTGAGGCGGAGTTAAGTCATGGCAAAAAAAAATAAGGTCTGTTATAGGAATTTAAGGCATAAACTTGTAAGTAATTTTTTTTTTTTTTTTTTTTATAAGTTAACCTTGAACGTACACTAGGTTCAGCTTGACCTGAAGTCTTTTTAAAGACATATTTAATATGGATACTATCAAAAAAAATGTTGTCATAAGCTTTAAATATGTTTTGTTGTAACTTATCATTATTTGTTATTTTAGTGAATAAAAGTAAGGGAATAAAATAAAATAAATAAAAAAAAGTAAGGGAATAAAAATAGAATGGTGTGCTATTTTATCACTCTAGTGAAAAGTGAGTATAAATAACATTAGAATTGTAAAAAGGACAAAACTTTCAACAATTTCATAAGTGGTGTAAATAGCAATAAGGGTGTAAATATGATTATTTAGTATTTACACTACCTTGATAAAATGTAATTTACGAGATTTTATTAATAATTTTTTTAATTAAAATTTTAAAAATTAAAACATTAAAAAAAAAAAAAAAAAAACAACAACAACAACAACCCCTTGCCTAGTGGGTCACCTTCTCCGGTGAGAAGGCGACCCACAGGGCTACCTTCTCACTGGAGAAGGCGAGGAATTGTTTGTTTATTTGTTTTTTCTATAAATATTTTTATTTTTAAAATTTTAAATAATTATTTAATTTTAAAAAATAAATATTGTAAATAAAAACATAATATTTGACTAATTTTAATGAAGTTGATGCAAATAAAAATTTTATATTTACATCCTTTATAAAGTTAGCACATTTTATCAAAAAATTGTGTAAATAATAATTAAAGTGGTGCAAATAGAATTATCGGATACAAAATATATTTGACAAATGGACAATAAATGAATTTATATTTTCATTATCGACGTGACGATGCGACTTGCATTTGCGTCACGTGATGTAAAATTAATGGGAGTTATGATTGATCCCCCTTCATGAAAATGATAAATGTACTTTAAAACAGTAAAATTCTGTCATGTCATTAATGCTTATATATTTTAGAGTCCCACTATTTCTATTTGGAAAATTTATTTGCCCTACATTAATTGTTATTTACACCACTTTTTGATAAGTATGCTAATTTTATAGGTTGTGTAAATAAAAAATTACTATTTATATTATTTTTATTAAAATTAGTCAAACATTATATTTTTATTTAAGATATTTATTATTTATTTTTATTTTAAATTGTGATAATATAATAATTTTGTCTATAATATTATTTAATTACTTTGTGTAATATCTAACGTTTAATAAATTTTAATAATAAAATTAATTTTATTTTTATTATTCTAATATATTTTAATGATAAAATTAATTTTATTCTTTTTATTCTAATATTCTTTATAACTCAAATTTTACATGTCTTTTTTCTGATATTCTTTAACATTAGGTAAAGCGTAATAAATCAATTTGTCGCACCTACTCCGCCTACCACTCCTGGCCTGTTCTTCATTTGGCAGACCAAAGCCATCGCACAATCACACATTTTACATGTCTTGATGTCTTCATCCACATCCACTCGGTACTTGAAATATTTGTATACTTATTACATTGAATTGCGTTCACAGACAAAATCATTGATTGATATATGCACCCCACTTCATGAACCCATTTAAATTTTGATCCAATCATACCTTATTACAAGTATACATTTTCGGAGTGTTTGGTTGGAACGAAGGAATTAAAGGAAAAATGAATTGTAATTCGGTGAGCAAAGAATAAGGTGAGAATAAAATAGAAATTCAAATTACAGTGTTTGGTATGCAAGTGAGAATAAGAATTTAAAATTTAAATTACAGTGTTTGATATGCAAGAATAAAACATGGAATTGAAAGGGAATAAGTGATACAATGACTGAAATGTCTTTATATAATAATAATAATAATAATAATAATAATAATAATAATAATTTGCCATATGAAACCACTTCCTCTGGTTTCTGATGGAATTCATGCCTACAGGAGATTTTTTTAATAAAAAAGAGAAAGCCATAATATATACAAGACAATAGATTCAAAGTTTCTATCAGGCATGAATGAACCAGTAAACATAAGAGAAGAAAAATCTACGAAGGGCAAAATTATCTTCACACTCTCTTTTTTTCTCTCATTGACCATCGAATTGCAAATCTTTGGTGGGGCGTATGAATTCTAATTTAGCATTCGGAAGGAATTGCAATTCAGTGAAATTGTAATTCTCTCTAACTAAACGTCGTAATTGTGGCTCCCATTGAATTGTGTAATTTAACTACAATTAAATTACTTCCAACCAAACAGACAGACACTTATTGCTGTTTGATAAAATTTTATACCCATGTTGTATTAGGAGCGTTTTGGACCATAATTTGCATGCAAATATTTACAGTATTCAAAATGTGAAAATTAGTTTATATTAATATAAATTCACATACATTTGTAATATAGGTCGGATAAATATATATTTTCAAATTTTGTTCACTCTCACAAATCATATAAAAGTGACAAGTTATACTAGGAAGCTTTTGTGCGGTTAGCTCAATCGAGAGGGTGTTGGTAAGAATCAAACTTGTGTCATTCTAATACGGAAATAATGTTTCACCCAATCGACTACCTCTTTTGGCGACCCATTATCTATTTTGAGTGCATACCCTCAGATAGTAGTTGTATGTTTCCCTCGTCACCAAAAAATAATGTTCCAAAATAGCCTCGTCATCGCCACCCGCTATTCCTACATTGTCATTAATTGTCACATCATACACTCCATCACCTCATTGTATATACACATTGTCATGTTATTAATGTTATTTTATTAAATAATAAGATAGAGATTTCTTAAAAATGCTATTAGTGAAAATCAAAGTCATGGTATGTATATAATATTTTCAAATTTTAACAACTCTACTACTATTGTGGGTGTTGCACTATTCGTCCCTTTACTAATTAACAAAAAATTATGAACAACATTTGCAATTTTAGTACAGCTTAAAGACGAAAAGTTAATAAAATGACGAAAAGTGCAATATCAATGATAATTTATGAATGAAAATTGAGCATGACTAACACTTATGAACGAATTCTACAATTATCTTATAACTTATGGACAAAAAGTATAATTTTCCATTTTTTTTCTTTGACCAATTGTTCGGATAATTAAATGTATTTGGACTTTTTTTTTTTTTTTTGCTTCTCATTAATGCTTTTTTTTTAATGATTTAAAAACACTACTTGCATTTTAAAATTCTAATTTTTACTTTTATTAATTTACACTCCCACTCAAAATTTTGATATTGATATTTTTATTGAAACTCATAAAATGACAATAACTTATCATCCTTTTTACTACATCAAAAAATAAAAGTGTTGAAATAAAAATTGAGATCCCATGTATTAAAACTCATAAAGATTTTAGACCAAACCAGTATGATTATGAGTCAATATAAGAAATTTGACTTTCTAATATGACGAATTTATTGAAAGATTAGGAGCTTGTTCGACAAATGAAAAGTTTGTCAAAATTGAAATTTTGGAATAACTTTTTTCAATAGAAAAACAGGCGGATGAACTTAAAAAAAAAAAAAAAAAAAAAAAAAAAAAAAAAAAAAAAAAAAAAAAAAAAGAGAGAAGTTTACCTCCCTTTTGTCTCGAGTGATTTCTTCACTTTTTTTCTTGCTGAATTCGCCAATTTCTATTATTGGCTTGGTTATTGCCTTAATGATTCATTTTTATTTTAGGGTACATTTAAAAATTTTGAAAGTAACTTTAAAATTTTATTTGTTAAATTTTTCATTGTTTGGCTATATAAGAAAAATAAAACCAATAAAAAAATATATGAGTAGTAAAAAAATTCAGTTTGAAATTAAAGAAAAAGTCTTACAAGATTTTTATTTGAAAGATTTTCTTCATAAAATTCTATCATGATCGGCCTTCTCTTCCACATCCTCTATTAATGGTGCCAAATGAGCACCCTCATATCTACCTAGTTAACTATTTGGGTTAGACCACTAGACCTGAGTGTCACGATTAAAATTTGGACAAGTTCGAGCTATGTTAAATAGTAAAAACTCTTAGCCAACTCAGCCTAAAATCTTTTTAGAAAATAAAGGAAAAAAAATCAAATAGACACTTGAACTTTACACGAAAGTGTAATTAAGTGCATGAACTTTTAAAAATATGCAATTAAACATTAAACTTGTGGTGCATCTAAACCCAATAATCAGTTATCCACCTGGAATAATCAATCATTTGGATTTCGGTGACAATTACGATGAAAATTCTAGCAATCGAGGACGCAAATTCTAGAAAGTTGGTCGTTTTCTCTTCCATTGGGAAAGATGATTAGACTAGACCGGTCATGGTCGTCTTCTCCAGTGGAAAAGCGACCATTCAGTCATCAACGCTAGGTGGTTGATTGTTTTTTTTTTAATGGCGGCGGCAAATATTGGTCAGGGCGGTTAACAACAATAATTTATCAATAGCCTACTAATTACAGTAAATCATACTTATTTGACTCATTTTGTTGGGAATTCGAGGTCTCCAATCGACCATCACCAATCTCGGAAGATGGGGGAACATCATGCTGGTGTGTTCTCGTGAGTGTCGCGAGTTTGAAGAGATGGAGTTTCGACACATTAAAATATGAATGATTGTAATCATGTAATAGGTGGAATGTAAACTATTATTTAAATTTTCACATTTAATTTAATTATTCAAAATATTTCTTTCCAGCAAATAACGACACATTTGTGGCTAGACGTCCAAATCAAGGTTAGTAGATTTGCACAAAACTGATTTGCATTCAGATTATTTAAGTAAATGGAACAAACAACCCAACACAACATCCATTTTGGATTAACTTTATTTCCATTAGTATACGTAACAATTTGCATCTACATCTTGCATGTTTGTCCACTTATATGCACAACACCATAAAAATCTTTTCTCATTAATATTATATTCCTTGGTCGTGTTATTAATAATAATTATATTTCGTATCCACTATTAAATTAACAATAGCTATATTGTGGATTATGGTTTAAAATGATATCATTTCAAAATAATATGGCTAACAATCATGTGTACTCTTCACCACACGCCATAACTATGTTGCACTTATAGTGTACATTAAACTTTATTTTTTATGAACATATAAAATGAACATTATAAACCTACTAAATAGTGCAGAGTAAATAGAAATACGTACATATGATGTACCTAAAGTTTAATATTCTATAAAATATAGAATAAATATTATGAACATAATATAAGATAAATATTATAGTATTAAACATGATGCACTTTGACATTATTAAACATGAAGTATGCGCTGGAAGATTATGGGTGATCATGTGTGATCACTTTATGGAATTTTATGGACTTTTCAAATTTCGAGAGATAAGTACAATTGTACTTTGTAGAAATAACACCTACTTTTGAGGGATAAAATTAGAAAGTTAGTAACATTTGTTATGTTGTATTAAAAACCGTGCAAAAAATAAATGAGACAATCAATTAGGGACGAAGGGAATATTTATTTGAAAGTTAGAAGTGAATGATATTATATCAGTTTGTCCGAAGTAAACGGATGAGTAAATCATATAATGTTAATTTGCTCAGAACAAACTAATGACGGAAACTAAGGATATCCTTATCCCTACAAATCTATCTCGCTTTTAAAAATGAATCACACTTCCACATCATCCAATTTTCAAATCATTTATTATTCACACTACAATCATGCAAATCCAATCAACTTTTAACATGCCCCAATTTCACATCATTTTAAAACATTAATAAATAAACCAAGGACCTTCTGATCTAATGGTATCAAATTAAACTTCCACATGAGAGGATGTGGGTTTGAGCCCCTTTGTGAAGGCGCTATGTGTTTTTTTTTTATTTTTTAATTGATTCCTATTTTTTTCCTTTTTTCTTTTTTAGTTTTCAAACCGTTAAATCTATTATAGGAATGATTTAACATTTGTCCCTCTGGAAATTTTGTTCTCATGGAATAGTAATAGTGTAATACGATACATGTGGTAACTTTTTTAGATTTGCCAAATTTCCGTAGATTCATGGAATTTTACGTTTCGAATTGGACCACTTTATAGTGAGCTTACACGACTGATCGGAGATTCAGAGGCTTTACTCTTCCTGTCCTCCCAGTTTCGTCCCAAACTTGACAAGACCCACCGACAAAGAAGCAAGAAACCAAGAACAGTAGGTGAGTGACGGAAAAATGACCATTTCTTCATACGGCGGCGAACCCAAACACTCTATTGATTCCGACCATACGCGGCTTCACGAGCTCGGCTACAAGCAAGAGCTCAACCGCAACCTCTCGTGAGTAAAGCTTCGTTCTTTACACTCATATGGGCTCCGGGAGTGGCAGAGAATTCTAAGTTTAAACCAATTTCTTTTATCTTCTTCTAGCTTTTAATGGGTTCTTGAACTTTGGCTGTGCAGGGTGTTGTCCAACTTTGCGTTTTCCTTCTCTATTATATCCGTGCTTACCGGCGTGAACACCCTTTACAGCACTGGGTTGAATTTTGGTGGCCCAGTTTCATTGGTGTATGGATGGGTCATTGCAGGTACCTTCACCATGTTTGTTGGGCTATCCATGGCTGAAATTTGCTCTTCTTATCCCACCTCAGGGGGTCTCTATTATTGGAGTGCCAAGCTTGCTGGTCAAAGCTGGGCTCCTTTTGCTTCTTGGATCACCGGCTGGTAATATTTCCATTTCCTTGTTTAATAAAAATAGGCTAAAATTGTCTCCAATGGCAGCGCAGTTGGTTCTTGAGTAGTAGATTGTGAGTAATGACACAAAATCATACCTTGGGAGTTATACCCAATGTGGTGGACTCGGGTTTGATTCTCTCACCTAATGAGCTGTTGAGCAACCGTGATTTATCTTTTCACTATCCTGTCGGGCAAAAATAGGCTAAAATTGCCTGCAATGGCAACTAAGTTGGTTCTTGAGTAGTAGATTGTCAGTAAAGGCACAAGATCAGACCTCGAGAGTTACACCCAATGTGGTGGACTTAAGCACTGGTCCTTTCACCTAATAAGCTTCTGAGTAACCGTGATTTATCCTTTCACTATCCTGTTGTCCTGGCTTGAGGAAATTTCGCCCTTTGTGGGCAAAAATAGGCTAAAATTGATTTTATTTTCTTAGCTTTTTTTTAGTACATCTGATGGGATGAAAGAGGTGTGGTTTGAACTTGGGCATACTAGGAAAAGGTAGCTTACTATCAAACTATTGCTTGAACCTCAATTAGATATGCTTTTGTAGGGTATTCATTTTAGTGCTAATATTGCAGTTCATAACTAGTCTTTTTGGTAGAAAAGATTGCATTTAGGCCTTATTACCAATTCTCTAAGTAATTTTTCCTTTCTTTCATCCCCTTCCCCCTGCAGGTTCAACGTTGTTGGTCAGGTAACAGTACAAACAGCTACTTCACTTACGATATTACAAATTCCCGTGTCTAATTCAACTCTGTATGCTCATCATTCTGGAAGACCGTAAAAGTTTGCTCTAACCACTGAAGAAATGTTTGTTTACAGTGGGCAGTGTCAGCTAGCGTAAACTTTTCACTTGCACAGTTGATTCAAGTGATGGTTCTCCTTAGCACAGGTGGAATGAACGGCGGTGGATATGAAGCATCTAAATACGTAGTTATTGCTATACATGGTGGAGTTCTTCTATCACAGGCTATCTTGAATAGCCTTCCCATATCGTTGTTGTCCTTTCTTGGACAGATAGCTGCTGCGTGGAATATATTTGGTACATAGAACCAAGCCCGTTCTGTCCACTCGAGTATGCCTTAGATTAATGAAAATATGTTTCGGACCTCTAACTGTAGTTGATAATTGTTCAGGTGTCTTTCTTCTTATGATTTTGGTCCCGTTAGTTGCAAAGGAACGAGCCAGTGCCAAGTTCGTGTTTACACACTTTAACACTGACAACGGGGTTGGAATCCATAGCGAAGTGTATATATTTGTCTTGGGGCTCCTTATGAGCCAGTATACGTTATCGGGCTATGATGCATCTGCCAATATGGTGAGTTGTCTAGTTGGTAGCATTTCTCGTTTTTCTTTTAGTTAATGAACTGAAAGTGTTCTTACCTAATTCCGAAAACCTGTTATTGCAGACAGAGGAAACGAAGAATGCTGCTAAGAATGGGCCGAAAGGAATCATACTTGCCATTGGCATATCGCTTATTGCTGGATGGTGTTACATACTTGGTATAACTTTTGTTGTTACCGATATCCCGTATCTTTTGAGCCCGGATAACGATGCGGGTGGTTATGCTATCGCTCAAATGTTCTATGATGCGTTTAAGAGTAGATATGGCAGCGGTGTTGGTGGAATTGTTTGTTTAGGTGTTATAGCCGTCGCCATATTCTTCTGTGGAATGAGCTCACTGACTAGCAACTCGAGGTGAAACTTAACATACTACTCGGAAACACAAATAGTTCTTTGCTAAGAGACTTTAATTAACCTCGTCGGATATTAATCAAAATCGTTTCAGGATGGCTTATGCATTCTCGCGAGATGGAGCTATGCCATTTTCGGCGTTCTGGCATAAAGTGAACAAGCAAGAGGTCCCAATTAACGCAGTCTGGGCATCAGCTCTAATCGCATTCTGCATGGCACTAACGGTATGAACTCTTTCTCTTATTTTCGCGTGTTAATATCAATGTTGAAAAAAGCGCTAGGCACCCTTTAGGCGCCTGGGGACCGCCTAGAGCGCCTAGACGGGTGCCTAGGAGGCCGACTGCCTAGCCCCTAGGCGCGATTTTTGCAACACTGGTTAATATGCAACATTCCCCGGAAAGTAAACAGAATTTCATCTCAAACTCTGCAGTCTCTTGGAAGCATAGTAGCATTTCAAGCCATGACATCAATAGCAACCATCGGTCTTTACATTGCATACGCTTTGCCATCCTTTTTCAGAGTGACTTTGGCCCGGAAATCTTTCGTGCCAGGGCCGTTCAACTTGGGGCGCTATGGGGTCGTCGTGGGTTGGATTTCGGTCTCGTGGGTGGCCACCATTTCTGTGCTCTTCTCGTTGCCTGTAAGGTATCCTATAACAGATAAAACTCTGAATTACACTCCAGTAGCAGTAGGAGGCCTTCTTGTTCTGGTTGTCTCTTCATGGATTTTTGGTGCTAGGCATTGGTTCAAAGGCCCTATTACAAATATTGATCACTCTTCAAGTGGAGATGCATAATTGTAAGATTTTTGTATGTACAAATGTGGGACATTAGAGATTTCAAATTGTTTAGTACTTGCTTAAGCTTATGTTTTATGGAATAAACTATGTAGCCCTGCAACCTGCAAGTCACCAACAAATAACTCAAGTTTACAGAAGATTTGATCGAACGGGATAAGAAACTACAAAAGATCAACCCAAGTTACTCAAACAAAAGATGATGCACTCACTTATCTACAAGGTTGCATTTACAACACCTTTAAATCTCATCTGCTATCTTCTGTTTCATGGGATGTGGTGCTTACACAACCTTTGCTTCCACTAAAAGCTTATGCTTTATTTGTGTTACTTTCAGAAAAAATATAATGTGCTTATCACCCATTAGCACTGAAGTATAAGATAATCCACATCAATCAAAATCTATTAGTAATAGTATAGCATTTTGTACTACCGGCCACCGCCGCAGCAGAGACCGAAACACTCCGCCGCAGCCGCAGCAGGAGGCCACAGCCTCCTCCTTAACTGTAGCAGCAGCCGCCCTAACCCGACTCACCTCGCACCCGCCGGCGTCCGATAGCTTCCGGCGTTCAGCACCAGTTTCGGCGAAGGGCTGTGAAAAAGAGTGAAGACGATGAGTGTCGTCGGAGGGCTGCGTGGGTTAGGACTTTAGGTGTAATAATTGTAATAATTTCACTTTTCCTAATATGGTTACTAGGGTATAGGTATTGATAATTGAATTTCACGAATTTTTTTTTTAATTTTTTTTTAAGATAGAAAATTTCACGAGTTTTAAAATTAGCAAATTCAACCTACAATTATTTAATTTTTTTTAATTTCATTCCTTTTAGTCAAGTTACTAACAAGAAGTAACTGGAAATTTGTAATGGCTAAAATTATGAGGATAAATTTATATTTTTCTTTTTGTTTTTTCTTTCTTTTCCCTCTTGGTTGTGGGGATGAGTGAACTGTTTTTGTCGTTGTAATCGACATTCACAAAGGGGATCTTGTAGTTATTAAAGGAAGATATGTTGAATTGATCGAGTTGATTGGAGTGATAGAGGTTTTTAAAAGTGTGTTGTTGGACTGAACTTTGAAGGGGTCTCCTCTGTGAACATTAAAATTCAAGACCTTGGAACGATTGTAAAGAAAGCCTTAAATCTTGGGTATGGTCGTCGATGCCTCTGATCTCAACAACAATCCCAGCTTCTGTTGCATGAAGCTCTAGAACTGCATAGTAGAAGAATTAGCCTCCAGTGAAGCTCTTTCTATAGGGAAGAAGCTCTTTTATTAATGTATCTGCAAAGGGGTCAGAATCCATAGAAACCGTCAACAAAAAGCTTAACACATTTCCAGCGTCACTTTGGTTCTCATTCCCAACTGTCACCATTGTCCTTTACTCCTTTTACACAACGACAACGTACTCAGCAAAAGTGTTTAAGAAATTCATGTCTACATCGTGGATTTCTATATGAAAGTTGCTCGAATTTTGGATGGGTTTTCATGTGGGAAGTTGAGCAAGCTCATCAATGGAAAAGAAAGGGAAGAGAAAAAGCAAAAGACAAATTTGTCCTCATCATTTTAATAATTAAAAATTTTCGACTACTTCTCGCTCGTAATTTGGCCAAAAGGATTGAAATTTAGAAAAGTTGAATAGTTGTGAATCTAAATTGACAATTTTGAAACTCGTAGACTCTAACTAATAATAGATCAATAATTGTAATATTGTGTAAACCAAACACATAAAATAATCTTACAATACCACATTTATTAAAATTAAGAATAAGAATATTTACCAGTTATCAAAGAATATTTACCAAATTGGAGTTAAAGACTAAATTAGTCAAAATTAATAATTAATTAATTTAGTTAAGAGATCAAAACAAACATAAATTCTATTTTATTTGTTTGGATCAAAACAGTAAAGAAACACATGAATATTAGAATGCACACACAATGTGCTTAAACAAATTTTAAATTTATTTGGATCAAAACAGTAAAGAAACACATGAATATTAGAATGCATACACAATGGGCTTAAAAAATAAATATTAGACTTATTTTGGTGGGATGCACCAGGCCAAAGCAGTAGTGCAACGCTATGACGACGCTTGAAAGCCCAGATAGCAAGCTACCTTAATGGGCCTTCTCCCTAAAAAAATTGAGTTAATATCGTGTGGACCATTGGCCCACGTATCAGATATTAAACTGATAAGAACAGATACTACACTTGATCTTAGCCAAAAGGCCGAGAAAGGTATGCCTTAAAATTTCTTCGGCCCAGTTATTTTATAGCATTGTACGTGCATCCGCTCCCTCTGTTTAAACGATGTGGGACACTATGCTTCTATCTTGAGTAGTAATAGCCACTCTGCTATTCATCTTCTCCCTCTCTGTTGTGTCTGGAATTTGCAGGTTGTGTATTGAACACTTCGGCTTTACTAACAATTAGTTGGAACACATTACATTTCATCTCCAGGTAGTTTGTTCAAAGCATTCATAGCAATTCTTCTATCCCTCATGGTAGTTGCAGCTGTGATTCTTCTGGTGAAATACATGACCAAGAACAAGGCCGCAGAGCCCACAAAGGAAATCCACGAAACAGCCTAAGGAAATCAACATGTTACATAGTATTTTATTGCTCAAAAGTCCACAAATTAGTTATAACATGTCACTAGAGTTCTAGGAAAACTATGGCGATGCTTCGACCATTAAACCCCACGATGGGCGATTGACGAATAGTTACCTATCGTCTTCTCTGGTTAAAAAGACAACCATGGGCTACCTTGCCCGTTGGGAAAACAACATTCTCCAATTGATCGCCTTTTCCATCAGAGAAGACGACTAGCGACCGTTTGACCGTTTGTTGGTCATCAAATTTAGTGACCGAAGTCTCCCGAAATCTTAGTGACATGTTATTACATGTCAATAATCAATTTTTGAATTTTGATGCAAAAAATAACTTACTGGTAATTTTAATTGCAACTTTTAAAAATGTATAGACTTAAGTGACTCTTAATATAAAATTTAGGGGTTTATTTGACAATTTTTTCATTAATATTTAGGGGAAAGGTCATACATGGACTAATGTTAATTGTAATATTTCGTTGATACATATTATATTAAAATAACTCAAAATAAATTGTCATACACAAAAAATCTATAATATATACATATCTTGTATACAATACCTTTGCAATATATAGCATTTATGCACTTTTATAGCAATTATGATGATATATCTAAAAAATTATTGCAAGTGTTTGATATTGTTAATCAAATACAAGTTAGACAACACATTCATTAAAAAATAGATAACAAACTATCTAAATATATCTTAATGAAACATTAATGTGTATAAACATCTTTATTATATGAGAAATGAATAACTTACAATTATTTACAAAGTAATATTTTAAGCATAAAACATTTTTTTATAGTAACCATAAATCATTATTATAAATTAAATTATCATATATAGCCTACATTATTATTTAAGTAGTCTATAAAGAAAATAATTTCAAAATTTAAAAGTGAATTATTTTTTAAGATAAGCGGTAAAAAGACTTCTACTTTTTTCTTTTCAAGTTACTCATAATCAAAACTTTCATCATCACCAAGCATCTTATACTCAGATGGTATGTAGTTAGGGGTGTTAGCGAACAGAGCTTTCGGCAAACTACTCGTGTTCGTGTTCGGTAAGCGTTCGTTTATGTTCGTTTGTTAAGGTAAACGAACATTAACAAACAAAATTTAGAACTCGGTTAATAAAGGAACAGAGCTTGAACAGTTGTAAGCTCGTTTGCTAAGAGATCGTGAACAAGCTCATTTGTGTTCGTTTACTAATGTTCGTGAACAAGCTTGTTTATGTTCGTTTAATAACGTTCGTGAACAAACTCGTTTGTGTTCGTTTAATAATGTTCACGAACATGTTCACAAACATATATATTATATTATATTATATTATATTATATTAGTTATGCAGTTGTATTGTTTGTTTGATTATTGTTCGTGAACGTAGATTATTTATTGTTCACGAACGAATTGTGATCATGAACATGTGCATGTGTTTGTTTATTAAGTGTTCATGAACGTAAATAAATACGTTCATGAACGTGTTTGTTAATGAACATGTTTGTGAATGTGTTTGCTAACGTTAACAAACACGTTTGCGAATGCGTTCACGAACGTTAACAAACACGTTCGCGAACATGTTCATTAACGTTAACGAACACGTTCGTGAACGTGTTCGCGAACGTTAACAAACACTAATGAACGCTTAACAAACGAACACGAACAGGATTTTCAAAAACCTTAACAAACGAACACTCCAAATTCCTTAACAAACGAACATGAACAACCTTCGTTCGTTTATGTTCGGTTCGTTAACAGCCCTACATGTAGTGACCTCTCTAATATGAGAGATCATGAGATTGAGCCTTGGTAGAGACGTTGTTGACTTTTTGTGCTTAATTCTTTTTTAGGGTCAAATGCTTGGTAGAATAATAATAATAAGAGTTAATACTCAAAATCGTCCTCGACTATAGTGATTTTTCTCAATTTCGTCCTAAACGACTTTGGTGACCTAATATCGTCCCAGACTTTTGTGTTTCGCTCAATTTAGTCCTCCATTTGTTATTCCGTCAAATTGGTGTTAAATAAAGGGACAATTCAATAATGTCAATATTGATCTCTCTTTACTTTCAACTTGTGAAGTGCGAAATTCCTCTTTCTTGTACGAATTACACCCAGAATTACTCCCGGACCTGCAAATCAAATTTTATATCCGCAGTTTTAGGAGTAATTCGTAAAAAAAAAGGGATTTCGCAGTTCACATGTCTATGAATAAAGAGATGCCAATATTAAAATTACTGAATTGTCTATTTATTTAACACCAAATGGACAGAATAACAAATGAGGGACTAAATTGAGCAAAAACACAAAAGTCTGGGACTAAATTGAGCGAAACACAAAAGTCTGGGACGATATTAGGTCACCAAAGTCGTTTAGGACGAAATTGAGAAAAACCACTATAGTCGAGGACGATTTTAGGTATTAACTCATAATAATAATAATAATAATAATAAAATGTAAAAAAAAATACACATGACATCACAATCAGCA